TTATATAAAGGTTATTTAAAGGTTGTAAAAGTATGTAAGAGTATAACAAGATTTTATAAAATCAAAATTTAGTTTACGAGTTTTATAATGGTCATATAAGGTTACTGTAACCTGTAGGTATATAATTAGGTTATATAATTGTCTTTACACAATTTTTATATAACCTATAGTAACCGTTACCAGTGTTTTATATAAGTTTATAAAAAAGTTTTATACAGTTTGCGGTTACCTGTTTTATAAAACTATTTTTCATTAATTATTTATATGCTAAATAAAACCAAAATCTTTAGTAATTGAAAAAAAATAAGCATAGCTTGGCTTCTCGAGATATTCCCTTAATGTAAGATGACAATAAGAACACCTGAGGGAGAGAGAAATAATAAAAGAAAGAAAAAACAGTTAACAGTTCTTTAAGAAGTTATATAGTGGTTTCCATAATATTCCCGTTACCTCTAGTTATAAAACTTGGGTTTTATAGTGTTACTAAACATAAGTAACGATAACCTTCATAAACTCCCCAAATAAGCTCTTTAAGAGGTATATTAGAGTGATATAAACATTTCCGTAACCAAATTAGAAAATTTAGGTTTTATAATTTGGGTAATATAACATTTATGAAAAACACTATAAAAACAAAAATGTTTATACAAATACAAAAATAAAAAAGTATAAATGAAAACAAAATTTTTAAAAAAATTTATTTAGACCATAAAATTTGTCCCCTTAAAATTTTTTTTGTAACTCCAGTAGTTTCTGAAATAAGTATATTCTAAAAATATCCATATTCTATTGATTTTTTATAACAAACTATTATTACGAATATATTAGTTGTTAGAAGACAGATTTATTTAGCCGTGAAACATTTTATTATATATTAATAAAATAATAAAATTAAGATAACCAAGGTGTAAATGATCGTTTTATTAATGAGCTTATTAAGATATTCTTATAACAAACACAATAAATATTTTAAAGTGTCTATGTTTACAAACCGACTATATACAATAGGGTTCTGTTAAATAAACTTTATTTGCGTACGTATCAATTTGAATAATTATCTTATCACTTGCGATTTGTGGCGTAAGAATGACGTAGGGAACGTGCCTCTAAATTAATTTTTTATGCGAATAATTGAAAATTATTTACCTAATTGATTCAATCAAACATCAATTGTTTCTCATTTTTTTCTACATGTACTATACATCCATGTTATTAATTTAACATGCTAATAAGATGTTAATTACATGCTAAATTAACTAACTTAAATTTCTGCTAGATTTTGTTTTGTTTTTTCTAAGGCCGCCATATTGAAATTTTACATGGTTAGATAGAAAAAAAATTCATTGGTATATTTCCTCTATGAATTATAAAACATGCAGCAAACTTTTTTAATTAGGTTACATAAATAGCACCGAATTTGAATTTAAAATTTTTTTAATATTGCAACCAAATGAATAATTCTATCATTGTGTATTAAATATTTAGATTATTTTTAATATTAAAATTTTTCTTAATGACTTTACAGCTCTATCTAAAGTATTTGGAGGTGTGTCATGTGTTATTATAATATAATTAGTAATTATTAAAACATTTTCGATAAAACTTAAATGCTTTTTATAACAAAAGGCAATTAAATTATTGCTAATCACAAAACATATTTCGTAAGTTTATTTGACGTAAAAAAAATATCGGAAACATAAATTATATTTTTTCGATTTTATGTGTTCTTATTATAAACAAAACATTTTTGAAAAAAAAAATTGTGAATCACTTTAGATATAACTGGATTTTTGAAATATAATTGGAATATCCACTTTTCAAATAATAACAGTCAGAAGGTCAAGTGTGAAAAAGCACCTAATTAAATTTCTTAGAAACACAATCATATAATCCTCTAATCCAAATATGTTATTAACGTTAATTAAAAAACACTCGTCACAATTCAAAGTCTAAAAGGGCGCGCTTCTACGTCATAGGACAAGCCCCCAAATTAAAAGAACTGGTTTTAGTGCGATATCAATTATTTTTTATTGTTTGGTCTTAAAATTTACCACCTTGTTGTGTTTTACTCGATACTAGATACTAGATGGTATTGTCAATAGCACCAAAAGTGTGTTCAAGTGAAGCAAAACAACAATTATTTGCAAACCATAAAAATAATATTTTGCGGTAAAAATAAAATTTGTTATTGACTAACTGAAATTCAAAGACGCAGTCGTATTCGTAAAAGTTACCAAAATAGACTTTCATTGATGTTTGACTCATCGTTGAGCGTAAAAAAGTTACTCAACATTACGAAAATAGTTGATATATGCGCACGTGACTTCAGTCACATGGCCGCAACGTCCTAAGGGTCCTTCCTACTTAACCTAATAATCAGCTGACAAGAGAGAAATTCTATCGTATGATGCTCGATACCTTTTACAGCAGAGAAAAAAAGAAACGTGTCTTCACGCACATAACTACATGTATTACGTCACAATGTTTTTCAAGTAATAATAATTTGCAATGGAAATTATTTATTTTGCGTTATCGCAAAAAATACAAAATGATATCGCATGACACTAATAAAAACGAAAATGATATTTTCCCATATAATTACAACAGATTTTGTATTTAAAAAAAGGATAATTATTAGTATCTTAAATATAAAAGTAAAAAAAATAACACGAATTTGGAAAAATATTATTGTTTACAAATATCGAAAATATTGATAACAATAAACAAAAACAATAAAAATATGACATTTAGATTACCTAAATTTTTGGTTTTTGACATTTAAATAATTCGTAATTCAGGTTTAATTCAAATGTACATAAGTATCTAATGCAATTATTTTTTTGCCAAATTCCCAATCATATTTTAAAAAACATCCAGGATGCAATTAATTAACTTCCTAAACAAATAAAAAAACAACTTCGCCTTGTTTGCCAAATTAATTTTAGATACACATGATTCTATTCGTTATAGAGAATTTCTTCCGCTATACATTTTGTACACTTCCGCGTCAGGTTTGTAAACCAAAAAAAAAACAAAAACAAGAAAATGTCCTTGAGACATGCCATTTTTTTTACGAGCCTTACAACAAAGTAAAAAGGCTAAAAAAACGAATAAGGCGTACAATAGTTGATGAAAATAAAAATCAAATGCCGGATTTAAATGTATTTTAAAACAGGAATATTTTATTAAAATTATCGTTAAATACATTTACAAATAAAATATATTGGCATTTACAGATAAGATATCTAATCTCCCTATATAAGGTGTCAAAATTTGCTATACAACATAAATAATTTACTTCGCGAGTATTACTATACAGCAATCCAGCATGGATTTAAAGTTTTTTTAATGTTTTTTTTCTGATTATGCTAAAAATCACTTTTGGTAAGTAAACGTTTATTTATAAACAAACTAGCAGTTAACAATGGTTTCTTTAGGTTACAATAGCTTTTTAATAATTGATTTCAAGAAGACAAGATGAGTATGTTCAGTTTAAACAAAATTAAGGACAACAAATATATGGTTCTTGACGATAGTTTGGAAAACATTTTTAACAATAACGATGATATTGAGGATGAGTATGGAGATCGTTTTACAAACGAGGAGGAAAATGTTTTCACCAAGGGAAATGCTGTTGTTCAAAATATATATCAAAATGTAAGTTTTTCTAATTATTATTTTTGTAGTCAAATTTTTTAAATCAAACATAAAGTAGGTGGACGTGGTGCAATATAGTCATTATATGCCAAAATAGAAAATATCAATTAAACTTATGAAACTTGTTGTAATAAATCTGGCCTATGCTGCTGTATGAACCGTTAAAAGAGAGGTGTGTCGTGACGTCACGGCCGTCGCCTTCCAAACAAAACTGAACTCGGCGTAGCTACCAAACAAAACGAACGAATGTTATTTATTAATCTCGATTGCTGGTAACAATTCGTTACGTGCCCATTTTTGTATTATTTACTCTATTTATAAATGTTGATGGTATCGTTGAGGTTAAACGATTCGAAAAGAGGTGTCAATTTGTTTTCGAAAGCGAATTGTGTTTTGACGTAAACGTTAAACGAAATAATTTAAAAAAATTTAACTCCGAGAAACGGCTTGTTGTCATGGAAGCGCAACGGTCTGCCGTTCAAGGTCACAGCGGACGTCGGAGGACCGTCGGCAGCGAGCGTTTCGATTGGCCGAACAAACGGAGGTGTGTCACGTTGTCACATTCCTCGGCCGAACCGCACACATGCTGCTTTCGCCACTAACATTGCATCAGATTTTTTTTTTGCTGGAAAAGCACTGGCACCATTGTTTTTCCATTTTCAATTGTCACGTAAACCCAGATAGGTATTCGCGCGGTATCATCACGTCGTCTTATCTATCGGGCTTTTCAATTCACACAACAAAAATTTCCCATTAACATTTTTTTTAGAATACCTAGTTGATATCGAAGACCGGTTAAATTTGTTTATTAGACAAAATGTAACCAACAAAACGTATACGATTAAAAAACGCTTTTTTAAAATTCATTAACAGGTTTAAATTTGAAAATGATAAGAACAAAGCAAACATCGATAAAGAGCGATAATATATCGAAGTGTTAAACGCTCAGGAAGCGTGGGTATAATAAATATTTTTTTACAAATATATATTTATTAATAATATTAGCAAACCAAACGGATTGCATTACATGGCGCTAAATTTATGTATGCATATACATACATGTATGTATTTCTACTCCAGTAGAAACGAATGGAAATTTCCACTCTTAAAACGCAGCATCTATAACACAATAAATTAATATTCTGCAAAAAATGAAACAATCGAGAATAAAAAAAAAATACTTATAGCGGATAATCCCGAAGAAAATAATAAATCTTTTATCAATTAGATGTCGTAGTTTATTAGTAGATGATTTATCAATTGAATGAGTGCCAGCGACGAGTTAAACTAAAAAAATAAATACACTGTCCGCAAAAATTAAAAATCAACCCCCCGGGTAAAATCAAAATAATAATAATAATAAGCGACGGCGCAGGCGCTTTAAACACCAATTGTAATACATATATATACCTAAGATACAATCGTGTGGCACACGACGTGTGCGCTAGAACTTAAAAGACAGCTCTCACATAAAGTTTAATTCGATTGTTTTAACAAGTGTCATAGTGTCAAAACGAAAAAATCTGCTAGGTTTTTTTTAATCTGCAAATAAATTCGGTGCCCACAAAAATTGTTATTTTTCGGATTATGCCCAGAAAGGAACAATACTACACAAGGGTAGGAGAAAAACCCCATTCGCAATGGGGCGGATTAGCGAATATCATCCCTTGGCCGCATCGGGTAAGTCGAGAATTATTATTTTTTTTTTCGAATTATATCCGCGAGTTTTAAATTTTTGCACACCATGCGCTCTATTGGTAAAACGACGCACTACGAATTATCAAAACCTACGAAATTTAGCACATTTTTTTTTCTAAAAAATGTTTGCTTTTGGAATGTTCTAGATCTTGCGTCAGATGGTGCCCGAAACATTAAGCTATTAAATTAATTATTTTCAACTAAAACGCTTTATAGCCTTCGCCAGGTTAAGTTCAATGCTATATCGCAAAACTTTCATTATACCAGGTTGAACGAAAAATTGAAAATATAGCAAAAATTTTTATATAATTTTAAGGCTTTATTGCTCAAATATACAAAGTGAATCAAAATCTAAAATCTTTTTATTGAAATTTTTTTGCACATTTATACAAAATAATCCTTGACATTTAATAACAAATTTTATTTATAAAACTCATTTTAATATTAGCGCCTTGGACTATTTTAGCATTTAGAATTTCGTGTATTGCATACGTACCTGCGCAAGTCTGCTGCAATTTTGCAATGCATTGCGCAGTGCATATTATATAATTTAATTAAAAATGATAAAGCAACTTTTTGCTTTGACATTGCCCGATTGCTTATCTAGCATATATTCAAATAAGTAATAAATACATTTTTAAACAAAAAAATTAATACGGTAATTTACGTAAAATTTAGAATTGATAAATAATAAAAATGGAATTTTTATTATGCATCATGGATATGCAGGGGCGGCCCCAGAAATTTATTTCTTTGTAGTTTTTATTTATTTAATTAATTAATTAATTATTATATTAAATATCCAATTATTATAATAATTATTAATGATCCCCAACTTTGTAACCCGAGCGAATAAAAAAATACATTAATTAAACTAAATACGTGTAACGAATTTTAATCACACAATTGCCAAAATAGGATGGTTAGTGTCGTAAAAGTAATGTTATGTACCATTGACGCATTTAATAATTATTAAACGTGGAAAATAAATCAATTTACATTAAACCATATTGATATATCGTCGATATTAACGACAGGACCGGATTAAAATGAAATGAAAATGCCAAGAAATTATTAAACGTGAAAAATAAATTAATTTACATTTAACGATACACACAACATATTAATGTATCGTCAATATTATGCGACAGGGGCGGATTAAAATTAAATTAAAATGCTAAGAAATTATTAAACGTAAAAAATAAATCAATTTACATTTAAACATAAACACGACATATATTGATATATCGTCGATATTATACCACAGGGCCGGATTAAAATGAAATGAAAATGCCAAGAAATTATTAAACGTAAAAAATAAATTATTTTAAATTTAACGATTCGCACAACATATTAAAATATCGTCAATATTATGCGACAGGGCCGGATTAAATTAAAATGTTAATAAATTATTAAACGTGAAAATAAATTATATATATAGATATTGATATATCGTCGATATTACACCAGGGGGCCGAATTAAAACGAAATAAAAAATGCCACTTGAGGTTGTTAATAAAAATGCTCAGAAACGTTAAATGGACGCGCAAAACTCGCGCGCGCGGAATTGTGCTTCGTAGAAAGCCTTAATAATATGTTTGGGTTTAAAAATTAAAAAAAAAAAATTCACCAAATTTTATAAATTTAGCCCTTTTCTGATCATCTGTGATATTTTAGGTTTTTTAACCTACATATATGTATATATATATAGACAAAATTTGTAATTTCTTGCATGGTTTTTTCTTGCGTATTTATCATGACTTATTGGCGTGTAACTATTGGATTTTAAGTAAACTTATTATTGTTTAAATAACCCAAGGGTCAAAATTTATCAATTTGTACATAATATTACAGAATGTCCACCACGAAAGGATGCCAGTCGAGAGTCCGAGCATATCTGCGTGTACAACTCAAACGAACCTGTCATCGTTGGACTTGCAGTCATCATCAACGATCAACATTCAGATCGGCTTTCAAAGGAAAATGTTGGGGGAAAATTTAAAGAACGCCATTCCAGAGGTGGAACCTCTCAACGCAAGAAAAGAGGAGCTAGAACTTACCATTCCAGAAGATGCGCCAAGATCCTTTAAGTTTACGCAAGCGAAAACACAGGTAAGCATCAACATCTTCAGTTTCCAAAAAACCTGCAATTTGGTACAATCAGTCTTTGTTCAACATATTTTTCACCACAATCGATAATGATTTAATATTCAGTTTAAATGTTGTCATTAAAATTCTTTAAACTCATCATAAACACTTCAAAAAATGTTTTTTAAAAATCTGGAGATCTGGATCTATCTAGTTCAAGGCAAAAGTCCAACACGACACATTGTAAAAACATTACTTTTATCTTCAAATTGAACTTATTATGAACTTTCGACCCGAAGATTGTCGCGTTTATTTATTTTCATGCCTCGAGCAAATTTTATAAAAAAAATGTAGGAAGTTAAAGATTCTGTGCGTAAATCTCTCGATCAGGATGTAGTTCGGTAAAAATACTTTTTTTTATGCGTCTCGTATCGAGTACATTACTGTGATAGTTCTTGTAAAAATGGAGGTAACGGAAATATAAAGACCTTTACCTTCCAACGAAGAAGGCTAAGGTCTAAGCTAAGCCGCATATTAAAGTAAAGAGGATGAAATAGAATGTCTGGTTGACAATATTCGTTTATCGATATAAAATCATAATTAAGGCGAGATTGTTGAGCGGGATGACGAATCGCAGAGATTAATAAAAAACGTATTAGCTAAATAATTAAGATATATTCGTCTCTATCGATAAAAAGTAATAAAGGACAAAAAATAATTGTGTTGGGAATAATAACGATCAAGATTAGAGGGGGGAACTCGGTTTATATACTCAGACAACACTTAACAATTGTATAGTTTTATTAATACGGCCTCTTCAGTGTTTGTTTAAATACCATTCAATTAAGTGACCAAATTATTATGAAAGTTCTAATACGCGCTGACACACACGTTGCCTTTTCGATACCAGACGATGATCCTAAGGCTAAATGCACTTTTTCTCAGGTCCTTGTCAAAAATGACCAAATATTTATCTCACCTCCTAATCAATGTGTTATTTTCAGTTATTGGCTGCAGTGGCGGTATCATGGGTTTCTATGATCATCGGTTACTCTTCTGCCTACACAGCTCCAGCAGAGCACTCTTTAGAAGAAGATTTTGGTCTAAAGGATGACAAGGTATGTCCAAAATTCGTTACATTTGATTTAACGCACGTGATTGTCGTGATCGTGAACATAACACAATGGACAATAAAAAATAATTAACTAACAAAATCGGTATTAAATATTTATTGGCACAGATTTTGTTGGAAACATTATCATAAAAAATGCCGCAATAAAAAATCTAATTATGTATTTTATTGTATTGTAGATGACATGGGTCACCAGTCTAATGCCTTTGGGCGCCTTGGTTGGCGGAATTTTCGGCGGGACTTTTATCGAATACCTAGGACGAAAATGGACTTTATTGGTCACCAATATTTTATTTTTGACCGCTTGGACCATCACTTATCTTGCCCAAAACGAATTCTACTTGTACATCAGCAGAACTATGATTGGTACTAGCGTTGGTATAGCCTCTCTAACTCTGCCTGTTTATTTGGCTGAAACAATCCAACCTGAGGTCCGCGGTACTTTAGGCTTGTTGCCCACCGCTTTCGGTAATATTGGTATCCTGGTTTGCTATTTATTCGGAACCATCTATCAATGGCAAGAGTTGGCTTTGGTCGGGATAATCCTTTCCGTTCCGTTTATGGTGCTTTTTATCTGGCTTATACCGGAAACGCCCAGATGGTTCATCTCCAAGGGAGAGCTGGATAAATCCAGAAACGCTTTGAAATGGCTGAGAGGTTCTGAAGCTAACATCGATAAGGAATTCAACGAACTGGCTGAAAACCAAAAGCAATCCGAGGAGAACTTCAACATGAAGGATCTTTTCACTAGAAACAACGTTAAATTGCTGTTCATTGTGCTTGGGTTGATGTTTTTCCAGCAAATGAGCGGCATCAACGCCGTCATCTTCTACACTACGAAAATCTTCGAAGCCGCAGGTTCCAGCCTGGATAAAACCGTATGCACCACGATTGTAGGAGTAGTGAACTTCGTATCGACCTTCATTGCCGCCACCTTAATCGACAAACTCGGGAGGAAGATCCTTCTGTACATTTCCAGTGTCGCCATGATGGTCTCCTTGGCCGTCCTTGGGGCCTATTTCTACTTGAAGAATCACGGCGTGGACGTGAACGAGTACGGATGGCTGCCGTTGGCGGTGTTCATCATTTACGTGCTTGGATTTTCGTTGGGCTTCGGCCCGATTCCATGGTTGATGATGGGCGAGATTTTGCCGGCCAAAATCAGGGGCACAGCGGCCTCCATCGCGACCGGATTCAACTGGCTGTGCACTTTTATTGTAACCAAAACCTTTTTGCTTATCATTGGAGCTATCGGCGAGGAAGGTACTTTTTGGCTGTACGGGGCTATCGTCACAATAGCTTTGGTGTTTGTAATCCTATTTGTGCCGGAAACCAGAGGCCAAAGTCTGCAGGATATTGAAAGAAAGTTGGCAGGAATCAAGGTTAGAAGAATGAGCTCTTTAGCCAATTTGAAACCTTTCCCCTCGACATTGGCCTAGGTTTGAGGAGTTGAATCTCTAAGTCTTAAGTATTTATATTTAAAAAATTTTAAAGATATATTTTTATATGTAGTTTTTTTTCTTTTATACTTCCTCCTCCTTTGGAGATTTCCTAGCTTAGGTGTAATGTATCATTACATTTATGACAATTAGGTGAGAATATATTTGTGATATTTGTTGTAAATAAACGAACGTAGTTATATACCGTTGATTTATTACCCTCTACTTTATCAACAAATATGCAGATTTACAATTCTTTTAATCAGCCTCTGTCCCGTGTAACATTTTCAAGAGTTACATCAGAAACATCTTTTTAAACAAGATAATTAAAATAAATTATCATTTTCCGCAATACAAAATGCCATAAATAATACAATATAGATTTTATTAAATAAAAAATATAAAATTTTACATTTTAGTAACAACTTTTAAAACCATATTAAGTACTAGTAGCGCCATCTGAACCAATCCATAAAAAACAACAAACACGCAGTCTGGCAACAGATGGCATTTGCATCAGCCAGAGATTATTGTTCTAAAAATTCGAAACATGAATAATAAATAGAATTGCATTAAATTATGGATTTTGGCATTGATTGCAATGTTCCATGCTATCTTGAAACTCCTCAATCTGCAAGGTCATCTCGAAGAAATTGTATTTATCATGTATATTTTTCGTGGCCACCATCAAAATGTTTTGCGGGTTCACTCCTGGAGCGATAGCAACGTGAGCGGACATGGTTATTTTGTCCAAACTTAGCGCCCATATTCTTAAATTGTGCACCCGTTTTACACCCTCGATGGCCAAAACGGTGGTCATCACCTCTTCAAAGTCGATTCCTTTCGGAGAGCCCTCCATCAACACCACCAAAGCGTCTTTGATAATTGCGAATGTCGTTATCAAAACCAAAACGGAAAACAAAAATGTACAAATTGGGTCGATTATCGCCCAGTCTTCCTGCAAATAACCACAAGTTTAACAAATGTTTTCAAGGTGTATCATCATCATCAAGTTGGAGCCTTTAGTTTCCAGACACCAAAATTACCTACCCTATAATAAATAACTAGAGCTGCCACAAAAACACCAAAACTCTGTAAAAAATCTCCAATAACGTGGATAAAAGCGGCCCTAACGTTAATGTTCTCCTCTTTGTGCGAATGACCGTGACTATGGCTGTGACTTGACCCGCCTCCATGAGTGTGACCGTGTTGGTGAAGCGTCAAACCCATGCTAGAAGTACAATACGAAATATGGTATTTTTTGACGATAATTTTACTTACATGAGGTTTACCAGAACTCCTACTCCAGAGGTTATCAACATGATTTTGGCATCGATTTCGAACGTTTTGTACATCACCCTTTGCACTGCCATGTAAACCAAAATGCCGGTGACAACCCAAATCATTAGTACTGAGGTTAAGGCCCCTATAACCTCGGCTCTATACCAACCGAAGGACATTTTTTTCGTGGAAGGTCTGGTGGCCATCCAAAGAGAAAACAGGGAGATCATGAAGCTGGCAAAATCGGTTAGTAAATGTGCTGCATCTGAAGCTATGGCTAGACTGTTTGATAAGTATCCACCTAAAATTTGTTTGTGTTATTGTTTTGTTTGTTGTTTACTTGGAAAAAAAATACCAACGACTTCTGCTATCATGAATAGGACACATAGTACGCTGGCGATGATCAATTTTTTCCTGGCTTTCTTGTCGACGCTGTTCTCCTTTGATCTATGACAATGCTTGTTAACTAAAAAAAATATCAGTATAGAGTTAATTCATATATAGAGAGTTGAACACCTTCATCATCATAATTGATGTTGATTGTGGAGATTTGGATATTTTCTGAATCTCTTGGAAGATGATTGCAACCGAACAATTTCATTGTTATGTGAGGTGTCACCAAACCCACACAATATTGAAATGCGATACTTTATCGAAAAATTTGGTTATTGCTTTGTCGGTCGAAAATAAAATGAAAAACATACGTATATCGTCTAGTAGTATGGGGTTGACTGTTGACAAACAAATACGATATGGTACGACATAATTCATGCATCATTTGAATGCAAAAATCGACTAATCGTCTTTGATCTTAATTCATGTAAATACAAATGAGTAATACTTACTCAACTCCGTGGTACTCGTGTTGACTTTAGTGTGCGATGTGTAATTTTCTTCGTAATTTGGCATGTCGATGATTTCGCCCTCCAAAACCCTGCAGCAGCCATCGCTGGGGGTACCGTGGACGCAGTAAATGACCCTCCTGGGGGTGCTCGTGTTAGATGGCGACAAACTTCCATAATGTCCAGAGCCATTATTATTCACCCTTAAACGAAATTCACGAACTATTCGCAACAACTTCGATCATACTTACATCAATTTCGTTTCTTCTTTAGTTGGCATGTTTTTTTCCTTCATAAAAACCAACAACACTTTTTGTGGGTTTTTCAGTTTATTATATTAACCAAACGTGTAAGATTTGTTACGATAATGAATTTATCTTGCACTCGACACTACACTTTATTATCTTTACTTACTTATTATTACTATAAATATACAAGATGCTTTCCTTGGGAGCGCAAACAGTTGAATATTTAAGATATAAGCCAAGCAAATAAATAAGTTGAATAATTAAATTTAAAGATTTCCCAAGCAACAACAAGATTTGTTTTTATTATTACAATTATAACGCGCGGTAATCACAGGATTGATTTTTTTAATACTATAGTAAATTTGTTAATCTTTTCTAATTTTATTTATTTATTTTTATCATTTCTGGTAATATCGCTTTTGTATATTTATAATTTAGAGCGATATTTTTTTTGATTTATAACCACACATCATGTTTATTGTTAGGAAATATTACTGAATATACAAGGTTATACAAGGTTCGCCAAGTGTTCTTCTAAACATATATGTTTAATTTTTTTAAACAATTGATAGTCAAACATTTTTTTAAATATTTTTTCTACTCCCACCTTTAAAACGCCCTTTATCGTACGAGTACATGTTTCCATGACACTAAGTGACCTTTTAAATACACATTGACAAGTTGTGGCTTTATGCATGGCGCTTTAGTCACGGGCTGAAGTTAGCAACAGGTTTTTAGTCACGGGCTGAAGTTTTAAGTTAGTTGACAGTTGTCAAATGTCATACAATCGTTAAAATAAAGTGCATTTCTTGTAAAATAATACTAAATGTGAAAATTATTTTATTATCTCAATAGTTTCTCAACGCCAATATTTGAAAAGTTTATATGAACATTGTACTGACCTTTTAATTTCGCCGGCAGTAAACTATAACTTAAATTCGGGCACGGACTCTACTGTAAAGTCCTCATAAAACATTTTCTTTATTTTCACTTTGAAAAACTGTCAATTTTCAAGAAATACATTTCGATTTATAACCTTTATAATTGTGTTTATAAAATGTAAAAATGTGACATTTGACGGTGACACACAGTTTCCCCTGTTGTTTTATAGATGGCGCTCGATACAAATTTTTGATTTAAATCATTTTAAGATAATAATAAGTATTTGTCGTAGAAAAAGTATAGTATGCACCTCGTTTATAAACTTTTCTATACACTCATTAATTTAAGAACTAGCTCGCAAGCTCGCTCGTGCCTAAATTAAATTCGTGTATAAAATGGCGTTTATCAAACTTGATACATAATTTACTATTATTCTACAAAAGTCATTTATTTAAATGATAGTCGATAAATTTTTAATCCAAAAATTACCACTTTAAAATTTAAAACTAACATTTAAATGTTTTGTTAAAAGTTTTTGTATTAAAAATTTATCTACCATCATTTAAATGACTCTTTACAAATTTAAACCAATAGAGATGTAAGAACATCACGTGATCCACATCGTCTAACGACGCAATCGGTACATACTATGCAACCAAGACTGCACACGGCAAATTGTATCACAGATACTAATATGGCCTAAAGGAATCTAAAGTTAGCCCAACCGGGCTAAACATTAAGGTAAACATTCAATTTTCTTAGTTTCCTTAAGAAACTTTCTTGACCCATTACTGGTAATATTCATAAGAAAAAATTCGCCACTTGAAACAAAAAACTTTGGCGAGGTGTAGGTTCAATTTTTTCCTATGAATATTACCAGTAATGGTCAAGAAAGTTTCTTAAGGAAACTAAGAAAATTTAATGTTTATCAAATCATTTCTCACTAAGACTGTTTCCTTTTCGTGGAGTTAAAGTGCCGGTTTATTATTATTATTTTGTCCCTATTTGGTGTATAATAAATACTTTTTAATAAATTGTATATAAATTGTATGGAAAAAAGCATTTAACAATAATAAACACACAAAATTATGATATTTTAGATCTTATAAAGGCATGTTTATAACAGCAAGAGTTTGGCAACGCTGTATTTCTACCATGATAGCCAAAAGGTTTTTATCATAGACATACTAATATGTAGAGATGCGACTTGAAAACAACGGTCCGTTTTTTTTGTTTTTTTTTTCAAGGTTTTTTTCATTGTTTTTTTCATATTTTAGGTTTTTTTTAAGATTAGTCCAATTTGCCTATTTTTTTATGTTTCCAGTCCAGTTCGTGGACTAAAATTAGCCAATAAAAGACATTTAGTAAATGTAAATACAGTCTGGCGCTTTGCAGGCGCCACCACCACCGAATTGACCAATAAGGGCCGCGCTTGTTTTGATTTGGTCCTAAAAAAAGTAACTACCTATAATATTTTTGATTCAGCGCTTGATTTTTCAAAAAGCTACCAAAAGCACTTTTTTTCATGATTTTTCAAATTCATGTAGAGTATGGAATTTTTTTTTTCAAAAAAACAATAGCAAATTCTTGTAGAACATTTATTCATTCCGTGGACCAAAAAAGAAATCCAAAAAAATTTTTTATTACGGTATTTGTTAGGATTAAGCGTTGCACGTTTTTCATCTAAAAATCTCAAAACTAGAAACTTCAAGCTTCAAATTGCTTTTTTTACGGCTCCATGGAGCCGTAATTGCAATACGACCATTTTTAACAAAGATCAGCTATCCAAAAAAATCGCAAAAAATTTGGATTTTTTTTTTATCCTTTAATTTTTTCTATTAGTGTAGAAGTTTTACATTGCTATTGGTTTGTTATGTGGAAACTACCAAATAATAAGAAATCAGATTTTTTGGTCTTGGTCAAAATTTTCAATAATGAAAAATGTAAAATATTCTACATTTCACTTTATTATTAATATACATTTTACTCAAAATTTCATTTTGATAAACTACTCCATTTTATAAGATTGATGTTATTTATTGACAGAATATGCTTTATTGCAGCGTTTTTTTCACATCTGAAAAAAACCGTTTTTTACATCTCTACTAATATAATATGTATTTTGATACAATGAGTTTAGTAATAACACAGAATAGAGGCGTTGCCAAATATAGAATGTTAAATGTGACGAAAAGTCCTACATACAATCTGTGTTTTATTATTACCAAAGCTTTGATAAAATATAAATATATTTTTTGTTTAATTTTTAACAATCTTTCTGTAATGATTAAGACCTTTTTAAGCCATTGTTATAATTTATTACGTAGTAAAGTAATTTGCTGATGATTAATAAAAAGAGTTTACCTCAAATGAGTCATTTAAAACCTAAAACCGCACAAACGCCGGCAACGTGGCAACGCTGCCGACTTAAAAGCCGCCTTCTTGAAACTGAAATGAGTGAGAGGGCGAATGCGGAGCGCGAATGCGTTAGAGTGAGATCGATTGTAGATAACAATCTAAAGTATGTTTGGGAATAAGCAAAGCAAACAATGGAAGAGCGCTGGTGCTTCATTTAACAGGTATCTGTAAAATAGTAGACATCCTGTTCAATTTGCATTTACAAACATGAGACAAGTGCAATGAAAGCAGTGTGTAAAGTGAGCGTTTTTTGTGTGAAAAATGGTTATAAAATGAGTGCGACGAATACAGCAGGAGTGTCGATAGAATAATAAAACCGCTTTAAATCATTTGATATGGGATTTTGCACGAGAAGATACTTTTTTCTCTCAATATGTCTACTACAAATTGTAAGCAAAAAACTTAACCGCAAAAGCTCAAGTTAATGTGCTTTTTTTCAGCTCGCAGTTGTCCAAAAGCAAGTGTTCGATTTTCTGGGATTTCTATGGATACCCATACTGTTTAATTTCTTTGAAATCATCTTTATTATTTTCGGATTTTTCGGGGCATATCACTATAGACCGAAATATGTCATAGCAGTAAATAAAAATCATCAGTATTTTTAACTCTTTTAACCTATATATTTTTTTCAGTACTTGTTGTGGCACATTTTTTGGCTAGCATGGAACATATTTGCTATTTGTTTATATTTAGATCTTGCCGGCTTGGATCACAAGGTACGTACCTCAAAAAAATTATTCAACAAAAAATCAATTTTTATTATTTTAGACCAACAAGGTTCTCAAGTTGGACTCGTCAGATAGCTGGTGGAAATCAAATGGACCTGGATGTATAATACCCCCCCCACCTGAAGACTTAAGTTTACCCGAAGCAAAAGATTGCTGGTTCGATTACCAATATGTGGAAATATTTCAAGCTGGGGTGCAATGTTTTCTAACAGTAAGTCTTAGTCATACATCCGCATCCTAAACCACTATTACAATATCAAACCACATCAGACACATTCCTTAAATAATTTAAATCATGAACTTGATATAAATATTTTTACTATCTAAGTATTTTATTTTTTGTTGCGGAAGTTCTGCACACTTTTACACTTCCGCTTCCGCATTTTTATATCAGAAAATTTAAAGAAATGGCGAAATTGACGATAGGCTATTTTTTATAGTATTTATACTGCTTCCGCAAAAATTAACTATTGACATCTGTTTCGCTTTTTTGCAAACTTCCGTTGCATCACTAATCTTCAAACATCATTTTTGGCTGGATCTCCAAAAAGATTGTTTAAACACCACTCATTTCACAGTACTATTTAAGACTTATTTAATAAATACATATATATCTTTTTTATAGTTCTTGGGCTGTATTATTGGCACATGCCTCAATCAGCTCTATATGGAGGAAGATGATACCTGTAAGTACCCGAAAAACTTCTACATCACCTATGTTACATTCACTAACACATTTACTATATACTAGCACATACGATTGATTTAAGATTTTTACACCTTACACTTTAGTAGTCACTGTTTTAAAATCTTTGGTCAATCGGTTATTTCCATTATTAACTATGCTTACAGTTCATTACATTGGTGGATTTGATCCTCAAAGTATTTGGTAAGTTGGCTAGGTATGCACTCATCCTATGTAGAGGTGGTTGCCTATATATACATATATAACAGCACAGCTGCTTTAGATATTGTAATTAATTTGGTGTTGGTGTAAAGGCAATCACTTAAGTTTTTATGTTCACTCTTTTTGGTTCTTTTTTAGTAGTTAGCCTCTTTTATTTCAGTTAATTTCGAGAAGGCAGATGGTACTGACAATTATTTGTTACATCCAATGTATGTGAAAGCTAGAAATAATCAGCAAAAATCGAACGTAAATGTAAAGCCTGATGTCTCCGATTTTTCCGAAAACGTTTACTTTAATAGTTTTAAAAAATCCAATTTTCGTGCGGATGCCATTAGAATTCCCGAATATAATAATGATTACAAGCCGAAATCTCTTGGGGCCGAAGCCCAATATTACGATTGATCTCATCCAAACAATCTTTACATTTATCGTTTAAGCTTTTTTTTTTGTGTTTCTCTAGTCATTGAGCGCTATAATATAATATTACATAATTAATATATTTCTATTGTATTTGTTAATACAATAGACGACCAAGTCGATACATATCATTGTTGTTTTAGCTACTATAGTCTATATTGTAATACATATTTATATAGTTAGAGCTTTTATTGTATTTGTGTTTTATGCTTCAGCATGATTATACTGCATGACTGTATTTATAGTATTTTGACTAATAAATATTAAATAGTATTATTTATAATTTGTTTTTTCTTTCATCATTTGGGTTGAGGTTGTTTTAACGCAATTAACTTAACACGTTTCACCACCAAACATATTTATCTTTCGACAGCATCACGTAAAACGCCGAGAAAAAATCAAAAACGCATGTCTTTGTACTCGATCGAGTTTAGCTCGCATTTAGAAAATCGTAACGATAGCGACAACGACTTCGATCACATACCGCCGCCGGTCTCGCCGAAACCAATGACACCGCGAAGAGTTAAAAGACGCAGCGTGATGACCAGAGGCTCCTCGGGCCGCCACTCGACCAGCAGCCGACGACAATCTCACCCGAGATCATCGACGAGAAGCTCGAGGCGCATGGCTCAAAACCCAGTGACGCAGCTCTTGGAGCAACAGCAAAAAATTCAGGCCTACGAGAGCCCGACCAGCCCCTCTCCCATAGAATCTCTTCCCAATTACTTTAACACAGCATCGACGAGCACCCTGATTCACCACCAAAGCAACTGGCAAAGTAACGGCCACACCAATCCCACATATCAACAATCGTCGACTCAATCGCTCAACGAGACCGAGGACTTCGAAGATCTCTACAATAACAGGCCGGCCTCAGTCCGGTCCAGTTACTCGAACTTCCACGGTACCAGAGCCATCAGTTACAACACGCCGCCGAAGCACTTCCATCATAGCCACGCTACCCCGCAAGTGCCCCAAAAACGCAACAACCCACACAGGACCAGCATGCGTTCGATGGCTTTCATGAACAACGGACCCCCCGCCTACGCAACGTCGCAAGGCGCTGTGGCCCCCGATTCCGAAACCGCAATTTAATAGGGTTAAGTATTTATTTATTCTATTTAACGTTGTTGTACATATAGCACTAGACCTAGGTTTTTGTATCAATCAATTGCAATCAATTTTTATACTCAATCACCCTGTGATTCTGGCAATATGTTTGATTTTAGGTTTTGTGATACTGTATAAATAATTTAACTGGCAAAACTTCAAATCAAGGCTTCTAATGGGTCTCCCAACATTATTTAAATGGTATCAAAGGTCTTCAAAATGATGATCTCCCGACAAACAATTGTCCCGTCGACAAACGATCTTGCAGACGTCGGCTAACCGCTGGCAAACGACGTTGGCCCAGCGTTGGCATACGACGTTGGCCCAGCGTCGGCATACGACGTTGGCCCAGCGTCGGCATACGACGTTGGCCCAGCGTCGGCATACGACGTTGGCCCAGCGTCGGCATACGACGTTGGCCCAGCGTCGGCCTACGACACTCGTATTGCGGACGATTGTTTGTCGGGCTGTGATATTTGTAGTTTTTGTTGAGACACCCTATATATACTACACGTATCTTGCCGTTTTCACTGAATCCTCGTACCTTACTAATTAAGAAAACTTCAACGACAAAAATTTAACGCAAATATTCACTTGACACTTCCCCGGCAATATTTTAGATTTTTTTTCTAGTCTATTTTTAACTTAAATACTTGTTTTTATTTTGTTGCTGTTTATACTTAATCGCCATAAGTTTTTTTGTACAAAAATAAAACATGATTTTGTTGTAAAAATCACCGTATGCATGCCTGTGTATATTTTAAATTTGTGTTCATTACATATCTCTTCGTATGTGTATATAATAGAGCTTTTAGTTTTTAGACATATTCTTACCAAAGTATTACCTAAAATATATTTTTATTACTTAGTTTTTAACAAGAACACCCGTATCAATAAACTGAATAATAATTAGTTTCGTGTTTGTTTTATTTTCCTTTTCAAAAAATACCTAAACCTGAGATGTAATTTTCTTAATAAGCATTGGTGATACTGGCGATTTTTTTAGGTCAATTTGCATTTAAAGTTTACACATCTTCCAAATTTTCATTAAAAAGTCCTAAATAATATATTTTCATTAGGTTGAACATCATAAGTTGAGTTGAGTTTTATTTTCCTTTTCAAAAAATACGTAAACCTGAGATTTAATTTTCTTGATAAGCAGTGGTGAAATTGGCGATTTTTTTTGGTCAATTTGCCTTTAAAGTTTACACATCTTTCAAATTTTTATTAAAAAGTCCTAAGTTTCATTAGGTTGTACATCATCAAGTTGATTTAGATGTATTTGGCTCAATACGCAATCCTGAAGTATATGATTTTTTGGGTCAATTTGCCTCTAAGGTTTACACATCCTCTAATTTTTCTTTAAAAAAACTCAAATTTTCTCTCTTCCTTATTTTGGACATTTGTATTTCCAATAATGATGTCCAACACAACAACGATAGATAATTTAGGATTTTTGAAAGAAAATTTAGAGGATGTGTACACTTTAGAAGCAAATTGAAGTTTAAAAATTGAATTCTGCTATGAGTATTTATATGATTTATTGCCTTAAAGATTTTTACATCCACTAAATTTTCTATAAACCACTTTAAGTATTACCTAAAATATATTTTTATTACTTAGTTTTTAACTAAAACACCCGTATCAATAAACTGAATAATAATTAGTTTTATGTTTGTTTTATTTTCCTTTTCAAAAAATACCTAAACCTGAGATGTAATTTTCTTCATAAGCAATGGTGAAATTGGCGATTTTTTGGGTCAATTTGCCTTTAAAGTTTACACATCTTCCAAATTTTCTTTAAAAAGTCCTAAATTACATATTTTCATTAGGTTGGACATCATCAAGTTGATTTAGATGTACTTGGCTCAATACGCAATCCTGAAGTATATGATTTTTTGGGTCAATTTGCCTCTAAGGTTTCCACATCCTCTAATTTTTCTTTAAAAAAACCCAAATTTTCTTTTTTCCTTATGTTGGACATTTTTATTTCCAATAATGATGTCCAACACAACAACGATAGATAATTTAGGATTTTTGAAAGAAAATTTAGAGGATGTGTACACTTTAGAGGCAAATTGAACTACAAAAATCGAATTCTACTATAGGTATTTATTTTTGTTTGAAATCTGTATAGTAATAGCTTTGTTAAAGTTATCGACGGATAGATGTCTATAGTTTCGATCAAAGTTGACGCATGTTGGGTTTTCGGCGCGCTGACCAAAATTTCGTAGTAGTGCGACAGCGCATTACGAAATATATCCAGAAATATCGACCAAACGAATAATATGAAAACCGGGTTGAATTCGCGATTTCTAATTAGTCTGAACAAGTGTCAGTTGAAAAGTCATTTGGACAATGCAAAGCCTTTGGGGCTGCTGAAAGCGCACCCTTTGCATACTAGTGCAGGAAATGTGAGTGAGTTGTATAGGGAATTTTCGGTGAAATTTACGAAATAAAATTTTTAGGCCGCTATCCAACAATCGTATAGTTCAAGACATCAGCAAAGGTAAATATAAATAAACCTGATTCACGTTTTAATGGTATTTTATTTACAGGCGAGAATATTCGTTTATCCATGACACTAGTTACATGTACTTGTAAGTTTTGTAATATTCTTCTTGAAAAAATTTAGTTTTTCTTGAATTATTGCAGTAATGACGATGTTCGGTCCGAAGTGGCATTATTTGAAATGTTCAAAAGTCAAGATACTGGACTTTTACCGATCGGAAAATTCTTATCAGTGAGTTCTTAAAAAAAATCGTAAAATAAATAATTTGGAAACATTTTTAGGCTTTAAAAGCCACAGGTCTTCGCAAAGACGACCCAAGATTGAAAACAACATTGGAAACGTTAAAACGAATCAACAAAAGTATCGACACGCAAAAATTAAATTTAGAAAATTTTACAAGGTAAAGAGATATTTTAACCCTGAATTTATCTCAACTTTGACTTTCAATCTTCTTAATCAGTTTAATTGCACAAATGCACATGCATGATGTTATTCAATTGGATTCATTTGCGTTTTCAGCATTGTATCGCCTAGCATAGGCCTGATATCGCGGGCATTTAGGCATCAATTCATCGTACCTGAATTTCAAGATTTTTGCAAAGATGTAGAGGAGATCTACTGGAAATGCAAGGACAACCAAAGCGGAACAGTACGATTTTTGATGATAGTTTTAAAGTAGAGGTAAAAAAAACCGATTTTAGGTGGCTTCCTACATCCCGCAATTAAAACGAATGGACCCGAATTTTTGGGGGGTCAGTGTGTGCACTGCAGATGGGCAAAGATACTCCATTGGGGATGTGCACACCCCATTCACAATACAATCGTGCAGTAAACCCCTGACGTACGCAATAGCTCTAGATTTGCTGGGTGCCGATGTGGTGCATAACTATGTAGGGCAAGAACCGAGTGGCCGAAACTTCAACGAACTTATTTTAGATCATAATAGTAATATGCATTTTTTATTTTTTTGTGTAAATATTAGCGTTTGTTTTTTATAGAAAAACCCCATAACCCCATGATAAATGCAGGGGCTATTTTGGTATGCGCTCTATTGAAAACATTGGTGGGGCCTGAGATGAGTTTGGCGGAAAAGTTCGACTTCACCATGAATTATTTTGAAGTAATTTGTATGCAAATTATAATTAATATTTTTAACGATATTTTTTAGAGGCTTGCTGGTAATGAGGACTTGGGTTTTAATAACGCTGTATTTTTATCGGAACGCGAGGCGGCCGATAGGAACTATGCCCTTGGATTTTACATGCGCGAACACAAATGCTTTCCAACGAATGCCAAATTTAGGGAATGCATGGATTTCTACTTCCAAGTAATATTCGTATAAAATTTTATTTAAATAATTTTATTTTGCTCTAAATTTATTTCTAGTGTTGTTCGTTGGAAGCAAACTGCGATATTGTGTCGGTAATGGGCGCGACTTTGGCAAACGGTGGCATTTGCCCGCTATCCGAAGAAAAGGTCCTAAAATCCGAAAGCGTTAGAGATGTCCTCTCCTTAATGCACAGTTGCGGAATGTACGACTACTCAGGTCAATTTGCGTTTAAGGTTCATACATCCCCATATCATTCAATAAAACCATTGAACTACCTATTTTTCTTAGGTTGGAGTACCTGCCAAGTCCGGTGTCAGCGGGTGCCTCTTGGTCGTCATACCTAACGTAATGGGGATATGTTTGTACTCGCCTCCTTTAGATGCATTAGGAAACAGCTGTAGAGGAGTGCAATTTTGCGAGGAGCTGGTCAAAAAGTTCAACTTCCACAGATATGACAATTTAAAACATGCAACAGACAAAAAAGACCCTAGACGGCACAAATTCGAAACGAAAGGACTGAATATCGTAAACCTATTATTCTCAGCGGCTGCAGGAGACCTACCCAGCCTAAGAAGGTAGTTTAGAGTTTCAGTGATACACACATACAGCCCGTTCAGAGTAAAACCGAATATATCTATATATATATGGGGCGTGGCCTCGCCTCCCTCCAACGCGCGAAACAGTAGCTAAGCAAATAGCCTGCATCGCTAATGAGATTTTTTGCATTATTATCATTTAATTTTTTAAGTCGTCTTACCTGCTCGACCTTTCGTCATGTCGTTTATCACACAAGCTACTGTGACGCGCCTTGGAGGGAGGCGAGGCCACGCCCCATATATAGATATATTCGGTTTTACTCTGAACGGGCTGTATATATTTTACAACATTTTATTTTTTAGACATAAGCTATCAGGGATGGATATGACCTCATCGGACTATGACGGACGTACTGCTTTGCACTTGGCATCGGCCGAGGGTCATTTAAATTGCGTGGAATTTCTTCTGCAGCAATGTCACGTGCGACATGACATGAGGGACCGTTGGGGCAACACTTCGCTAGACGAGGCGACTAGATTTGGCCATATGGACATTGTGGAAGTGTTGCAGCTGTGGGAGGAGCAAGTGAAAAGAGAAAAAACCAATAAAACGAACGAAGAAGATCCGCCAGTTAATATAGTGGATAATTTGAAAAAATGATGGAACGCGCCAATATAGTCGATGTAGTCAATTGTTTTTGTTAAATGAGTAAGCAGTATTTTAATGTGGTTGGACAATTTTTTCATTTCAGTATTATTGTGATATTTATGAATCTAAGCAATATTTTTAATAATGTGTGATGACAATAAATAAATGTGTTTCTTTTATACCTGTGATTTTTTTAGCGCTTTCGCCAATTTTGAAAGAATGAGAGAAATGAAGTTGTTAAATCAAAAGTTTTAGAAATGCTATGCCTTTTGATATTAAAACAATTAACATTTTGTTAACATAAACTTAAATTTTGAAAGTCAAATTAAAAGTGTTATTTTAATAGTCTATTTTATTTAAATCAGTATATCAACACTAAACGTATATTGAATAAATATTGCTAAGAAATTTGATTAAATCATTTTTCTATTAGTTAAATGGATGCACACACAAAAATTAAACAAATATGTAAAATTATTGAGTCAACATATCTTAGTAATTATACTAAAATTGCAAGATATTTTGTTAAAATTTTGATCTTATTACTTTAATGTAAAGACTAGACTGGGCCAAAAAAATCAACTATTTTTTTTTTGAAAAGTATATCGAAAATATGGTTTGGGGTGACAAAAAAAAATTATTGTGTAAGTTTGACTCCATAATATTAATATTAAGAGGTCTATCATTGCAATTTTAATTTTTTTTCCTCAGCAAGTTTTTGTCTCAGAACTCCCAAACCATTGAGTTTAACAAAATTGACTCGAAAATATTTTTTTAAGAAAATTAAATTCTCTACAAAAAAGGTTAAAGTAAAATTTTCCGTCAGATGAACCATTTCCTTAAATATTGGTATAGTTTTACATTTTGATCTTTTAAATTGGAATTTTGTAATTCATGTAAAAATCAGTATCCATAAAAAACCAATAAATATTCTTATGGGGAATCAAATGCTTTAAAAAAAAGCCTCTCAATATTTTTGGCTAAATTCACTGAATCAAAAGTTATTCAAAGTTAAAATTTCGTTTTGACTTCAAATTTAACCTTGAATAACTTTTGATGGAGTGAATTTAGCCAAAAATGATAAAAGACTTTTTTTGTAGAGAATTTAATTTTCCATAAGAATATTTTCCGGGTACTGATTTTTACATGAATTACAAAATTCCAAAGTTAAAAGATCAAATTGTAAAACTATATAAATTTTTAAGGCATGATTGTAAGAAAACGGTTCATCTGACGGGAAATTCCAATCAAACCTTTTTTGTAGAGCATTCAATTTTCTTAAAAAAATATTCTTAAGTCAAAGTTAAACTCAATGGTTTGGGAGTTCTGAGACAAAAACTCGCTCAGGAAAAAAAAATCTAAAATTGCGATGATAGACCTCTTAATATTGATATTATGGACTCAAACTTTCACCATAATTTTTTTTGTCGCCCCAAACAATATTTTCGATATATATATAAAAAAATAGTCGATTTTTTTGGCCCAGTCTAGTAAGGATGCCCTACTTTTATAGCAATGGAACCTATACCTATACAAATTGGGATTTGCCAATCTAAATTGATGTTTTTATTTAATTGTAATATTATTTTACCATTGATTAATAACTACTCCTTCACTCAACGATTTTACCATAAAATAAACTTTATTAAAATTGTAAAAACTAATTAAAATAAGATTTTTTTAATTTTAATTAAATTTTGGATACAAAAGTAGGTAATAAAAGTTATCATACGATATATCGTATATTAACAAATAAATTTGTTTTTCTTGAACCGCCTTAACAAAATAAACACTATAAACACCGTAAATTGTCTATGTACCTTTTTTATTAATTTATAAAATATAAACATAATAAAAAACATTTTTTTAGACATTATAAGGCTCAAATAAAATAAAATAATTATGGAGGGAGAGGATATGCACATCTCATGTGCGTTTAGCGTTTAGTGTGAGTTGGCCGATCATCGGGCATGGTAGTCTCGATAGCTATAGTCAGTATTTTACACGTGCGATTAATAACAAATGGCCAAACATGAATGAAACCGTGCTCAGTTCGATTATATATCCTGAGGAGGCGACAATTTTGGCCGCGTTTTGTGCCATTTTGTTCTGTTTCTTAGGTGTCATAGGTATGTTTATTTTTGTATGGTTTAAAAAAAAATGTAAGGAAATATTTTTGAGTCTTTACGTTACACTATAGCTAAAATACACAAACTGTCAGGCACGAGTTTGTTTATTTTTTTTTGTTTGATTGACAAGTCCAAATAAATATATTTAGGGTAAAACGAATTTATTCATTTAAAAATAGGTGCACTTTAAAATTATCAACAACAATAAAATATAATTATTTTAAACAATGTAATTCATGTTATTGAAGTGGTTATAAATTACAAATAGAAAATAAACTTGTTACCGAAATAAATTTTTATCAACAATTTCTTATGAAACTGACACTGCCAAAGTATGCCTAATTATAAATAATTAAATCTAATATAAATATAAATCAAATTCACTAAGTAAGTACGCTTATTTTTGGACGTGGAAAATATGATGAAGCTTCGCGGTTGCATTTGTAAATAATTACATTAAAATTTATTTATTTTCAGGAAACTTCGTTACCGTTTTGGCACTATTGGGTTGCCCAAAACTTCGCAGCCATGCTACAACAGCATTCGTTTTGTCATTGTGCATATCGGACCTTTTATTTTGCTCGGTAAATTTACCTTTAACCGCATCCAGATTCATACACAAAGCGTGGGTGCTGGGGGATGCCCTTTGCAAACTTTTTCCAGTCTTATTTTACGGCAATGTTGCCGTGTCGGTGCTTAATATGGTTGCAATTACATTAAACAGGTAAGCTGAATAATAAATCGCCTATTAATTAGTGGGTGGTCTCTTTTTATTACTTTATAATTAAAAAAAAAACATATAAACAAATTTTAACTATTACACCACTTAACCTACTTTCATCGGATTTATTAGGAAACAAATATTTAGGTAAATCGTCGATTTATATATACATATAAAAATTGATAAAGAAAATCTTGCATTAAATAAATAAAGGGCATGGACCTTTCTAAATTAGTTCGCTCCTATGAAAGAAGGCCTATTAACTTTTAAGACAACACATGCTTTATACTTTCGTATCTGAAAGGAAGCAATTGAAGCAGTTAAAAACAGAAACGCATTAAGAAACTGGAAATTAAATAAGATGAGGAAAAAAATGTGTGAAAGAACGATTAAAACCTATGATAAATTAGTTTTGAGCATGCCTCGGAATATCACATTGACATTAGGACACATTTTAAATTAAAAGGGCTCAAATGCCAAACAATGAACTTTATAGTGTACATATATTATACAAACTAAAAAAGCCCAGTCCAAATCAGTTTTATTCTACAAATTTATTTTATTTTTTTATATTTAATATAAAAGATCTTCGTGATCTTCGAGTGCATTTAAAATTGCCCGAGCGTTTTTTTAACGAAATTAAATATTTATTAAATTTAAATATGTACCATTGTGATTGCATCATCCCTATCAGCAGCAAAATTAATTCTATTTTAAATTCGCAATTTCCTAGATTTAACATTATGACAGGAAACCTCAAAAATTGATAATATTAATAAATAAATTCAATTAATAGCTGTATTTCATTGAAAAACTGTTCAATCTTTGCGATAAGAATTAAAAACAACTACATATGATCTCTAAATTGGTTTAGGTCAAACGTCAACTTTATTTAAAGAGAGCAAAACCTTAATGTTAGTCATCCAATTTTTTACGCAAAATCCTAATTAAATCTTAATTAAGTTTGAAAAATTCTGCAATAACTAATTTAATAGGTGTGGCAACATAAAAACAATTTATAAAGGTATAACCAAGTAATTGAAGGAATTATCCTATTTAATGATTTGTGAAATAAATTGAAATTGAAATTCCAGTTAACTGTACAATAGAAACAGATATGCTCGTATCATTTGCACTGATTACGTTTTTTTAAAAAACAAGTAATGATTTACAACATATTTATAAAAATAAATAAGATAAATGACAATTAGTTGGAAAGGAAACAATATTAATTAAAAGGATATTGCGCCTGTTTTTTTAAACCACGCAGATTTGCGTATAGTAGAAAATATATTTTATCTCCCCTAAATTTATTTTATTTTCAGGTACGTTTTAATTTCGGGCCATCAATACTATTCGCTACTGTATTCACGGACATCAATTTGGATACAGCTGCTATCCACATGGGCTATAGCCATTCTTATTATGGTAAGTCGCACAAATTCAAACCAAAATATGCATAATCATATATAAAGTTTTTAAAATAAAACTTATACTGCAAAACGGATGCGGAAGTAATGCGGAAGTGATGCGGAAGTATAAATATTATTAAAAATAAGAATGTTTTTTTCATTATGTTAATGTAAAAGTTTAATATTATGGTAACAAGTTTTGTAAAAAGTAATTTTATTAGATATCGATAGTATTTGAGCAAAAAACACTAAAAAAATTTAAAACATTTATTAAACTTGTCATATTTATTTTGAAAATTCCATCCTTAAATTTATTTCTATGCCCCAAACTACCCCTGTGGCAAATCTATAAACGCTAACCTATATATTAACAATGGATCTCTTTGTTATTTTTAGCTACCGTCATTATTGGGAATATGGGGACAGCTGGGCCTTAATCCTTCGACATTTTCTTGCACCATATTAAAGAAGGACGGCCAATCGCCGAAAAAAGTGATTTTTCTTATTGGTTTCGTTTTACCGTGCCTTGTCATCATTTTATCGTACTCCTGTATTTACTGCAGCGTGAGGAAGTCGAGGAAGAAACTCAAATCGCACCAGTATGTATTTTTATACATTTTTGTAAAAAATTGTTCATCAATTGTTTCTTTTTAGGCCTATACAGGATAAGCGAAAAAGTCGCCGGGAAAAAGACGACAGCCGTCTTACAAAATTGATGGCGTTGATATTTTTGTTCTTCCTAATATCATTTCTGCCACTAATGTTAACCAACGTTTTTGACGATAATACTCAATACCCATGGCTACATATTTTAGCCTCTATCTCTGCATGGGCCTCCAGTGTTATAAACCCATTTATCTACGCTGCCAGTAATAGACAATATCGAAGCGCATACTCAAAACTACTCAGGATTGTGAAAAGCAGCGTGGTCTTTTCGGACTCGAAGCACGTTTCTAATTCAAATAGGTCCAGAGCTAACGAAAAGAATGTCAGCTTAAAGCCGAACGAAAATTTGCCATGATTAAGTTAATACCAAATATGCACTTTACATTCCTTAGAAACTACACCAAATATTAGCAAGACTGAAGACTCAGAAGAAGAAAAAACAATCTATGTAGTGCCATAACACAGTATTACAAGTTACCATTAGATGCAATGTGATAATACTTATCATTAGGTAGTAAAATAATATAATTATTAGTTTAGTTAGTATTTATTTCAAATTAAGAATTATTTTTTATATTTATTGACTGAGTTGTAAACTACATATATTATACTTTTTATACTTTGATTTCGTTGTTTTTTTTTGTAAATTACCCAGACTTTCAATCAAAACAAGACAGAGGATTATTGAAATATAAATAGACGAGTAATTCGATATATTTGGGCAATACTTCTTTAATTTTGTTTTAATGCATTACCTTCAGTGCAGTAAACATCGGATATTTCAATGACCTGAACTTAGTCATTTATAAAACAAATTCTAGACTATCAATCAATATTTATTTAAATATTCTTGCGAAAATAAAAGGCAATGATCGCTTTTAATCGGTTCATATTTGCACGTTTTAATACATTTTTTTTAATGTATAGATTAAAAAAAAATGTATTATAATAGTGTACACAACAGAAGCGGAAACAGAAGTCATTTGACATATTAACAATTTAAAAGAAATTTTTAATTTTGGACAAAAAGATGCAAGTAATCAGATTTAAAATGTCGATGTATTTCTGGTTGCCTATACTCAATCGTTAAAAATTATTAAAATTTAAATCCTTTTGAATGGACAAGGGACAATTCAAATAATTTATAAAGAATAAATTGAATTGCAGAAATTGAGATAATTAAATAAAATTTAATATTTAATATTTTATCAGGTAAAAACGATTCAAACCGAAGTTCTATTATTAGAATTCGTGAAACTGTGACTTGCGCGTTATAGACTCGAAGGTAAAATAAACGATTTCCTTGCGTGTGGACGTAATGCAGTGTGTTGGCCATATTTTTCGGTTAAAATATCGTCTTAAAATAATTTTCACCATTTGATTGTTACAGACTTTCAACCAAATAAAGCAATAAGTTACAATTGTGATATATTTACTAGCAAACTGTTAATGAAAAAAAGTTTTGTGAATAAATGTTGTGACGCCATTTTCCGCATTTCATCGAATATTCGACCAATGATAAATAGCTAATTATACAATTTCTGAACGTTTTTTGAATTATGGAGAAATGTAGGGAATATTCTCCTCGAGGGAGAAGCATGAGCATCTCTCCTGAATACCAAAGGGAATCTCCAAATTATAGATCCTATAAATCAAGGTCTGGCTCTAGATCTCCACATTACAGAAGACACGGCCATAGATCGCCTAACCATCACAAAAAATCTTGTAAGTAATATGAGAAACACAAAAAGTACATTAATACACATAGACTAGCCTTTAATTTTACCAATTTTTGTTTTATTTTTTTTTGTTTCATTATGCACAATAAAACAACAAATAAAGGTAGTTATATGTGAATAATTATTTATATCTTTATTAAGTATAATTACCATAAGTTTGCCCTTGAAACTTTTTAAAATTGTTTAAATTCAAATGTTCTATTATATTTTTATAATTAAAGATATAACGTTAAAAGAGGTCGTTTTTAATCTATTATCTCCCAGATATATCACGTAGGTAATTTAAATAACCCATTTTTTTTAAACATAAAACATAATATGTAAATATGAGGGTTTACTTACACAATATTAAATGTTGATGGTCATAGAATTTTTCTCATTGATTCCGCCCTAAAAACAATAGATAAAATTAAAATTAATCATAAAATTGCATATGTATATTCTCTCATTTTTCCATAACATTAATTATCAATCCATAGGTAATGTGAAATTAGTATTATTATATTTTATTTTTAATTACTTTTCAATAATTACCAAAATTTAAATAAATAAGCTAGATTAAATTAACATATTACCTATAAAAGACACATTTTTGGCAGTAAGTCAAATAAACTTGACAGTTCCTACAGAGTTGTCAAATGGACGTCAGGGACATGCGCAATGGTAAAATTACGACTATATTTTCGTATTGCGCATGCGATTTTGCTACTGACGTCAATTCGACAGTCCAAATGCTCGGTAGGAACAAATCCATTATAAATACATTTTTTGACTAGTAAAATGCAAATAATCGTATTCAATATGTTGTAAAGTATGGAATTATAGCCTACCCATCTATTAAATCTGAAAATTTCGTTTTTTAATCACTTTTTACCCGAGTTTTTTGCGAAACAGTCTTCATCTCTCAACAGGTGATGGGCACTGTTGCCGAATTCTCGATAATTAATTACAAATATAAGAAAAATATTGAATAAGATAACTAGGTAGGTATTTGAAAATAATAAACATTAAGAACCTTAAAAACATGCATGACTATGAAATATATACAAAATAATTCAAATTCCCATGTAATTTGCGATGTTGGAGTGGGACAGGAATCAAATTAAACAAACACCTCAAAAACATTAACAAAAGAACAAGATACAAGTAATGTATCACCCTATAGAATAGATTCCTATATTGCATTCATGGAGATTACAACCTACCTGTTTATTTAATCTGCAAAGTATGTTTTTATTCACTTTTCACACGAGTTTTTTTGCACGCGATCTCGCCTTCACTAACAGGTGATTGGCACTGTTGCCAAATTTGCAATATTGAATGAGGGAAGAATACAATAAAATCAGTTAGAACAAAACTAATTGAAAAATATGTGTCTATTTTGAAATATAAGCAATTAAAACCCTAAAAACTTAAAAATTATTAACAAATGTTAATTTAAAATTTTAACAGTCAAATTAGCGGTAGTTGGTAACACCTAATAGAAGTGACAGTTTGTTATTTTATTTATCTTTTTTGACGTTTATACAAGTTGTTAAAATGTGTGATAAGTGGGTTAATTATTATAAAAATGTTGACTATTTTAAACATCCAAGATTTTTTTATAGACGCCTTGTAAAATGTAAAATACCGGTAACATAGAAGTTAATTATTACATGTTTGATTGCAGATCACGATAGAGAAGACCGGGTACGAAATGGTAGCGATTATGAGAGCGATAGGGAGTACAGAAGAGATAGGGAATTGTCCTGGGACAACGAAGAAAGGCGTAAAAGCCGGTCGAGGAGCCCCAGGGAGCGCGAAAGGAGTCGCTACCACAGACGAGACAGAGACCACCATCGAAGAAGAAGGTCTAGAAGTGGCGGTTCGCGCTGGGAACGGAAATCGGAAGACCGGAAGCGCGATAGGTCGTACAGGGACGATGATAGAGACAGTGATAGGTATACAGTATTCGGAATGGATGTGCATATTATTTTCACTGTGTGTACTTATGCCTTTAATTGATTTTGACAGTGAAAGGAGTCCCAACGGTGCTGTCATTGGAGCCAGCGGGTCCGAAATTATAGGGTACAAAAGCCAACCCCCCAATAATACAATCATGATTCGGGGCCTGGCCCAGCACATCACTGAGAACGATGTAAGCCTCTACTGACATTTGAAATGTCAACGGTTTCCGTGGCAACCGTTCGGTTGCTAGGCACTCGTTGCCATGGCAACGGTTTCCATAGCAACCGTGCGGTTGCTAGGCACTTGTTTACCGTTGCTAGGGACGGTTTTTTAAAACTGGATTTTGGAATTCGAATTTTGTTCTTTCAGATACGACAGGATATAATACAGTGTGGCTTGATGCCAAAGGACATAAGGCTGATTCGTAAAAAAGATACAGGTAATATATTGCTTAGTTTTTAATCTAAGATTGTCCTTGGGCCGTTTTTGTGATTTTTACTACGTAAGGTCGGGTATCTATTGGTATCTATTGTGCTGTTTAGGTGCTTCACGCGGTTTCGCCTTTGTCGAGTTTGGATCACTTGGTGAGGCCATTCGGTGGATGGACATGAAACAGGTATCTTAGATTAAAGAAGACTTCTACTATGATTAAAAAAGATTTTTCTTAGTAGTATAAGAAACCTTGATAAGTATAAATTTTATTTATTTAATGTATTTAGGCTGTCATCTTTTTTATAGACACATTTTTTCTATGCTTCTCTATTCAATTGGATCCTAGATTATGCTTTCATTTTACATAATTAAGGTTCCCACAATTTAATACATTTAATTCAACTCCCATAGGACCTCATACCCGTTAAATTGATCCCATGTCATTACTTTTTGACATTGTAAATGTCTTATGGCGAAAGCGTTACCGTTGCCATGGCAACCAAAAGCCTTTCCATAGCGACTGTTGCCATGGCAACCATATGGTTGTGTGCCGTTGCGTTATGTTTATTTCCCATAAGACATTTTCAATGCCTACTATTTTTCGAAATTAATTTTAAAAAAACGCTGATTTTGTTAAGATGATGGTCTACTAAATTTTTTCAGTTGAGAAATACTTATCTCATTTACAATAAAGAATAGTTTTTATTTTTATTTGCCGTAAATAATTTTCTAGAAAGCGAAAAGGTCTCTTGCTAAGAGGGGTTGTAGAACTAGGTAATGTGACTTTAATCTAGGGCTCGTTTTTTCAGGGCGTTTTGATGCTACAAGATCAGTATAGGGCTATCATGCAGTATAGCATCCCAAAGGATGGGGCAGCATCTGAAAAACCACTAATGCACAAAGCATCAGCCGACTGGTTTTGCATTAAAGTAACACATCTCTTCCATTAATCATGGTTTATTTATTTACCTTGTATTTTTCTAGTGCGGAGCCCAGAACTTTAAACGAAGAGACAACTGCTTTAAATGCCATGCATCAAGGATGGAAAGCGAGGAGGGCGGAAGCGGAAGTGACGAAATTTGCGCCTATGCCACCAAAAGTGAGTCTTGTTTATCTTTTTAATTATTCCCCGGTATACAAACTAGGGAGTTTCATTTATAACGACTATTTTTTGTTTTCACCGAAACTCCAAAATATTGTTCAAACTATCGAGAAAAAAAAAATCCCTCAAAGTTGGAGCCCTTAATTTTGATACCATCAAGGTGAATCGAAGTATTTAAAAACTTTGAGGGAATTTTTATCTGTATGCATAATTTCATAATGCATTTATATTTATTCACAGCAATAATGATGCGTAACCTAGACGCCCTAACCACAGAAGACTCGGTTATGACGGTTCTTAACTCCGTAGTGCCAGAACTGGTAAAAAGTATTTCTGCAGTATGCATCGGTAGGGATCCTTTGACCTCGACATCGCGTGGAATATGCTATTTAGGTACGGAAAGTACCCTAGATGCTCTTGCAATCCACGGAGCGTTGAGTGGCTTACCTCACCCACTTGCAATCGACGGTAAAACTGTGATTCTATCGTACTGCAAGTACAACATGGGCGACACTAAGAAGGCTTACTCGCAAGCCGACAACGCCGCATTTCCCAACGCTGCCGTGCCCAGCACGTACGCTATGACCGACGTGGACAATTTGGCCGAGTATGCAGCTAAACGTTACGCAAAAACGCCTCAAGAATACGTGTCTTACATAGAGTATTATCGCAGCTATTTCAGCCAGCAGATCAGTGCGGGCCACACAATCACGCTGCATCAAGGAAATCAGATGGACGCAGCTAATGCAGCTGCGGCTGTGGCGCAGTCGGCCATACAGCAGATGAACGCCAACAAAACCTTCTACGATTCCACGCATATTAACATACCGAACGGCACCGACAATAAGAGGTACCCGGTGCCGGATATCTCCAAGTACACCTTTGATAAAGCTACAGGTTATCAATTCGATCAATCTACAGGGCTGTATTACGATCCGAATTCCACCTACTATTGGAACTGCGTGATTCAAAAATACTTGTACTGGGATCAAGAGAAAATGACGTACGTCTTGGCTCCGACGTCCTACGAAAATTACTCCGGCGGTATAGTAGGTACCCCCACTACTTCCGCCAGCGCTGAGAACGTGGAGACGGACAATAAGCGCCACAAGGTCGAGAAAACCGATAAAGTTAAAGTAGCCAAAAAAATCGCCAAAGATATGGAACGGTGGGCCAAAACGCTCAACCAGAAGAAGGAAACCTCCACTACCAGGAATATCAACGATTACGCCATGGCAAGCAGTAGCGCTTCGGCCGACATAGGTTTCGCGGTGTTGGAGAAAAAGCATGTGCAAATCAACGCCCAAATGCAGACGTTCAAAAACGAGTTGCCGGACGACAGTCCGACCGCTTCCACCTCCACGCCCCTAGTCGCTGCCTACGGCGGCGAAAGCGAGTCTTCCGGGGGCGAGGAGGACGACGAGGGCGAACTTCTGGATTACGCCAAGCTTATCTGCAACCTGTGCAAAAGGCAGCTGGGCTCGGCTGAAGCGCTCACAAAGCACGCTAAACTGTCGTCGTTGCACAAGCAAAATTTGGAATCGAGGAAAAAGGTGAAAAGGGCGGAGAGGGACACGACCAAAGACAAAATTGTTTACCGCGATAGAGCCAAGGAGAGGCGCTTGAAATACGGCGACCCTGACGAAGCCCAACCCAGTAAATTGAAGGAGAAATACCTGAAATCCAGGGAAATTGAAATACCAGCCACTGCGGCCTCAGTCTCCGAACCCATCGGCTCAGAGAACGTCGGGAATAGGCTACTTCAGAAAATGGGCTGGTCTGAAGGGCAAGGCTTGGGCCGGATGAACCAAGGCAGAACCACTATTATACAGGTGTGTATTAAAACGAATAGATACACTTAAATAAAACAAGTGCCAAAACCTGCCCACTGTAGTAGGGATTGAGATTTATAGGTTTTATTTTTATCGAATTCGTTTGTTTTGTTTTAATGCATTTCTGCAAATAAAAACTAAGTATTGTTTAAAATTCATTAAATTCCAGTTAATGGCGAAAATGTATTTCTCTAAAAATATACGACAGCGTCGGAGCTACTGAACACAGTAAATCAAACTGCATGCCCTTGTATCTGGCTGCATGCCGCGCTGTTGCCATATGCTATTATTGTTTCCTAAAAGGGTTGTTTTTCTTATTTTTTAATATTAAAAGTAAGAAAATTAACTAAATCAAATTATTTTTGACATATTATTAATTTTTTGTTATTTTTAAAGTTTCAAACAAATAAAATTGAACTATTTATTAAATAATTATAATCGTTCTCTTCTGATTTAAAACAACCTGGCAACTATGGTTCGTAATTACGAATGGCTTGGTTTAAACCACACCCAATTAAAGTTTGTTTCTTTTTCTCTGATCAGAATATAATTTGTCATCCTTGATTCTATACAGTCTGTATATATTCAAAATTAAGAAAAGTTTTGATTGATATTTTGTTTGTTTTAGGCTGAGCAACATACTAGCACAGTTGGATTGGGTAATAAAGTGCCTGGGTACAGTGCACTGGCAGGGGAATCCTATAAAGACTGTGTCAAAAAAATGATGTACGCAAGATACCAAGAACTTACCGAAAAAGAAAACCATTCTTAATTAGTTGTTTTGATTATTTAATTCAACTTGTATTTTCAAGACTTAGTTTTCCTTTATTTTTATGTATATACAGTTATACAGTAACTTTATTTTACTTATTAAAACAAGCCTTATTTTATATCTCTTTGTTAATATATAATTAAAGTTTTAAAATCTGTTTTACTACAATAAAACTCAAACTACTTCCTAAATCTTTCTTTATTTAAATTAGACGCTTTCTCAATATCATTCCTAGACATAATATTAAAATCTATAATACTTAAACTTGGTTCGGGCAGCACCATTATATTCTGAGGTAGTGGCGAATCGCTTCTATAAAATTTCTCCTCAAACTCCTTGCCGCCTTTCTTCAAATTATACTGTTCGGTAATTTTTTCAAAATTTCTTTGAGGACTCGCATTTCTATAACTATAAGTGTAGTCATCAAAAGAAGTCTCACTATCATAATTGATGTTTAAATTTTTAAAATGCATCAAAGCTTGCGTACGACTGGTCAAAGGGCGTTTTTGGTATTTGACTCTATTTTTTCTGCGACTTTTATGGGTTTTTGGCCTCTTTTTTTGACTTGGCTCGTTTGTTAGCTCCATTGGAATCGCACCTGTGTTTTGGTAATACTCCAGAAATGTTCGCACCAAGTTTCTACCGCATCTCATATCTACGATACATTTTTGACATTGAAAATGTCTTAAGTATGGCTTAAAACCCACATTTTTAAAGAAAAACATTACCGTTGCCATGTCAACCTTACGGTTGCCATGCACGTTGCTAGGGACGCCATTCCCTTGGAAGACTAAATAAAGGCGAAGTTACTTCTCCTTTATTTAGTCTTCTTGTACCGCACATAAGACATTTAAAATCATATTTACAGAAAACTAAAGGATAGGTACTTACAACTTTCCTCAGTATAGGGAATAACAACATCTGATCCCTTTAATTTGTACCCATAAATAGAAACCTCAAAAGTATAACAATTAACTTTATCACCCAATAAAGAACAAAGATATCGCCTAGCAGTCCCTAATTTATTATTATCAGAATTAAACATGGTATTTTCAGATAAATAATCATCAGCCATAGTGGCTAGTAATTTGGGGAAGAGAATATGCCTTTCATATCTAAAATTTTTTTTATCAAAGGTTTGTTTCTACCAAGGGACATGCGCAATACAAAAATATGGTGCGATTTTACTATTGCGCATGTCCCTGACGTCCATTTGACAGTTCAAAAAACTTTTATTTAATTAATTTAATACCTATAAACATCATCATAGGTATTTCCATAAATAAAACATCCTTTTAAGCTCGAATGAGCATGAATATCAACAATAAAATCCAACTGAAACTCCTAAAAATCGTCGAATAAAATAAAAAAAATATAAAACTTTTAATTACTCTACAAACTTTGTGTTTATCCAAAGTAATTAACATTTCTATCACAGCTTTAATCGTTGGATGGCACCAACTATTCGCAATATGCCAATTTCTATTTAAATCTGCTCCCATTACCGTACTCCTGTAATTTCCAAGGAAAACGCCGTCAGGATTCAGCATGGGAATTATTTTAAAAATCACGTTTTGCCGCAAAATCTTCGCGAGCGGGGTTGAACTTATTAACAATTCAATCAAACCTTAAACAAATAAAGAATAGGCAACGTCGCAATCTCTCTCTGCCGGCCGGCCAATCAAATTAAATCCCTGTTAGTTTAGTACAAATTGACGTGACAATCGATATTTGAATCGATGTATAAACAATTCTAATGGTTTTTAGTGGGTTTATATGAAAATTTGTGTTTATAGCAGCATAAAGACAAGTTAGGTGCTGATTTGGGGAAGAATTCTTAAGATGCTGATGGATTTTGGCAGTTTACTGGTATGTTTATTTTGATTTTTTTTACCTTGGCACACAAAACTGGCTGGGGATTCGCCGGGATGTACTCTGGCCATTATAGCCACTACCCTACGTTTTGTAGATTTTATTTTATCTAGGGATCCTATTGTAATCAAATCCAATTTACGTTTTTGCTAAAAAAATACCGATATTTTAAACAAAAACAATGACTTTTTTAACCACTTTTTTAAAAGAAAATGATTTCTATATAAAGCAATAAACCAATTACATTACGGCATTCTGATTGTTCTGATTGGATAATTGTTTTCTATAGAGATCATTTTCTATAGAAAGTGAAGACTTACAATTGAATTGGAAAGTATTTCGCGCTTAAAATTTTCATTCAAATAGGCGGATTTTTTTTCGATGACGCTTAAAAAGGTTTGCAGTTTTGAGTAGCTATACGGGGGCGCCAAAGCGAATTGAAAAACATCGTCTTCTTTATCGAAGCCGAAAGAGAAGCTTAAAACGTAATGGTTGTGATGTTGTTGAGATTTGTGGTAATAAACGTGATGTTTTGGTATGCGTTGCCTAAAAAACAATATTATTAGCTTTGTTGAAATTTGGCATTCAAATTTGAAATATATACCATTTTAAACGGCTTGAGGACTTAACAATGGGCGTCATATGCTCCATAAACAAATTTCTTTCCTTACTGATGTTGACAATGTTAAAAACCACCCTCTGGTCTTGTTTGACGTTGTCCACGGTAAAATTGAACCAAAACCTTAAACGCGGACTGCACGTATCGGGTCGTATAAATAAATCGTATTCATATTCGTTGACCAAATCAACTCTGCCCAAATTTCCTGTTTCGAATGAAGCATCGAAGCATAGATGTCCGCGCTTTGCTTTTCCGCTGTGTCCAGGGGGTCTCATTATTTGCCTGTTTACGTTCCCCTGACCCCCCTCTCCATCGCTGTCGTCACTATCTAAAAAAAAAAAAAATTGACACGCGAAGTGTGGGTTAAGCCTTAATACCGTCTCGTCTTTGGTATATGCTCGTGTGTTGCAAAGGATCGCATCCGTCCATTTTTTTTTAAGGATTTTTATTCGTTTACAGAGTAGAGTCAGATTGCAACTACTTGAAAATTTTGTTGAAAACGTTGGTGTGAATTTTATCAGGTATAAAATCAAATAAACACGGAACTCAATTAAGGTGGATTTCGTTTTATACTGTTTTAGGAAATTACCTATTATTTTATTTCTAATTTATTTTAGTGGTTTTATCAAGCTATTTTTAAAATAAAACAAATATAATTTTTAGTATAAAAATGTATTATTATATGCTTTTTTAAAGGTAACTTCTGCAAATTAATGTTAAACCTGGCAACCTCATATATTTTTTTCCAATTATAATTATGTAAAAAAAATAAGTGGTGTAAATCACCCTTAATGCTGCATCGCATGAGCTTTAATAATAGTAATAGGTTCATAATTAAAACTTTGTAAATAGGTCTTTTTATAGTGTGTCAGGAAATACTATTTTTGGAATTTTAAACATGTAGCCTAGATTACTCCTATATAACGCATCCTGCAGTACCATGTGCGTGATAGGTAACTATGTTACTATTCTGTGTACTTAAATAAAATGTGCATTCTGAATGGCGAATAAAAATATTTGTTTCCTTACCTTCTCCAAAATCTCCCATGTTGAGTGACGGACAGGGTATTAATTTACGTTATCACGCTACCTATGCTTTCAAATCGCAACATTTTTGATTTTAAAGTTTCTTATTTTTTTATCATGTCGGGTGTTAACAAGCCGTGTACCGAATTTCGACTGAATGTTGTCAATGTTGACAATTTTTTGTACACGTGTTTGATCAATATACGGCATTGCATGTTGTGGCCCGCAATTTATTTTATTTCGACTAATTAATATGAAGTGTCAGTTCATCATTATTTACGAGCTCGGTATAAATTTACTCAAATTAGTTTCTCTAATCACGTTCTAAAAATATATAAATAAATCAATTGTTAATAAGAATTTTATTTTGTTACGAATAAAAAATCGCGTTTATAAAAATAATTTCAATAAAAATTAAGAAATAAAAAGGTTTTGGCAGTCTTTTATATTTTTATTGCGCCATCTATCAGAATAATTTAGAAATTGCAAACCCATTCATGTTCCATATTCGAAATAAAATAATTTGTTACTGCGCAAAAGGCAAAAAAATACATTAGAAAATTAATTAGTACCTGGAAAAATAGAAATGCAATTAAAAAAATAAAACAAAGAAGATAATTGGATAGTAAATGAAAAACGTTCTGAAAGTTCAACTTAAAAAAAAACAAGATCTAAAAAATTGCCTTAATGGAAAAATAAAATCGAATAAATTTAAAAGGTCAATTTTATTTAAATGCGTAGTATTGTGCCCTTTTTTAATGTTTAGACAAACTAGACATTGACGTAAAATAAACTTAAATGCTTAATAACTTTTACATGTGTAGGTATTTTTATATAACATTTAGACAGATTTTCTGCGCTCGGAGCACAAGGTGTTTCAAGTTTTAGTTGAATTTATTATAAATATTTCAACATTTACAAATAATAATTTTTACAAAGTATATATAATAGTTAATTACCTATTTCTCATAACAAATTATTAGGTCGAAGATTCTTTAGTAACCCAACCTTAGTTTTTCAAATAACGAAGGTTTGATTTTAATTTAATAAGTAGAGTTCATGTAATACTTCAAGCAATAACCTGCCAAATCTCAATAGATTTAACCAAATTTGAAAAATATTCTGCAGAAACAGCAGAGTTGTTTGTACGAGGTGTGTTCAGAAAATAACGGCAATTGTTAAATTTCGCGGGTTCGGAGGGTCCGGTTGTCATCAAATTTTCTTTATTATGTTGGTATATATGCCCCCAAAGTATGATGAAAACTATAGCTGTTTTCATTGTTTACTTTTTCTGTGGCAGCCGCTAAGGTTAGACGTGTTTTATGAGCACGGCGATTTTTCGTTCGTTAAAAGAAATGGACCAAAGAATTTGTATCTAATTTTGCTTAAAAAATGAAATAAATTCTGTGAAATGTTATCAAAGGCCTATAGTGAGTCTGCTATAAGTAAAACAAGAGTTTACAAGTGGTATAAGAGTTTCCAAGATGGTCGTGAAGACGTTGAAGATGACGAACGCCCCGAACGCACAAGCACATTAACAACCGATAAAAACATGGAAAAAGTGGAAGAAATGGTTATAAACCATCAGAGAAGTCGCTGATGATGTTGGTATATCGATTGGCTCATCCCATGAAATTTTTTCGAATGTTTTGGGTATAAAACGCGTGGCAGCAAAATTTGTTCTAAAATTGTTAAATTTTGAACAACATTTTTGGCCAAAAACAATACTGTAATGATGCCCCAGCCTCCATATTCGCCAGACATGAGTCTGTCTGACTTTTTCCTACTCCCAAAAATAAAGAGAACCTTAAAGGGCCGTCGTTTTGCAAGCATAGATGACATTAAAAGCGCATCGCTGAAAGAACTAAAGGCTATCCCAAAGATCGAGTTTTAGAAGTGTTTCGAGTATTGGAAGAAGAGCTGGCACATGTGCATAATATCCAATGGGGACTATTTTGAAGGCGACAACATTAATGTAGACGAATAAATAAATATTTGTTTAAAAAAAGAAAATTCCCGATATTTTCTGAACACACCTCGTATGTTTTCGATAAAAACAAATCGTCTGACCCTCTAATAATGTTACTTAGGAGAAATACAAAATTTGTAAAATATGCATATGAGCTTGATAAAGAAGTTAAGGAGTTATTAATGAAATAAATGTTAAAATTCAAATTTTGTTTATTTATTTCTTAAACTGTGCTTAGTTAAGAAAGTTAAAAAATATGTATTTATTTACAATAAAAAAGTTATTGAATTATTTTCGCAATCGTTGGTTTCACCGCGAACATCTAAAAAAGGCATCTTTATTTTTTTTTAAATATAGTTAATTATACATGTTAAGTCTTATTTAACACAGTAAAAATAAATATTTCTTTGCAATAAAACAGTTTTTTGATTATTTCCTAAATTGATACTCTAGGACCATCTAAAACGCATTTAAAAAATAAAAACCGTTATGTTTTTCGATTAAAATATAGTTATTTATACGAAATAAGTCTTATTTAGCAAAGTAAAAAATAAAAAATTTAATAGTTTTTGCCATAAAAAGACAATATTATTCAAAAAATACGTGTGAAAACTTTGACTTTCTGGTTATAAAATTAATTTTAAGAGCTGAAGCTTGGCAGGAGTTTTTATTTATTTATTTATTTATTTTAAACCGATTTAAGCGTAAAAATTCGATAAAAAAAAAAAATAAATACCACCCTAATATGTGGGTGAATCTCACAAAATGTTCCCCGATGGTGTTACCCCGTGATATTTGACCTACACTTTCATTGTGTTTTGATCTTTCATAATTAAGTAGATATTACTGCTCAGGTTCCAGATTTTTAACCGCAATCAATTATTTTATACAATGTTTTAAAAGTCTAAAACCTATCCTCCGTGACTGTTACTATTTTTAGGTTAACCTATATGTTTTCAAATATCTGAGGTAGTAAAAGCATACTAAAAATATCACTAGGTAAATTAAACACATCCAAAGCAATCGAATCAAATATAAAATAATATTAAAAATTAAAAGAAATAATTTTTATAACCATTTATGTAGGTGTTACAAAAACTGATCCTATCCTCCGTGAATCTGTTTTTGCTTTAAATTTTTTGCAGCGAATGGCGCTTTAATCATTTTAAATAAGCAAAAACATCTGTTTACGACATTATACATATATGTATGTATATGCATCTATAGATGCATGTGATTCCTGAAGGTCAGTTAGAATTTATATGCAGATGAGAGTGTTGCTGTTTTATAATTCAAAAGTTTAAGTTCATTAATTTGCTATTTAAAAACCTATCCACCGTGAAGTGTAATATCTCAGTAAGTAGATTTTTTTTATAAATATTTTATGTATGTACAATTGTATTTTTAAAAAATATTAAGGTGTCAAAAGATACAATAACTTATTTCAAATAAACAAAGGGATGTTTAAAAAAACATATGAAATCCTAACCTCCGTGAAGCTATCTTCCGTGAAGCTATCTTCCGTGAAGCTATCTTCCGTGAAGCTATCTTCCGTGAAGCTATCTTCCGTGAAGCTATCTTCCGTGAAGCTATCTTCCGTGAAGCTATCTTCCGTGAAGCTATCTTCCGTGAAGCTATCTTCCATGAAGCTCTAATATTAAAAATGTATGAATTCTTAAAAGGGACTAAAAACCTGTTGCTAACTTCAGCCCGTGATTAAAGCGCCATAAAGCCACAACTTGTCAATGTGTATTTAAAAGGTGACTTGGGGTCATGAAAACATAAATTGTTACACTAAAAGTATATAATTCACCCCGGTGCATCCGCCATTTTTGAAAGTTTGTAGATTTAGAGAGATAATTTTAAAAAATATATATTTTATTTTATAAAATTTTATTTGATGCACTTTCTCGCATCAAAATCCAAAGTGTGTTCATTAAGTGTTGAAAATACCGCTAAACAGCGCAGAATATTGATTTTCCTGTCAGTTAAACGTTAAACAGATTATTTACACCTTTCAAAGGGAAATTAAATGAAAAACAAAGCTCAAAACTTGACTAAGTAGATAACCTTGGCTATAACTTCCTTAAAAAACAATTTTTTATTGTAAGAGCTGTCGCTGGTAAAAAAAAAATCAAGTGTGTGTGTGTAGGTGAAGGGTAAATATGTTTTTAATGAAAAGGTTTTTAGAGCGTTAAGTAGGTGTTGCATTTGCAATTTGGATGGAGCGAGTGGTTTGGATTTGGGGGGTAAGACGAGATGTTGAAGGAGAAGGAGGAGGAGAAGGCGGAAGAGCCGTGTATCGGGAGCAAGTGGTGAGTTTCGACGTCCCGGCGTTTCAGCGTCGTTATTCGGCAGGCCCCTGGTCCTACCAACCGCCTAGAGGGGTGAAAGCGCGCGCACCCTATCGACCGAAATCTACCCCTGGCCGACACCCTTCTCTAAAACGCCATGCAACACCATTTAGTTATTGCACTCTCTGAATAACACTTGTGTTACGTTTGGTAGTGTACGTTATGTAATAATATCATTCCTTGCATAATTACTTATTACTAATAATTCCTAACACTATTGTCTATATTTAATCAATAGTATAATATATAAATTCTTTTATATTTATTAACGGTTTTTCATAGTTCGGTTCATTATTGTAATCTAGGTTGGCTTATAAACCTTGCATCATTAGAAGTTATTATATTTAATCGTCTTAAAAAAATAAGTGCAATCCTTTTAAATCTTGTTTTAACAAAAAAAATAATACTCGTCACTCAATTCTACATTGTACAATACTCATTCAAACTCATCAAGTGGATAAAACAAAGTTAACAACTACAATCCAAAGGATTCAACGACAACATTCACAAACTGGTAAGCAACAATTTTTTATCACCGGCTTCCTGCTATCGAACTAAAAAGTATTCCCGCCATTTAAATCCTGCACCAAATCGAGTCCTGCTCGACCCATGCAACAAAATATATACATAGATATACTCGTGCAATAAGCCTGTGAAATGGTCCTGCGAATAAAAAAAAAGTGTTTTTGTTTTTGTGAGTGCATACACGTAGCAGGAAAGCTTCGCGGGCATGAGCTGCAAGCAGGCGGGTTAAGTGAAAGGTGGGAAGGGAGTCTGATTCAGCAACGATCAATACTAGAGCTAGCCTGGCCAAAGCCCGAGGCCTCGATTACAAGTTCCGTGTTTGTAGTTTTCCTTCATTTATCCTGCTGTTTTTAATAGTTTTTCCTAGTTTTTATTATTTATTACAGATTTTAAAAAAACTAATTGATACTTTTAAAATTAAATTCTTAAAGATCTAATGTGGAATATATTTTACACAAATAAGCGATTTTTTAAATACCTACTATTTTTTTATTTACATTTCATATAAGTATATTACAAATTAGTAAGGATTTTCTAGATGTAAAAGTTGTAAAATAGAGGCATATTTAGAAAATCCTTAAAACAAATTATTATTTTGCATTATTTTAACAGTACATATTTAAATAGAATGGGTGTAACCCTTGAATTTCAAAATGGTGCGCCCTATGCAAAATTTGGCCATAAGAAGGATCACTGACCTTGGTGTTGTTATTTTTGTTTATACGGCAAGCACACGTCAATAAGATAAACATCATGTTTATCTACATTTTCCAGTTTTGTTCTCTTTTTAATATTCTCAAATACTCACCCGGAGTTATTGATTTGCAATGTGCAAAAATGGCGTTCCCATCCGCCAGAAATTTTTTTCTCCATTTAGACCAAAAATCGTCTTTTTGAGTATATAACAATGTTTTTTTAGCACAAGTACAGCATGATTCACTGATCATGATTCATTTTATCATGGATACCTTTGTATTTGCCACCCCTTACTGTATAATTGGCAATTTTACCACCCTATCCCATATTTTCATCTCTAATATTTAAAATAATCAATCTTTATTTTGTTCTCAATTTTCAATGTGATACATCCAAGTTTTAAACCTCTATTTCAAATATTTTTTCTTGCACTTATTTATAAATATTATAGGTATTATAATAGCAAAGTATTTTGAATAAAGTAATGATATAAATATTGTTAATATCAGTAAATCGCTGCTTGCGTGTTGAATAAAAAAAAACATTATAAATTAACGATTTAGTTTTATTTTTATTAGTCCAAGGCCCTTGTTAGGGTTAAGTCGATGTAAACATTCTTGAAATTGAAATGTTGTTTTTTCAATGCATTTATTGTTTGGTCTATGAAGAAAACTGGTTTTGCGAACGAATGGTGTCAAAAAACTTGCGAAATTGAATCAATACAGTCCATCTATTGTGCCCTATTGTTAAGGTTTTTATTCTCCCTACTTATTAAAGTTGATTTATTTGTCTAGAATAAGTATTTTTGGGGTGGTTGCCCTCTGCGTTACACCACTTATTGTGCATTCTTTAAATTTACAGTAGGTATCAAATTTAGTACAACAATCTTGGCTATGAAATATCCGCAATGCTTAATAATAAAACTACCACCTACGTTTTGCTTTGTTTACAAAATTGGTTTAATATAATCGCATTTAATATATTTCACTAGATAGGTAATCCCTTAATCAATTTACTTTTTATGGAATAAAAACCCTCAATATCTCAACATTGTTTAAAACTGGTTTTTTGATTTTATAATAATATGCATTTCAGTTTTTTTTCGGCACGTGCGGCATATGGCTATTTTAACCCTCTAGCACCGCTACCCTTAAGATTAAATTCACACAAAGGGTTGTTCCGATTACGTTAACCCTAATTATGCAATTTCATATCGCTTAAATTATAATGCAAAACAAACGTTTTATATTAAGTGCTGATCCATCTGAAATTTTGCAAAAAAAGTCGCGACTTTTTAATAAAGTAATCGGAACGACACCACTTTCATTAAAGCACTGTCGCACATCTAGCATATAGCACCAAGGTTTTTATTATCAATTGGGGGAAGGGTGGCTATAAGAACAGCTGATACACAAAATACAAAGGACATTCTGCGCCCTTGTGTCCCCTAATTTTTTGGTCTAGCATTACTCATATATTCAGAGGACATTAACCTGAATTTTTGGTCTCGGACACACCAGTTTTAAGATAATATTATTTTCCTTAATGAACATTAATTTAGAAAAAAATAATATTTATAAATATAGGTATAAAAAATTAAGTATTAAAGTAAAATTTTATAAGTAGCTTCAAAAATACTTGTATTTAGTTTGTTTTCTTAAATTCTAAAAATAAAACGATTAAAGTAAATATGAATGGTAGAATTTCGGATTAAAAATTGATTTCGATTAAATAAATTCGTGATGTAATGGCGTTTCGCTTAATTGTTGTTAAAAAGCTAAAAACTGTTTTTGCGTGCGTTCAAAAAAATCGTCTGAAATTTTTTCGCTAAAAACCTTGAACGAATCGTGGTAAAAACAATGTTTTAATTTGCGAAGCCGGTTAATGTCATTTAAATATAGAGTATAGTATTTCACGTGAGTATGGATTTTTTGATATTAAAATAAAATTAGTGTATTATATTTAATAAAATTTGCTAAAAATTAAAAATAGATATACCTAAAACGATGTTGCGTGGCTTAGTGCGCATGTCATAACACACGCTCCGCGTGTATGTATGGCCACTAGGGTATTCAGTTCGATTCCGATCGCGAATGAGCGGGGTTTGGTTTTATTAATTTTTTTTTCTTTTTTGTTTTCCTTACTTCTTTTATTTTGGCTTTGTACGATAGAATCACGATTAGCAACAATTTCAGTTTATTAGTTCGTTTTGTGCGCTTTACGTTTTTAATGTAACTCGAAAAATTAGGTGAGTTGATTATTTATTGCGGCCGGGAGTTAATTTTAATTTAAGTGCGTCAATTTTTTTGAGTTTTAATTACCTTGCAGTTATAAATAATTAATAAATTTTAAACAGGGGAAATGGGTTTTATGGCTCTTGGCACATGTTGTCTACCGTAATTTTGTCACCTCCTAGTTAATATTTAATTTGTATACATTGTATTGCCACAACAATTGTTTATAACAAACACGGCATGACCTGATTATGAGCTGCAAACTATTTTAATTTGTCTTTTTTTGTAAACAACCGCCGGGGTGTCAAAAAAGTTTTTTACATTCTTTTGAATTGTATATGCTTCTTTAAACTAAAATAGCTACAGACTAAAAATAAACCAAATTTAAATTCATGTGTGCTTCTACTAGGAAGTTATTTTGTTTTATAATAAATGCTAAGCATTTTTTTCATTCTTATTCCGCGCAATGTTTTGACTTGCATTTTCCACGTAACGCCTCATTTGCACTTAAACTTCACTTTTTCAAATAAACTAGAAATATTGATAATTTATAATCTATATTCAAGGTCCTCGGCTAAATATTTTGTTAAATACTGCATTGTTTATATACATTTTAAATGGCCACAATCGATTTGAAAATTTTTAACTAGGACAGATGTTGTCACGGTATAATTAACCCCTATTTTATTCCCCACCTATTTATTATTCAAATAATGCAAGATTATTTCATTTGTTTCAGATTGTAGAATAGGGTAAAAACAACCCTAATCAAGCAGAAGAAGCCAAAGATATAATTTTAACAAAAAATAACGTATACTTACGTTAACCTAACGTACGATATTTTATTAATTTGAGTGACTTGAAATAAAAACAACATGATGTCCAACGGATTAGATTCAGGTGTTGTGGGGCAACAGAATGGCGGCAGCGGCGGGCAGGTGGGAGGCGGTCAAGAAGAATCGAAAACGAATCTGATCGTCAACTACTTACCCCAAACTATGACCCAGGAGGAGATACGCTCCCTATTCTCCAGCATCGGGGAAGTGGAGTCCTGCAAGTTGATCAGAGACAAAGTTACAGGTATGTTGCCTGATTGTGCCAACAAACAAATTTACCACGGAATGTTTTTTTCTTCATAATCTTACTAAGAGAGAAACATTCTATTAACAGTACTTATTCTAAGAAAAAGTATTTTATGTATGGGTGATTTAAAATTTAAAATCAACATTAAATAAACCACACTTCATTGAGGCAAAAAATTTATAAATCAAATCAAATTTGACCCATTTTTTTTATTATACTATGATGTTGCATGAGTAGACTTTCCTGTGAAATGTATGGATTTTATTTTTTCTTTATCATATAATTTCTTTGATGAACAAAACAGGATATATCCTGTGGCACACAATCCCAAAAATGTCGATCTGCGTGTGTAAAAACGGCCTTGAAACCGACTGGAATAAAACAGATGTTAGTTTTTTGCCCCGCTATATACATGAGTACTCCAAACTATCTGTTGTGATTTAATTATTTTTTTCGGAGTACCTACAAAAAAAATGAATATGAACACAAAACAAAAATGTCCGAAAAAAGTGTGTACCTACGCTTGATTCACCCTCACGAATTAATTATTTAGTATCCTCCCCATTTGTTTTGTAAATAAGTACTAATAAATGCCATGTTAACTAAAACTATAAACATTGAAATATTTATTTATTTGCAGAAAATTCAAATTCACCTATAATATCTAAGTTGGCGAAGGGCAATGAAGGTATAATTAAAAATTTTTACTACATACATAGTTAATAATAATAGAGAAAAAAAATCAAATCAAAAGGATAAATAATAGTTTATATGTATTCAAAAAGCAAATTGACTAACATAATATAATGTAATACTAACATTTTAGGGTAAGCGATTCTAATCTAAGGTGGTGATTTGTATTTTTGTTATTTTGGGGATGTAATTGTTTTGTGTTGTCATATTCGTACGTAAATGAGATAAGGGTGATGGTTTTAGGTTCTTTTAAAATTAAAATTAAAAAATTTTCAGTGTTACATTACAATTGACAGTATCGTATGCTTCCGCTATAATAACGATAAATTGGTAACTTTTCTGTTCAACCAACGTCCTACATACAAATTGATAGTAATATACAGGGTATTGTTTTTGAGCGTTCAGTTTCAAATTCCATTATATCCGGTTCTCTTTACGGATATCATGTATCGGAACAATTTAACACCTGGCCGTTTAAATTGATAAAAAGACAAAAATATACGGGCACATTTTTTAAAGTTTAACCTCATACTACGGCAAATAGGTCAAGCCAAACTCGTTCTGGACATTAAGCGAACTTTGATTTAAGCATCCAGCAAGCGAGACAATAAAGAGGGCTCTGCATTCCCCTCGACCCTAACTAAGGGTGCTGTACACTAGAGCTAAACCGAATTTAATCAATACCCCTTGTCTGGCTGATATTTTATGTGTGCAAGCGCAAAATTAACGTTATGCTTTCAATCCTTTAACATTTTTACTTATAACAAGTTATTGTTTGTAATTTTAAAATTTTGAACATTTTTTACACGTCACCCTTTCATTTGATATATGCTAATGGAAAATATTGTTAACCAAAACATAACAAATTATTTTGCTTGATATCTGTAGTCTTCCTACGCTATTTTGTGTAACATATTTATGCGTTGTGGTCGAGGGTTAGTTCTCCTTTATTTAGTCTTCTTGGTTAACATATTGTTTAAGCGGCAAGACCAAATTCCCAATTCGATGTTTACATAACCAAAACAAAATGTGTTGTATTGAAATAATGCAAATTAGTTTAATATGAAATTTGCTTTCTTTTGTTGCTAGTGATGTGACAGATACAAATCCCTAAATGGCATTAATATTATGAATTATAATTCGATATTATTCTCACTTACCTATACTACATTTTATCGTTTACTTATAATTACAAAATTTTAAAAGCATTGAATCCAAAACGTTTATTTTGTGTCGCCGTGTACAATATTAAGTATTAAAGGACGTACCTACCCATTTATTATTTTATTCTATTTATTATTAGCCCAAATTTATTTATTTGAATTTTGTTAATTGATGCTAACCCATGGCACAACCAATGAAATAGTAAATAATTCCTTTTTTATAGACTTTTATTTAATTTAATCACGTTGTGTTTATTACCTGTATCGATTTTAATACAATAATATTTTAGTATACTCGGCCTTCGGATTTTGAATGATTTACTATTTTCTTGATTGTTTATGATTTAACAAGCGATTTTGCTGTGGCCAAACAAAAAATAACTCTAGTATACATATAAACAAAGTAGGTAGCCAAATGTTTTCTATTATTTCTGCTTTTTCTTTGATTTTTTACTTTTGGTTTGATTTTGTGTTATTAACACGTATTTTTTTCGTAATTCGTTTTCTACAGTTCCTGGCGTTATCACTAGTCCATTGCTTACAGGGCAATCATTGGGCTATGGATTTGTTAACTATCACAGACCGGAAGACGCTGAAAAAGCGATCAACACACTAAACGGACTTAGGCTGCAAAACAAAACCATTAAGGTAAGCTTAGAACGATCTTGTTTGTATGTTATAAAACAATAAGTTGCGCTCGAGCGATTTTTATAATTCGCTTTGGGCCGAGACAAACTGTCGCGCGCTGACAGGGTCATTTACATCAATTAGCTTGTAAATATTGCGAATGGTGGCATTTGACCCGCTTTGGCAGCCGCCGCGCAATTCTTTAAATACCCTCACAACTCAAACCGACGGTCTTTTTTTTTCTAAACTTTTGCAGGTATCTTACGCCAGACCGAGCTCCGAAGCCATCAAGGGGGCGAATCTCTACGTATCGGGGCTGCCGAAAAACATGACGCAACAGGACTTGGAGGCCCTCTTCAACCCATACGGCAGGATCATCACATCTCGCATCCTCTGCGACAACATAACCGGTGAGATTCCTGCCATTCTCTCTCCATTTCTTTCAAAGGCAATTTCTGAGCTCACGATTTCATGATTTTTTTTTAACAGAAATTGCCGGAATATTATGCCACAATCACAGTAACATACATACAAAATACATCAGCATACTAGCAGTTTGTTTATTGATTATTTTTTATAATCAGTAAATATTTAGTTTCTTATTATTTCTGAATGTGGTAGCTTTGATTTCATTATTGATATTATTTACTTATGTATATTAAGTCAGAGTTACTGTTGAAATTTGGCTTTTAATATTATTACATTACATTACGTTTGAAAAAATATGACGGGGGCACAGTATAGAAAGAACAGTACAGTCACCCGCGCTATTTATGAATGGACTGTCTGTACTGCCGTTTTCTATACTGTGACGGGGGCTTGGTGAATTTCGCCATCAATTTATCATTTTATCGACACTTTACTAGACTTTTTATTATTTGGCTGTATTTAATGCTGACCAATCATTAAAATAAAATAACAAACAAATCTAAATTTATAGCGTTTATTTTTTCGGCACGTACCATTAATAATTTATCTATGTCTATGTGGGATCAATAGATTTTAACGCAGACGTAGTAAAATCTGTTTCAGATTTTTAAAAAATTTATGCTGGGGTATGCAACAATACATTGTTATTATCGATTAGCCAAAGTCTAGTAATATAGATAAAAATTAGAGAGAAAGATAATCGCTGATTTCACCGAGGCTCCAAAATTATTATTTATTAACTTTCGTCACCACCAATTAATTTGTCTTACTGTAGCTATATTTTGCGTTATTTTCTTCTCTTTCCTAGTACGTCAATTTGTCACGGGGGCCGGAGAAAATTTGCCTGGTATGTACCTTTTTCTACCATAAACACCCAATTGAACACCACCCACAAAATCCACCATCTTGGTTGTTCTGTTTTTTTCGTTGATCGCGGCATTAGAAACTTGTTTGTTGTTGTTGTTATTGTTGTTGTTTAAAAAGAAAGAACAAAATAAACGTCAAAATCAGCACTAAATTTCGATTTCAGTTCAAAATTAAACTGAACGAGACAAAATTTTATTTCAGCAGGACGATGCACCTACCCCCTAAATCAATTGACGAACACTTATTCCAAAATTCACAAAGTTATTTCTGTTTCGTTTACTTACTTACACTAGATATATTTCATTTTGTTAAGCTTTCGTTAAGTGATTTTATTGTTTATTTATATATTTTTGCATCGTGGCATGCTGACTTTTTAGTTGCTGTTTTTTTCGTTCGTTTATTATTTTGATGAGCAGAGCAATCACTATATCCACACTACACACTTATCTACACATACATCTCAACTTATTTCCGACGCAACATCTCCGACTTTAAACCATTCAATGTTGCGTCGAAAATAAACGTAGTCACTAATTGGATTAACATCTCCAATAATATCGCTAATGAAGAAATCGCTAAGTTGAAAATGTGAATCCAATTTTTAATTGCACATCGTTATTAAATAGAGTTGTTGTTCATTAGGCCTGTCGAAAGGCGTAGGGTTTATTAGATTTGACCAACGCTTGGAGGCGGAACGGGCCATCCAAGAACTCAACGGCACCATCCCCAAAGGCTCCACCGAACCCATCACCGTCAAATTCGCCAACAACCCCAGCAACAACAACAAGGCCATCCCTCCATTGGCAGCTTATCTCACCCCGCAAGCCACACGAAGGTTCGCCGGACCCATCCATCATCCCACAGGAAGGTTCAGGTAAATACATCTTCATTTTTAACCCATTTATCATCCATCCCATTTACTATATTTCTTAGCCAGAAGACAGCAAATTGTAGAGACAGTTTTTCTTGAAGGGTCATCTTTTAACAGCTTAAATCATCCTAGAATTTGCTGTCGGTTTAGTTTCCAGATCCCTGTATAATTTTTCAAATTTCAATCGGGGGAAAACTTGCTAAAAATATGGACCCCTGAAAATTTGGCAACATTTTTATAATACCCTAAATATACAAAGTGTAAAAATATAAAACTGTCCCAAAAATGTATTGGGACGTCTAAAAATCTTTTAAAAAGTCCCCAACAGTGAATAATTTCCTAGTCCCCTGCAACAATCACTTAAAAACTGTATAAACAACACAACAAAACTGTATTAGAACTCTCAAATATCCTAAAACTGCCCTAGAATCTTTTCAAATGTTAACCCAAAACCGCCTTAAAGCTGTCCTGTACATAATATGGACCCCAACAGTAAATAATTCCCTAGAACTTTCTCAATTGTCCTTAACCTTCAATAGTTTGAATTTGTAATGGTGCGGTACCATTGGTGCCACTTGATGTTGAGAACTAATGGTAGTAAAAAACAGATACGTTGGCCAACATGAAATCCGATTGGATTACTGATGTTGATGTTACTTTCCTGATAACTTGGACCTGTTAAAAAAAACTCAAACTAACCAAGTTGAGCTAAATACCAAAGCTTTCTAAACGCGTTTATGTAGATCATCTTGACTCTAGTGATTCATATCTTTGATTTTGAAAGATTCTCTATGATTTGATGATTCCAAGCTTGAACTGTCTTAGAACCTTCTCAAATGCTTTAAATGTCTTAAATCTGTTTCCAAAATAAGAGGGGTATCTATATTTTGAAAGATTCTCTATGATTTGATGATTCCAAGCTTGAACTGTCTTAGAACCTTCTCAAATGCTTTAAATGTTTTAAATCTGGTTCCAAAATAAAAGGGGTATCTATATTAACCTCCAATAGTTTGAATTTTTAATGTTGCGGTACCATTGGCTGCCACTTGATGTTGAGAACTAATGGTAGTAAAAAACAGATACGTTGGCCAACATGAAATCCGATTGGATTACTGATGTTGATGTTACTTTCCTGATAACTTGGACCTGTTAAAAAAAACTCAAGCTAACCAAGTTGAGCTAAATACCAAAGCTTTCTAAACGCGTTTATGTAGATCATCTTTACTCTAGTAATTCATACCTTTGATTTTGAAAGATTCTTTATGATTTGATGATTCCAAGCTTGAACTGTCTTAGAACCTTCTCAAATTTCCTTTAAATGTCTTAAATCTGTTTCCAAAATAGGAGGGGTATCTTTATTTTGAAAGATTCTCTATGATTTGATGATTCAAAGCTTGAACTGTCTTAGAACCTTCTCAAATGCTTTAAATGTCTTAAATCTGGTTCCAAAATAAGAGGGGTATCTATATTAACCTCCAATAGTTTGAATTTTTAATGTTGCGGTACCATTGGCTGCCACTTGATGTTGAGAACTAATGGTAGTAAAATATAGATACGTTGGCCAACATGAAATCCGATTGGATTACTGATGTTGATGTTACTTTCCTGATAACTTGGACCTGTTAAAAAAAACTCAAGCTAACCAAGTTGAAGCTAAATACCAAAGCTTTCTAAACGCGTTTATGTAGATCATCTTGACTCTAGTGATTCATATCTTTGATTTTGAAAGATTCTCTATGATTTGATGATTCCAAGCTTGAACTGTCTTAGAACCTTCTCAAATTTCCTTTAAATGTCTTAAATCTGTTTCCAAAATAAGAGGGGTATCTATATTTTGAAAGATTCTCTATGATTTGATGATTCCAAGCTTGAACTGTTTTAGAACCTTCTCAAATGCTTTAAATGTTTTAAATCTGGTTCCAAAATAAGAGGGGTATCTATATTAACCTCCAATAGTTTGAATTTATAATGTTGCGGTACCATTGGTGCCACTTGATGTTAAGAACTAATGGTAGTGGAGAACTGATACGTTGGCCAACATGAAATCCGATTGGATTACTGATGTTGAAGTAACTTTCCTGATAACTTGGATCTGTTAAAAAAGGCTCACGCCAGTCGAGTTGAGCTAAATACCAAAGCTTTCTGAAGGCGTTTAGGTAGATCACCTTGACTTTAGTGATTTATACCTTTGATTTTGAAAGATTCTCTATGATTTGAAGCTTGAACTGTCTTGGAACCTTTTTAAATGTCCTTTAAATGTCTTAACTCCAATACTTTTTATTTGTAATGGTGCGGCACCATTACAATTAGGTAGATCACTAGTGATTTTGAAGATTCCTTTATGATTTGATGATTCCATGCTTGATTCCTGATTTCCTAGTATGATTGATTTTGATGGTGATGGTGATTGTGCGTGTTTGTTTTAGGTATTCTCCGCTGGCCGGAGACCTGTTAGCTAACTCGATGTTGCCCGGCAACGCGATGAACGGTTCGGGCTGGTGCATCTTCGTTTACAACCTCGCGCCCGAGACTGAAGAAAACGTTCTATGGCAGTTGTTCGGTCCGTTCGGGGCCGTCCAAAGCGTGAAAGTGATACGCGACCTGCAAACCAACAAATGCAAAGGTTTCGGTTTCGTAACGATGACGAACTACGACGAGGCCGTTGTCGCCATCCAGTCGCTGAACGGTTACACGCTGGGTAACCGCGTGTTGCAGGTCAGCTTCAAAACGAACAAAAGCAAAGCGACATAGAGCGACGACTGTTAGCGTCTGTCGACGCCGGATCGCTCGCTGCACGTTGTTGAGTAACTTTTGCAATTTTCACTCGTCCAATCGACTTCCCGCCCTTTTGCTCGGCGCTTATGCTTGGTGTTTTTGGGCCGGCGCACGCGCAGCCGCGACCGATGATTATTTAATTTATTGTTTTAGTTTTTTTTTTCAAGCATTCGACTAGGTGATTGTGTGCGCGTGCGCGGGCATATTTTATTTATACAAATAAATAAATGAATAAGACGGTGCGAGCGGGCGGGTGGTTTATTGTATTTCATTGTTTATTGTATGGATGCAACATGGAGCGAGTTGTGCCGGACAGAAGCGCACCTCCTATTTCATAAATTAGTACTTATAAAAGATACGAAGCTAGTCAGAAGTGCATTCGCGTTTCCTATAGCAAACATTTCTACGGTCTGATGATTTGTATGTATTATTTCGTGCCATCACCGTTTATATGTTGGGAAATGACCCAAAGAAATAGCTAACTATATATTTACAAATAGTATTTATTATTATACATTTCGTAATTAATTATTTTCATGTAATAAGTAGTTTATTATTTATGTATTTATATGTAGTTGTAACGTGTATCCTTAAATTCAGACTAGTCGCTACGCAACATCCGGCCAGGCAACTTGACTACTACTATTAACTATTAATAATTGACTGCTTCGTTCGGTGTTTAGCTGCGTGTGCGCAGCGGCCAAGCGACGGCTGCGCAGATGCGGCTAAAAACGATACCAGAGCTAAACAAAAAACAAAACCAAAGATTGATGATAAGTGTGCGCGACGCGCGATGCGCGAACCCTTGGGCCTCTTCTGCGCTATCAATTAAAAATTCAAAGCCATAAGATAGAGAGAGAGAGAGTCGAAGGAGTCGCTGCGTCGTCGGCAAACGCGTTTGTCGTGTAAATGTTTGCTGGGCCGGGCTGGTTGTATTTTTTTTGTATTTGTGTTCGCGACCCGTTCGGCCGCCACCCGGCGCAAGGGCCCGTCACCTCGCTTGTGATAGCGTAGTTGGTAGTTGTCTGTCCGCACACAAGCGGGCAGAAAGAGATTTTCGACTGATAACTGATAATGATTAATTAAAATAAACAGCAGTACGGTGACGGCCCTCGTCTCGGCTGGTCCCGGCCGGACCACGGTCGCTTTTTTCTTATTTGTGTGTTGTGTTTAGTTTCACGTTTACCAGATTTCTAACACCTTCAGCTTTCCGAGAAATTGCGTGGTTTTGCTTGAAATGCCATCCATCAATTAACGACGGCAATGCTTTAGCGAGACCACAACTCTCCTCTCTCTCTCTCTCTCTTTCATTCTACAATTTATTTTACAGTTTTATTGTTTTATTTCATTTTTCTTCAATTTTTTAGTTTTTGCTTTAGGCGAAGGCTTCCAAAGCCTATCACCGAATCTCATTTTTTAATATAATTTATTACTTTAGTTTTTTGATGTTTTATTATTATTATGACAATTATAGTTTTGGTTTATTGAACTGATTTATTTCTGAATATAGATTAAAGTTTATTTATGATTTTCATTTTATTTTATTTCTTTTCTTTAATTTCCCTCTATCATGTGTATGTGTGTCTCGCGTACGTCGCGTCGCAACGCAAATAAATAAATAAACTAAACATTACAGGGAATTAATTCAATTCGAGACGGTCATGTAAACCACCGCTGCGCAGCGCTGAAGAAAATAATCATTTTCTTTTAAAGGTAGAGTGGCATATCAAGGACCTCGAATTCAACTAAACCCTCGTAAGCATTGCACAAAAAGTTCCGTTCGTTTGCGCGTCCACCGCCGTTCAAATCAGCAAGTGGCGGTGCTGAAATGGCGGCGACGCGCGCCCAAATTCGCACGATACGATACGTCGTTGTAATAAACAGGCCTACATATAACATTCGCACAACTCCAAAGGGACAAGTCAACGACGCAAAGCTTGCCGCTTAAAGCAAAAATAACGCAAGTGCCAATTAACTAAGTCGTATCGTGCGAAAGATTAGGAGAAAGACTAACCGGTCACTTCCACAAACAAATAATAATTTTATTTTTGTAAACGCTCGTACCTTGATATCGGACAATGTTGATAGGTTTTTTTGTAAGAGAGGGCACTTTGCCTCGCTCATGATAGTAAATAGCAAATAACGCACATGCTCCATGGTATTGTCCGGAAATGTTTGCGCCGAATGTTCTCAGCAACTGTCAAAAAACGCACAAATGCAATTGGCTGAAGTCTGTCCAAATTGAATATATTCATTTTACCAATTCACTAGAAGATGCTTATAGGGAATTGCTAAAATGAATACACTTTGGTAAGTTGGACGGTTGTGGGCATTTTCGTGTAAACTTTTTCGGAGTGGTTTACTGTGTACCCGCCCAGCAGCGCAGAATACGAACTGTAAATAAAAATATGTTTGATCGAATCGAACTAGGCAAATAAGTACAATTTTAAGGCGAGATATTTGATAGCTTTAACAAAAACGGGGGCTAGTTTTTTAAGGGCCAGATGCCATAAGTAAATTTTGAGCCGGGACGAATCGTTTCTTTCCTTTCGTTTATTATATCCAAGGTACCACCACTACATATAAATTAAATATATGATAAATAATTTCAATCACATAATGATAAATCATCTATGTAAGTATTATATAAATAAATAATTAGAGAAAATATTGTTTTCGGCAATAATTATTAACCTTTTTAAGACCACTAAATAATGTTAAATTTTATTTCAAAAGCCACTAATTATAAATTTAAAGTGGCAGATCAAATAATGAATTGTACAGACATCAAATTGCATCGTGAACAATCGTTTCCAAGATGATTTTTTGCGATACAATTTTGTTATTAGATGAAATCAACTATATAATATACGTTACTAAAAGGTAAGGTTGGCTAGTGAAATAAATTTACAATGTACAAATAGATATAAGAATAATTAGATAAATCGGTGGATTCATCATGAGGGACCCAATTTTGATGTTAGGGTAGTGAATCGAAAATGAACTAAATAAAAACAAATCAAGGAAAGAAACGGTGGCGAATGGCGACTAAATGGAATATGAGCAATATATGTAGAGTAGGCCCCCGTTCCGCATGTGATATTGCAACTTCGGAAGTTTTACAACTTGATTCTGTACAACTTGCGAAGATTCCAAGCCGTGAGCAGTACGGGTCTATAATGTACAATCTTATCTAAGTATATACAGAAAATAATACATATGCCGACCCAAAATCGACTTCTCGAAACATACCATAGTATGTAATTCTTCCACGTCGATCTGACTTAATTCAAACCAATTTGATCAAATGCGTGTACGTAAGACGCTTTCGCCAATCGAAAATGCAGCCCGTACTAAAAAGCATGGAGTGAGACGATATAGCAATAATTCACATTTTTTCATAATTCTTCTATTGCTATAAACTATGAACTAATCAGGGATTTGTTTTTGTATCGGTTCCAACGACTGCTCGCTGATATGTTGGTGTCGCGTTCCTCCTTAAACTTCCTAAATCGATCGGTTCTTCGAATTGATACAGAAACAAAAAAGGCGAGTTGTGTAAATATGGAATGGAATATCTTACCCAAGAATACTAAATACATGAGGAGTAACTTGCTATAGATACCTATAGGTTGGCAACACTCATTGCACAAACCAATGCGGCAATCTTCTTGGTGTTATAGATGCAAATGCATATTTTAGCCATGTTTACTGATTTTAGCAAATTTTTCTTTAAATACCATTATTATTATCATGAGTAAATATTGCATATTTTAAGCATTTTTCAGGCATCTACCACCAAAAAAGATGAAGGTCACTAAAATGTCGCTTATGCAGTAGTAACCTACGTATGCGCAAAAAGCTATCGCGCACACTCTGTGAGTTACTTCTCCTTTATTTAGCCTTCTTGCTCTTACCATGCAGGCTTATTTCTTGAATAATAGCTTTGATAATACTTATATTATATAAATATATATATATATATATAAAAATGTAAATAAAAAACAAATCTACAACAAAAGACTGGAATTACCGACGGACATAAAATTTAGTGTGTAAAATATTAATAAACGCTTCTTTGTAATAATATAATTGCAATTAAGTCGGGTGCAAAATGTTGATTGGCGAAAGTGGTTACAAAAAAATGGGCTTTAATAAAGTGATAAGATAGATAGCGTTGTATAGGTAGATTGTTTTAATTTGATCGAGCTGGTTTGAATTCGAGATCGGGATTTTGTTATATTAGTGTTGTCTGTAAAGACGACGAAAATGTAATGAATTATTAATAATAATAATAATAATGATAATTTTTGTAATAGTTTTGAGTTGGTGATTATGGGACAGGTGTTTTGAGCACAATCTAGCGTCGTAGGTGATGTCATTGGTAAATCAGGCCTAATCGAAACTCGTGTAGACTAATTCCATATACAGAACAACGATTCTAATTTATTGATACCTATTATATGTGTCTGTCTGTCTGTCTATCAGCAATGCTTGTTTACTTGCCATTTTTAGCTTCTCTTTGACTAGCCGTTTGCTAAATATACCTTCGCTTAATGTTTTCATTGATATTATTATTGATGGTTGATAAATTATTATTATGGATTCAAAGGATCCGTATCTCTACATAAGGGTTATCTCTTTGTGTGTTGGGTAGATCTCTAGTATAAGTGTAATATAGTACATTATTACATATTCCTATTGGTTACTTTCTCTATGTGTAGCTGTTGTGTTGCGGGCGCGCGTTTCTGCGGCGCCCCATTTTTTGGTAGAGCTGCAGCAACGCCCGCCCTGGTTGGTTGAGCCCGGCGCATGCGCGTTTTTCCTGTTTGCGCCGTGCCATCAAACCCGCCCGGTCCCACTACTCACATTTTGTTCGAGGTGGGACCATAGCTCAAACATTGTTGTGACGAGATGCATTCCATTTAAAAGTAAAAAACCACTGATATTATATACTCATGCCTATATTCTATCTGTTTTGATAAAATTTGGGTGGTTATTATTATAATTATCGAGTGCAAAAATTATATGTACAGAGGTTATATTATTAGGAAGTACAGTACAGTATCTCATAACTGTACAATTAATTCATGCAATAACTTATTATAAGAAAGTTCTAATTACAATATACTTAGCTTTATAGTAGGTATAAGAAGCGAGGTTTGTACGATTTCTATATACCAAAACATACCCCCTTTTATCGCGGGCCGGAAAGTTGACTCGTAACTCGTCGGGCCGATTCAACTTCCCGTCCGGCAATCTCCCCACCCCCTTTCTTCCCCTTTTTTCATCGCCCCTCGCGCCGTCACACCAGATCAAGGAGTCGGAGTTACCTTCATCCATCGGCCGGCGCTTCTTCTTAATTTCATTCAAAAACATCGAAATCATTATTTTCTACAACACAACTCTTTTGTGCTGTATATTTAAAAAAAATGTACCGTATTTTCGTTTTTGGTGTATACAGCTGACGCAGCATTAATCCTTTGCGGCTTACGTCTTACGTAAACCAATCACAGAGCTTTATATGTGGCGATTGGTTGACGTAAGCCGTAAAGGATTCATCAAAAATGAAAATACAGTATATAAATTTGAAGGCTGGCCGTTGGGTTGGGTTGTAACTGCCTAGGTGAAACGGTTCACATATCAAATCACAAACATTTTTTTGGTATCGGGAAAAGGCGGCAAACGGTTTTTTAGCAAGGTTTGCTGTCTGTCCAACCCGATAATATGTATGTAAAGAATGAGGAAAAACAAAAAGGAACAGCCCCCCGTAGTCCGTACCCCGCACCGACTCCACTTTCCAATTTAATCTTCTTTAATCTATCCGATGGAACTGACTGACATTTAAATTACTCATTACCGATCGATCAAATTTTTTAAAAAGGGTAATTATACATGCCCTTGCCAAGATTTTATAATGTTTCAATACTATTTAACTGATAAATCCCAAAACACCAAAATATCCCATTTTGAACATATCAGAGCTTTCGACATAACGGATTTAATGGATTTAAAATTCACATGTCAAATTGTTGTTGTTTCTTAAAAGTTTACTGTTGTATCGAATTGTATTGTATGGACGATGATCGAATGATTTTCATGTAAGTACAAGTACTTAACCAACGCGGTGCTAATCGCATCCTAGGCGTGCGCATTTTAAAATTTGTCGTGCGCATGCCTAGTTCAGGATTAGCTCCGCGCATGGTTTTTATCAATCAGTCAGTATTACCCAACGCTAAAGTTGACGCGTTAACTCATACAAGCGACTCCATCTCGAAAACCCTGACGTATTCAAAATACAATACATACAAATGCATACTTGTTGTTGTTGTTATTGACAAGCCATTGCGGATCTGTAATGTATTCTATGTATGACTATAATGAAAAGATTATTTACCTAAGACGATGAAGTGATAGATAGAAAGAAGGAGGTGAAGCCTTGTGTGGGGTGGCGTATGCAAATTGATAAGAAAATGAAGAAATATGAAAAAAATAATAAAATAAATATTTATAAAAGTTACGTTATATGCAAGTAACGAGCGACACTTTCTGACCGTACTTGCTGCCACAATCTATCGACGCTTGTAACGTTACCGTTTACCGTGATGAACGGTATTCGATAGGTCGATCGATAGTGGCAGTTCTACTCTGTGTTTCCAACAATCTTATTTAGGTTTATTGCGTTAGTACGTTAATTAGTACATTATGTTAGTTATTATCTTATCTCTGTATTAAACGTTAATTGTCTTTTTTTGCTTAATGTCCAGTGTCACAAGCCGCCGCAAATGTGTGTATTATTGTCATTTGGTGGTAATTTATATCTAAGTATACCTGTTTTACCTGTATTTATTGTATCAGTACTGATATTCTCTAATATTAGTATTTAGTATTAGTTGAGTTTAAAAGATAAATATTATTATTAGGGTGCAAGCCGTGATGGACGCAGAGATTTCGGTGCAGTGTTTCGTTCGTTCTAGATTGATTGTTGTTAATTAATGATGATAACGATGAAGGAAGAGAAAAGTCATTCGGTTCGGTTAAAATTTAACGTTCGATTACATATGGGTTTTGTTTTAAGAGAAGGCTGTGTAAAGCTGGAAACCAGATTGCACGAGTACGTAAAATAAGTAAAACGTTGATGAACGGACTGTAAGCTAATAAAAAAGCATACTACACTGGCACTGGACACAGGCAAATAACAACTAGGTATGTAAAACTCAGTGCAACAACGAATGTTTGTTGCACTCAATGTTAACATTAACAACACGATGCGAATGTTTTTGTGTTGTTTGTTATCCAGGCTAGTCGGTGTACTGCAATATTTGTACTTTTCCATGTTGACAAAACTCAATAAAATAAAGTATGAAAGCTACATTTACAATCTTCTGATTCTTTCTAATTAATTCCTTACTTCAAATTTTGTAAAATATTATGTAAAAATAGATCTGATACATTTATGACTGCTAATTTTTTCTATCTTAACATCCCACTCTATCCCAAACTTTTTTCAATAAGCTAACACACGTAAGTATAAAAACTTCTTTTTAATCACCCCTTGTATACGATATGTTGGTCACCCCTGTCCCTCTAATAAAGTATTTTAACAAAACCTGTACACCCCTGTCCTGTAATATTTTTTAATAAATATACATTTTATATTATTATTGTCTTATTTATTAACCCAAATCCTGCAATGTAAGTACAGTACGCAGTACGTTTATAATTTTAATTACATACGTGCCGTTAGTCGAAAAAGTAGAACACAAGCAATTTTCCGTTGACAATTTGAAAGCATGCGCACTTGACATCATATGCAGATGGCGTGGCATTGACCGTTCCATAGGAGGATTCAAGTCGACCGGTAGCACGGTATGCCTCTGTGACGTCATTGCGTTGGTATAACGGATTAATTTGTTTAAACAATGCGATATATACCTACACTTAACAATGTTTAATGTATTGCTGACTATTTATTTGTTTTTAGTTTTTACGAATAAAAAACAGATTTTTAAGTTATTTTTTTTGTTTATACCTACCTACGTGTTTTTTGTGTTATTTTTGCAATATTTTGATTGGAAATGATTAAGTTTCCGACTGACGTCGATCCAAAATTAAAAATAATTGATTTAAAGTGCATAATATCCTTTGTTTATATTCCTAAAACACTTCGCGCACGCGCATTATGCATGATTGGGCAAATTTTGTTTATTTATTGTTTTATTGTTAAATAAGTGGATTTTAAGCTTATTCGTGGGCATTAAAATTGCTTTTTATTAATTTAAATCGAAAAATTAAATTAAAGCTACCTATATGTTTGTTTTGTTAGAAAAAAATATATTAATATTAATTAAAATGCAAATTTGCAATGGTTAATGCGAGAATTAAGGAGAAGCTATAGCTTAGGGGGAGTGTGCAACGCGTATGATAAATCATTAAAAGTTTAAATTTACGAAATATTAAATAAAAAAAGGTATGGCGGGATATGGCGTCATCTTTGAGAAAATTTGTGAAGTATAGCAAAAGAGAAGAACTGGTTAAGTGGAGTTTGCCTTCCCAATCAACTATCTGTTTGGAACGTCGCCATTCGATTGCATTAATTTATACACAAAAATGAGTGTTATTGTTATGTGAAACAGTTAATTTGCTACAAAGATGAGTAAACGCAGAAAATGTAGGACTTAGAATAATAAAGTGGTGTAGAAAAACTTCGGAGAGAATCGTGCGGAAGCTTCCGAAAACAAACTACTTTACTGGGACAATGCATCTGAAAATTAATAATAAATAGAAAACTTAAAGTGAATGAGACTATTGTGCATCAGTTTACGTTGGTTTTTTGAGTTTTAAAATGCAATTTGTTTATTATTTCCTAAATTCGTTCTTTACGTCAAATGTCAACTAAAATGGTGTTGACAGTTATGTCATTTGTTTTCCTGCGAAAAAGAACGTTTATATTGTTTATAACGAGTATGTAAACAAACGTTATGTGCTATTATCCCTAATAATTGTGCAGATACATCGTTTTGCACCTAATTCCCTTTTTAAAGTGTTTAGGTTAGGTTTGGCATATTAAGGACAACAATTAGCTATTCAACAACCTTTTGCCAAACTTATCTACCACACAAAAACAATATCATGAACACTAACATAATTCTCAACATGGTTTTTGGGTGAAATTTACAAAATTCTGTGGAGATGGAACGAGAAGTACCTAGTGTACCCATCACCACATTAGCAGGTGTAGCAAGTCTAACCGACTGTAAGTACCAAAGTTTTTTAAATATTCTCTAACATAACCACAATTCTGCACCTCCAATCAACTAAAAACCTTAAAAACATCTAAAAACATTGTTTGTTTACATCTTACTAGTAATCAACACAACAACAATTTCAAAACAAATCAATTTTGGAATGTGGCTAAATGGATTTTCTTTAATTTGCAGTGCTCCCTGAAATGCCCCTGCCCACCCCGTCTCCCCAAACCCTAAGCAATAAATCCCTGCTGTTCCACCCGAGAGTTCAGGAGGAAGCACAAAACTTGCTGGGCGTTCGAGATGAGACTTTGGTGCCGCAGCTGGTTCATTCTTTAGTACAAACATCAGCTCATCACATGTAAGCAATCAAATAAAGCACCTCGAGGGGTTAAGTTTATCATTAATATTTTTTAGAGAGGTAAAAGACAATTATGCAGGCACGGAGGCTATTGTTGAGCCAGTTGAGTCCATGCCGGTTTTGCTGCGGGCAATGCTTGATGCCAATCCCAACGTATTCAATGGAACTCTATGTAAGTTTTGATTTTTTACTTTTAATTTGGGATATAAATATTTTTCAAGGTCAAGTTCATAATGCATCATTTATTGGTTTTAAAATGGAAATTTCCCTTTAAATACAAAAAAAATCGTATTTTGCTCTGTAAAGTGCATTTCTTGTAAAATTATACTAAATGTGACTTTTTTTTATTATCTCAATACAAAAATACAAAAGTACCTATTAAATAGCTTCTCAACTGATAAAGCGTTAAAAATTTTGCGTACAGTGCCCATAAAACATTCTCTTCCCTTTTACTGTAAAAAACTGCTTTTATATTGATTGTGTCTGTGTAAATTTTGATTTACAGGAATTACAATAAATACAACTGTCACTTTTTGTACCTTTAACATTTCCCTTGTAAGAGTTTTTAATATTTTGTGATAATATTTTGCAATTATAGCAATAAAAACATATTTTCTTAACATAATTATTTTAATATTTAAAAGTGTCAATAATTGTTAAGTTTAACTAAAATAATAACGGACAATTTTAATGGTGAAAATTACGTCAGAAATGTTTATTAGGATGGTTACTTTATTTTCGTATAGGTGTCGCTTTATTTAATTTAAATCATTTTTTAGATAATATTAGAAAAATAGAAAAAGTATATTCCATGCACTCATTTAATTAAGCACTCGCTCGTGCCTAAATTAAATTCGTGACTAAAATGGCGTTTATCAAACTTGGTAGAAAATATACTAATATTGTCATTTAAATGTTTTTTTAAATAAACTGACCAGAATTTCATAAACATTTTTTAATTTATTATTAAATTTGCTGTGCAGTTTTTGTAAATAATAAAAACTGGATTGTGTTTCAACATTTACATATATTTTTGGAAAAAAGTCGACTAAATTGTAATTAAGTTTTGTTGGAATCACCCTTATTTATAATTGTACTCATGAAGCATATAAAAGATTATTATAAGTGAAATTTGTTTAAACCATTTTTTTTTCAATAATAGCTCAACAACAGCAGCCTTTGACTCAACAATGGAATCACACGGGTCAACCCACAATTCACACTTCCCAGATGAATGAGAATTTACAACAACAGCAACAGCAGCAGCAACAACAGCAGCAGCAACAACAACAACAACACCAACAACAGCAGCAGCAGCAGCAACAGCAGCAAAATCAAGCTTCTGCTGCAGCAGCAGCAGCAGTCCTCAGGCCGTCCGTCATAACCGAACAAAAAGTCGCTGCGACTGTCTGTAACAACACCCACCCGCCAGAACCCACGCAAAATTTGAGCACGCAAAATTTGAGCGTGCAAAATATGAACAGTTTACCAGCCGAGAAAATCGCCACCAACGAACTCAGGCAGCTGAGGAGGCCTAACAGAGGTAAGAAAGGATTTTCTTCTACATCTGCTGGTTTTTTACATCATCATCTTATTTTTCCTCTACGGTTGGATTTTTTTCTTCTTTTACTTATGTTTTATCATCATCATCAACTATTTTTTCTTCTTTTACTCGTCCTTTTACATCTGTTGCATTTTCAACTTCTTTAACATCTATTCCTTCTCATTTTACTTCTTTATTCTTTTTGAATTATTCTTGAATAAAACTGTGATTTAATATTTCTTCCATTCCTTACTTTACGTTTTCTATTTCTGTTGTATCATATTCTTCTACATCATCATCTTCTTTAACTTTTACTTCTTCTCCTTTTACTTTTTATACTTTTGTTGAATCATATTCTTCTACTACTACTTTTTTTTCCTTCTACTTCTGCTGCTGTCTTCATCATCATCTTCTACTTCTTCTACAGTTGGATCTTCTTTAACTCTTACTTTATTCATTTCAAGTTATTATGATTCTGTGATTTAATGTTTCTTCCACTCATTTTACATTTTTTATTTCTGTTGCATCATAATCTTCTACATCTTCATCTTTTTTTTTATTCTACTTCTACAGTTAGATGTTCTTTTTCTACTTCTGTTCATCACAATCTTCTTTAACTTCTACTTCTTGTACAGTTGTTACTTCTGTTTTAACTTTCGTTTTATTTTCGTCTTTAACTTCTAGTTCACCTTTTACTTCTTTATTCTTTTCAAGTTATTCTTGTTTAAAACTGATTTCATGTTTCTTCTTCTCCTTTTACTTCATATACTTTTGTTGAATCATATTCTTCTACATCGTCATCTTCAACTTCAACTTGGGGATATGCATTATAAACTTGTAGTTTTCTGGGGATGTAAATAAAGAATTTGATTTGATTTGAACTTCTACGTCTGCTGTTGTCTTCATTATCATGTTTTTTTCTTCTACTTCTTCTACATTTGTAAATTCTTCTTCTCTAACTTCTACTTCTTTATTCTTTTCGAGTTATTCTTGATTAAAACTGTGATTTAATGTTTCTTCCACTTTTTCTTTTACTTTCCTACTTCTGTTGCATCATATTCTTCTACATCATCATCTACTTTTTTTTGTTTCTGCTGTTTTTCTCCATCATCATCTTCTTTTTCTTCTTCTACAGTTGGATCTTCTACTTCTGTTACATCTTCTTTTTTTACTTCTTTATTAATTTTGAGTTTTTCTTGATTAAAAATGTGATTTAATGTTTCTTTTCTTACCTCTTCTTCTTTTACTTCTTTTCGAGTTATTCTTAATTCAAACCGATTTAATATTTCTTCTTCTCCTTTTACTTTTTCTACTTTTGTTGCATCATATTCTTCTACGTCATTATCTTTTTTTTTAACTTCTACTTCTTCTGATGTTTTTTTCTCCATTATCATTTTCTTTTACTTCTACTTCAAAAAATTGGATCTTCTAATGCTGCTTTAATTCTGTTGCATCTTCTTCTTCTTTAACTTTTACTTCTACTTCTTTATTCATTTCGAGTTATTTTTGATAAAAACTCCTTTTACGTTTCGCATTTTTGTTGCTCATATTCTTCTACATCGTCATCTTTTTTTCTACTTCTACAGTTAGATCTTCTTCTACTTCTGTTTTTACTTCCGTTTTATCTTTATCTTTAACTGCTACTTCTCCTTTTAATTCTTTATGAGTTAGTTATTCTTGTTTAAAACTGATTTAATGTTTCTTCTTCTTCTCCTTTTATTTTTATATATTTTTGTTGTCATATTCTTCTACTTCTGCTGTTGTCTTCATTATCATCTTTTTTCTTCTTCTACCTCTACATTTGGACATTATTATTCTTGATTAAAACTGTGATTTAATGTTTCTTCCACTTTTTCTTTTACTTTTCCTACTTCTGTTGCATCATGTTCTTCTACATCATCATCTACTTTTTTTGTTTCTGCTGGTTTTTCTCCATCATCATCTTCTTTTTCTTCCACTTCTACAGTTGGATCTTCTACTTCTGTTGCAACTTATTTTTTACTTTTTTATTAATTTTGAGTTTTTCTTGATTTAAAATGTGATTTAATGTTTCTTACCTCAATAGTTTGATCTTCTTTTACTTCTTTTCGAGTTATTCTTAATTCAAACCGATTTAATATTTCTTCTTCTCCTTTTACTTTTTCTACTTCTGTTGCATCATATTCTTTTTTTTTTTTAACTTCTACTTCTTCTGATGTTTTTTTTCTCCATTATCATTTTCTTTTACTTCTACTTCAAAAAATTGGATCTTCTAATGCTGCTTTAATTCTGTTGCATCTTCTTCTTTTTTAACTTTTACTTCTACTTCTTTATTCATTTCCAGTTATTTTTGATAAAAACTGTAATTTAATGTTTTTTTCCACTTTTACGTTTCGCATTTCTGTTGCTCATATTCTTCTACATCATCTTTTTTTCTACTTCTACTGTTAGATCTTCTTCTACTTCTGTTTTCTTCTCCTTTTATTTTATATATTTTTGTTGAATCATATTCTTCTACATCTGCTGTTGCCTCCATTATCATCTTTTTTTCTTCTACCTCTACATTTGGACATTATTTTTCTTGAAGTTATTCTTGATTAAAACTGTGATTTAATGTTTCTTCCACTTCTTTTACTTTTTCTACTTCTGTTGTTTTTCTCCTTCATCATCTTCTTTTTCTTCCACTTCTTCTACAGTTGGATCTTCTACTTTTGCTGGCATTTTTTCTTTTTTTAATTCCTTATTAATTTTGAGTTATTCTTGATTAAAACTGTAATTGAATGTTCTCTTCCACTCCTTTTACATTTCTTATTTTTATTGCATCATATTCTTATACATCATAATTTTTTTTTCAACTTCCACAGTTGGATCTTCTCGTTTTACTTCTTTCATTCAAACTGATTAAATATTTCTTGTTTTTATAATGTGTTGCATCATATTCATCGTCTTTCTTCTTAAGAGTGCGATTTAATGTTTGCAGGGCCTTCTCCGGCACAAGCGAGCGACGCGCCTGCGTCGAGCACGCCGCCCACCCAACAAACCGAAACGAATCCGGAGCCGAAGAGCCGCACGACGCGATCGCGGGCGAAAGAAAGCGATTTACCAAAGGAGGCCGAACTGAAAACCGAGCTCGACAACTTCATCGAGCCCGAAATGAAGGAGGAGTACCTCAAGGAGGAGGACCCGAGCTATCCGGGCATCAAGCAGCCGATCATCAAGCTGGACAGGTTGTCCGAGGACTTGATGCAGAAGAGCTTGAAGAAGTTCGCCGAGAGCAAGCCGAAGCTGGGGAACAACGTCGTGAAAGAGGAGTCGGAGTCCGAGGAGGAGAGCAAAGGCGGCCGGCGGAAGGTGAAGAGGAAAAATGAGAGCGACGACGAGTACGCGCCGGCCGACACGTTTTCGGCTTTGGTCGGCAAACGGCGGCGCATGGCGAAGGAGGAGAAACCCGAAACGCCCATCGTGGTCAAGCCGAAATTGCGGCGCGTAGAGAAGAAATTCGTTCCTGTCGTGGAGAAATTGTCGCAAGAAGAGCTGATGGAGACGAATACGTATTTAAGGTTCAACAAGTCGGTGGAACACGTGCTCAAGTCGGCTGAGGATTACGATGCGGCCGAAATCGGCGACGACGGGATGATTCCGGAAGACAATTTATTGAATAGGACTGTGATGCAGGAATTGTGCACCGAAGCTGCCAAATTGAAAATCCTCGGTGCGATGGAGATGATTTCCAACGATAAGCTGACGCGGCTGCTTAACGTGCTCGAACTCAACATTCGCGGGGGAGACAGGGTTTCGCCGATCACGGACGAGGACAACGAAAGCATAAGGCAGCTTTGGCTGGAGACCACCATGGAGAGGGTGATGGGCGCAGCGGACGCCTCCTTGGTGTGCATGTACATAATGACGTCGCCGAACATGTCTAAGCGCGTCTATCTCGAAGAAGTGATCGACAGGGTCGTGCTGTTCATCAAGTACCAGCTGCACAACACGATATTTCCCTCGTTCGACTCCACCTATCGGCTGGACAACAAGAAAAAGGACGGCAGGCGTAAGAAGACCACCCCGGTGTCGGAGAAGAATATTTTGGTGCTGTACACAAAAATTTCCGAATTGGTCAACTTGCTGGCCGAGCTACTCAACATACAAGTCCTCACTGACACCTCGGTTCTTCATGCCTCTTCCATGGGAGTCTCGCCTTTCTTCGCGGAAAATGTCAGCGAGCTGCAGCTGGCGTGCCTGAAGCTTGTCACAACGGTAAGTACCGTGATTTTAGTCTCTTTTTACCCCTACTTTCTATTCGCCATGTTTTATAATTTAAAGGCAGTTTTTAGACAGTTTTGGGCGGTTCAAATTAGTTGGGTTGCGCTTTATTAAAAAAAAATGGTAGGACAAATTTGCGCAGTAGTTCATAATTACAAAATTGTGGACAGCTGTATTAATATTAAAAATGGTAGGACAAATTTTCTAAATGTTGTGATAATTTTGGCCATTATATACGTTTTAAAACAGTTTTGGTTAAGATCATTTTTATAATAATTGGCAACAGTTTTAATGTTGATTTCCTCGTCATTTTTTCTTTGAAGCCTAGCCTGGTAGACATTTTTATTTTAGCATATACAAGTTGCAAAAGTAAGAAGTTTTTTACTGAAATTCGCACACTCGGAGAAAATTGTAATGCACTTTTTAATTTTATAATTAAAGGCGGTTTTACGCTGTTCAAATACGGTTCGGTCATTTTAGAAATTTTTTAAAGTAAAACTTCTTTGTGCTTCATTTAAATATCGCACATTCGCATAAAATTAAGAAATGGTAGGACAAATTAGCGCAGTGGTTCGTAATTACAAAATTTTGAACAAAAATCGCACAGTTGCATACATATTAAAAATGGTAGGACAAATTTTCTAAATGTTTTGATATTTTTTGTTGAAACGTAGGCTGGTAGACATTTTTATTTTATAATATACAAGGTGCAAAAGGAAGAAGTTTTTTCTTGAAATTCGCACACTCGGAGAAAGTTGTAATGCACTTTTTAATTTTATAATTCAAGGCGGTTTTACGCGGTTCAAATAAGTTTCGGTCATTTTAGAATTTTTTTGAAGTAAAACTTCTTTGTGCCTCATTTAAATATCGTACATTCGCATAAAATTAAAAAATGGTAGGACAAATTCGCGTAGTAGTTCATAATTACAAAATTTTGGACAAAAATCGCACAGTTGCATAAATATTAAAAATGGTAGGACAAATTTTCTAAATGTTTTGATAATTTTGGCCATTATAGACAGTTTTGGTTGAAATCATATTTATAATAATTGGCAACAGTTTTAATGTTGATTTCCTCGCTTTTTTTTAAGCGTAGGCTGGTAGACATTTTTATATTAGCATATATGTACAAGGTGCAAAAGTAAAAAGTTTTTTTCTGAAATTTTGATTTCGCCGGCAGTACACTTGTATTTGTTGACAAAGCATTAACAATTTCGTGTAGAGTACCTAGGGTTGCAACTTTTCATGAAAAGTTGAAATTTTTGTTTTTTTTTATTTTTCGGAAAAGTTCGGAAAAGTTGGAAAAGATGGAAAAGTTGAGTTTTTTGTAATGTAAACGTATATAACATAAAAAATGCTTGTCAATGTATTAAAATAATTTATTTCTTATGTATTTATACATACGTAACAAATTAACAAAAAAAAATATCAAACAAAATAAAATGAACAGACAACAAAAATAAACTAGGTTTAAGTTAAAAAAATCATATACACACCATAAAAAAACACATACGAAATAAAAAATAATTACAAAAAAATATGAAGCAAAAATTATTAAATTTATTGTTGTTAAAAATTATGGAAATTTACAAGTAAAAATTTAAAAAGAAAAAGAAAATAAAACTTTCTTCTTTTCCACTTTTATATTTTCACTTGGAAATTTCCATAATTAAAAAAAAATAATATTTTTTTCATACTGTGTATAAATTTAAAATACGTTATAATAAAAGAATCCTTATATAATAGAAAATGCTGTTAGCAGACACCATTTTTGATAAAGTTTGACAGAATGTTATTCCAAAAAACAATGCTTTTAGCACGTTTTACTAAAAACACTTCAAATCTGGCGATTTATATCGAATTTTGACCAAATTATGTACCAAAAAAAATTTATGGTAGTGGAAACACTGGTTACAAGTCAACTCATTGTTCATTGGCTCCCACCTAGATAACTTTTCCAACTTTTCATAGGGGGTGCCGAACTTTTCCAACTTTTCGAGTGTTTGCAACACTAAGAGTACCCATAACACATCCTCCATCACTTTCACTGTAAAAACTGCCTCTTCATCTGATTTTACAAATTTCACTAACCTAACATTTTGAGGTGTGCCCCTGACAAACTTAACTATTTTCTTTGACCATTAAAATCTTGCTAGATATTCACCCGGTACGAAACACATCGAAGATTGCTGCTGGACGATATCCTTGCGTCGATAGCGCGCCTTCCTAGCACGAAAAGAAGTCTCCGTACCTACCGATTGAACAGCGAAGAGCACATACAGATGCTCACCGCGCTGGTGCTGCAGTTGATACAGTGCGTGGTGGCTTTGCCCGAGAACTTCAACAACAAGCACGACAAAACGCAGAGCGACAAAATCAAGAACGTCGACAAGGACGTGCTGATTTGCAACAAGTACGAGAAGGCGACCTCCACTGCCGGCACCTTTCTCACCGTGTTCCTGAACAAGTGCGGCAGCAAATCAGAGGACATCGACTACAGGCCGTTGTTCGAGAACTTCGTGCAGGATTTGCTGAGCACGGTCAACAAACCCGAATGGCCGGCCACCGAGCTGCTTCTGTGCCTGCTGGGCAGGATGCTGGTGACGAACTTCTCCAACAAAGGCACCGACATGTCGCTGAGGGTGGCCAGCTTGGATTACCTCGGAGTGGTGGCGGCCAGACTGCGAAGGGACAGCGTTTGGTCGCGATGCAAGCTGAACACCATCGACCAAATGATCAAGGATATCAAGCTCGAGGAAATGAAGGATAACGATGAAGTGCCTTCGAAGAAAAAGCAAAAAGATATCGGCTCGGAGGATGAGAGAACGCAGTTCCTGCAACGAGTCTTGTTGGACTTCTTGGCCGTTAACTCGCAGAACGACGAAGCGTACAAATACGCGCGGCACTTCTACATAACGCAGTGGTACAAGGATATCGTCACGCAAAAATCGGTCATTCTCAGCGGGAAGGACAAGAAGAACAACTCGAGGGATAATCATCGATCGAAAAGGCGCAATAACAAGTCGGAAGACGAGGAATCGAACAACGAGACCGATGAGGAGGAGCGGGCGGAACGAAAGGAGTCAATCGAGCAGGAGAACGCCGAGAAGTTCAAAATTTTAGACGACAAAAAGAAGTTCTTGGTGGCCAAAATCAAACCGTTTCGGGAAGACATATCAAGCGGCAACCGCGTGCAAGTTTATCAAACGTACATCGACTACAACAGCGCCGAACTGATAGCGCAATACTTGGCGTCCAAACGCTACTTCTCGCAGAGCTTCGATCTCTACCTCAAAGCGATCCTTATTGTGTTGAAGGAGACCTCGATCGCCATCCGAACCAAAGCAATGAAATGCCTCACGATGATCGTCGAAGCCGATCCCTCGGTTCTCGGCAGACACGACATGCAAATGGGCGTGAATCACTCTTTCCTCGATCATTCTACGTCGGTGCGCGAAGCTGCGGTCGATTTGGTCGGCAAATTCGTCCTCAGCAGACCCGAACTGATCAACAAGTATTACGAAATGCTCTCGGCAAGAATTTTGGATACCGGTGTTAGCGTCAGGAAGAGGGTCATCAAAATCCTGAAGGATATCTGCGTCGAGTGCCCGGAGTTTCCCAAAATACCCGAGATTTGCGTGAAAATGATCAGGAGGGTGAACGATGAGGAAGGCATAAGGAAGCTGGTCATGGAAGTGTTCCAGAACATGTGGTTTACCCCCACCAAGGATACCTCTTTGCTGAGGAAAGTTATGAACATCACGGATGTGGTGGCTTCTTCAAAGGAAATTGGCTTGGAGTGGTTCGAACAACTACTTTTAAGTGTAAGTATCAATCAATTTTAACATTTACTTACTAACTTGTAAACATTCAATTTTCTTAGTTTCTTTGAGAAACTTTCTTGCCCCATTACTGATAATATTCATACACCTCGCCAAAGTTTTTTGTTTTGAGTGCGTTCCACCAACTTCAAATACCGACGTTAGGCGGTGTGGATCACGTGATGTTCTTACATCTCGCCTATGTTGGCTTACCAACCCAGTATATAAGCTCAGAGAGTCTTTTGTTTTGGGTGTGTTCCACTACACCAAGTTTTACATCCCGCCTCTGTTGGCTTACCAACCCAATATATAAGCTCAGTTGTCCGACACTGATAAGACGCAATATAGGTCGAAACAGCTGTCTGTCGGTATTTGAAGTTGTAGGTTCAATTTTTTTTTCTTATTTTTAACTTGTATATGTATATGCTGCAGTTATTTAAGCCGAAGGAGGATAAGGACGACTCCACCAAAGTGCAAACAGAGCCGCCCAAGGCTCTGCTGTTGGCTTGCCGCCAAATCGTGGATTGCCTGATAGAAAACGTGTTGAGGTTGGAGGAAAACGAGAGTACGGGCACGTCAGAGAGGCTCGTGGCTTGCCTGACGACCCTGTTTTTGTTCGCCAAAATAAGGCCGCAGCTGCTGGTGAAGCACGCCAGCACGTTGCAGCCGTACTTGGGCTTGAAGTGCCAGTCTGCCGGCGATATACAGATTATAAGCAGCGTGGCCAAGATGCTGGAGCTTGTGGTGCCCCTTATGGAGCACCCGAGCGAAATTTTCTTGGCGCAGCTCGAAGAGGACGCCATCAAGTTGGTTTTGCAGCACGACAGGCCGATAGTGAGCAGCTGCTTGGCCTGTTTGGGCTCGATTGTGAACAAAGTGACGCACAACTACAAACTGATCAGGGACTGTTTCGGCAGATTCCACAATTACTTGGATAAATACAAAGGTTACTTCGAGGCGGACAATTCGGTGCTCTGCAACGACATCAAAGGCCGGCAGTTGTTCAGAAGGGCGTTGTTTATATCCGGGTTGTTGCTGAGGCATTTCGACTTCAAGGATCCCGCTGTTATAGGGGATTTGCCCGCCGACATCAAGGACCAAGTTTACAACACCATGGTGTACTTTCTGCAGAGGGACGATATCGACATACAAGCGAACGCCTTGAAGGCGATCGGTTCTATTTGCATAAGGCACTACGAATTTATGCTCGAGGATGAGTTGAAGCAGTTCTATCACAAGCAGCTGGTGGCAGAGGAGGCGCCTCTGAGAATGAAGGTGGAAGTTTTGGTGAACATCGAGAATTATCTCGTCGAAGAGGAGAACCGCATGATTCAGCAGGATTTAGAATGGTCGAAACGTTCGAAGCAAGAGAATCTGAAGGAGATGGGCGACGTGTCCTCCGGCATGGCCAGCACTGTGATACAATTGTACTTGAAGGAGATTCTGCAATCCTACATACACCACAACGTGCAAGTGAGGAAACCGGCCCTGCGCGTCATACAGCTGGTGCTGCAGCAAGGTTTGGTGCATCCCGTGCAGATCGTCCCCTACCTGATCTGCATGAGCACCGACTGCGAGAAAATGGTGTCGCACAGCGCCGACAAGCAGCTGCTCGAGATCGAGAAGAAATATCCCGGCTTTATCCACACGAAATCTTCCCTTGGAATCCGCCTGTCTTACCAGCTGCAGTGCATACTGCAAGGAGATGTGATTGTGCGGGGGTCGCGCGTCAAGGAGGAAGGCGAATATCCATCGTCGTTGAACGGATATTTGTACTCGATTCTGCGCAGCTCGAGACAGCAAAGACGTGCCTTAGTTCTTAACATGTTAAAGCAGTTTGACGAGCAAGCTGTAAGTATTATTATTTTTTTTACTCGACGCGCGGGTGTTTGACGATGATTTTTTGCAGCGCACTACTTTATCGTACATGTTGTACCTGGCCGATAATTTGGCGTACTTCAACTACCAAGTGCAGGATGAGCCCCTGTTCATTGTCCATCACATAGACATCATGATCTCAGTTTACGGAACAAACATGTTGCAGTCCTTTAGGGAGGGATTGTTGACTCCCGACGGTCAGAAGGTGATCCATCCCGAGAACGGGGAGGCAATAAACCCCATATCGGCTCTGGACGAAGACGACGAGGACGAGGAGCTTCTGGTGACGAGGATACCGGAGGACACGTCGCATCTGCAAGGCTGCATCACGGCCGCGCAAGGCTGCCTTCTACTTCTGATGCTCAAAAAGCACATCAAAGACATTTACGGTCTAAGCGATGGGTAAATATAAATACGTAAATATATAATACAAAATTATTAATTCTCTTTTCAGTAAAATTCAGCAGTACTCGCCCTCGGAGGCGGCGAAAGTGTACGAGAAGGCCACCACGCGGAAATCCAACGCTCTCTTTAACCCGAAAGGCACCCTGCAGAAATTGAAGCAGGGCGCGCCTCCCGAATATTTGGACGAAGAAGGCAGACGGGACCTAATCAGGCAATATTTAGACGTAATAGACGCGTTGCGGTGCAGGCGAATTCCGATCTAATGGTTCGTTTATTTTTTTTTTCAGTTTAAGCAGCTGATGCTGCAGTTAGATCCGGACGATGCCGACGACGAGGAGAATAAGGGATCGGCTTTGAATCCTCAGCTGCAAGCGGGTCATGCTTCATCGATACTTACGGAAGCTGATCAGGCGACGCTTGAGAATTATAAGGTAGGATTTTTTTAATCTACATTTTTTATTTGGTTTATCCATAAATTTATATTAGGTGGACAGTTAAGGAATCGTAAAGATAGTAAGTAAAACTGTTGTACAAAGTATTGCAGACAAAAACGTTTAGTAAACGTTTAAAAAAACCGTTAAGTGACAATTAACTAAATTAAAGTAGGAAACTTTGTAAACTGCAATTTTTAGTAGTTGAAAAGTCCATTGACGTACTTAGTGACAATTAACGTTCTTTCACCAAGCAAAAAACTGTAGTTGCTTTCTTTTAAACTTTTACCAGTAACTGTTTAAAAATAGAGCGAAACTTTTGGAATCAACTTTGTTATAAAATTAAAAAAAAAATTGCAAAGAAAAATCCGTTTCTCGTAACTGCATTTCGTCAATCTTGTATCTGAAGTTTAGAGCGGAATTTCAGCATATTAACTTTCTTTTACAAAGTAGGAAACACAGTTAACTGTAATTTGTAGTAGTTGAAATGTTCATTAATGCATTTCTTATTTACAATAATAAAAAAAGTACCAGTTAACGTTTTCCAAAGAAATAAAAATCCGTTTCCTATAAGAAAAACGTTAAATGCATTTTCTCAATCTTTCATCTGAAGGCTAGAGAGAAATCTCAGTTGGGAAACACTGTTAACTGTAATTTTTAGCAGTTGAAAAGTCCATTGACGTACTTCTTATTTACAAAAAAACGTTTAGTGACATTAACGTTCTTTCACCAAGAAAAAAATTTGTTGTTTTCTTTTAAACTTTTACCAGTAACTGATTAAAAATTGGGCGAAACTTCATTGGATGCCACGATTTCTGATACAGTTGAGTTGGAATAAACTTTGTTAAAAATTTAATAAAAATTGCAACAAAAATCCGTATCTCGTAAGAAGAGCATTAACTGCATTTCGTCAATCTTGTATCTGAAGTTTAGAGTGGAATTTCAGTAAATTAACGTTCTTAAACAAAATAGGAAACACTGTTAACTTAGTGGTAGAAATGTTCATTGATGCAATTCGTTTTTACAAAAATAAAAAAAAGTAGCAGTTAACGTTTTCCAAATAAATAAAAATCTGTTTCCTATAAGAAAAACGTTAAATGCATTTTGTCAATCTTTCATCTGAAGGCTAGAGAGAAATCTCAGTTGCGAAACTGTTAACTGTAATTTTTAGTAGTTGAAAAGTCCATTGACGTACTTTTATTTACAAAAAAACGTTTAGTGGCAATTAACGTTCTTTCACCAAGCAAAAAATTTGTTGTTGTTTTCTTTTAAACTTTTACCAGTAACTGATTAAAAATGGAGCGGAACTTTTGGAATCAATTTGTTAAAAAATTAAAAAAAAAATTGCAACGAAAAATCCGTTTCTCGTAAGAAGAGCGTTAACTGCATTTCGTCAATCTTGTATCTGAAGTTTAGAGCGGAATTTCAGTAAATTAACGTACTTTAACCAAGTAGGAAACACTGTTAATTTTTAGTAGTTGAAATGTCCATTAACGCACTTCTTATTTTGAAAAAAAAAAATGCAGTCAACGTTTTCCAAAGAAATAAAAATCCGTTTCCTATAAGAAAAACGTTAAATGCATTTTGTCAATATTTCATCTGAAGGCTAGAGAGAAATCTCAGTTAGGAAACAATGTTAACTGTAATTTTTAGCAGTTAAAAAGTCCATTGACGTACTTGTTATTTACAAAAATATGTTTGGTGACAACTAACGTTCTTTTACCAAGCAAAACAATTGTTGTTGTTTTCTTTTAAACTTTTACCAGTAACTGATTAAAAATTGAGCGGAACTTTTGGAATCCACTTTGTTAAAAAATTAACGTTCATTAACAAGGTAGGAAACACTGTTAATTTTTAGTAGTTGAAATGTCCATTAACGCACTTCTTATTTTGAAAAATAAAAAAAATGCAGTCAACGTTTTCCAAAGAAATAAAAATCCGTTTTCTATAAGAAAAACGTTAAATGCATTTTGTCAATATTTCATCTGAAGGCTAGAGAGAAATCTCAGTTGGGAAACACTGTTAACTGTAATTTTTAGCAGTTGAAAAGTCCATTGACGTACTTGTTATTTACAAAAAAATGTTTAGTGAATATGAACGTTTTTTACCAAGCAAAAAAATTGTTGTTTTCTTTTAAACTGTTACCAGTAACTGATTAAAAATGGAGCGGAAATTTTCGGAATCAACTTTGTTAAAAAATTTAAAAAAATATTGCAAAGAAAAATCCGTTTCTCGTAAGAAGAGCGTTAACTGCATTTCGTCAATCTTGTATCTGAAGTTTAGAGCGGAATTTCAGTAAATTAACGTACTTTAACCAAGTAGAAAACACTGTTAATTTTTAGTAGTTGAAATGTCCATTAACGCACTTCTTATTTTGAAAAATAAAAAAAATTGCAGTCAACGTTTTCCAAAGAAATAAAAATCCGTTTCCTATAAGAAAAACGTTAAATGCATTTTGTCAATCTTTCATCTGAAGGCTAGAGAGAAATCTCAGTTAGGAAACAATGTTAACTGTAATTTTTAGCAGTTGAAAAGTCCATTGACGTACTTGTTATTTACAAAAAAATGTTTAGTGAATATTAACGTTTTTTACCAAGCAAAAAATTGTTGTTTTCTTTTAAACTTTTACCAGTAACTGATTAAAAATGGAGCGGAAATTTTCGGAATCAACTTTGTTAAAAAATTTAAAAAAATATTGCAAAGAAAAATCCGTTTCTCGTAAGAAGAGCGTTAACTGCATTTCGTCAATCTTGTATCTGAAGTTTAGAGCGGAATTTCAGTAAATTAACGTACTTTAACCAAGTAGGAAATACTGTTAATTTTTAGTAGTTGAAATGTCCATTAACGCACTTCTTATTTTGAAAAATAAAAAAAATTGCAGTCAACGTTTTCCAAAGAAATAAAAATCCGTTTTCTATAAGAAAAACGTTAAATGCATTTTGTCAATCTTTCATCTGAAGGCTAGAGAGAAATCTCAGTTAGGAAACAATGTTAACTGTAATTTTTAGCAGCTGAAAAGTCCATTGACGTACTTGTTATTTACAAAAAAATGTTTAGTGAATATTAACGTTTTTTACCAAGCAAAAAAATTGTTGTTTTCTTTTAAACTTTTACCAGTAACTGATTAAAAATGGAGCGGAAATTTTCGGAATCAACTCTGTTAAAAAATTTAAAAAAATATTGCAAAGAAAAATCCGTTTCTCGTAAGAAGAGCGTTAACTGCATTTCGTCAATCTTGTATCTGAAGTTTAGAGCGGAATTTCAGTAAATTAACGTACTTTAACCAAGTAGGAAACACTGTTAATTTTTAGTAGTTGAAATGCCCATTAACGCACTTCTTATTTGAAAAATAAAAAAAATTGCAGTCAACGTTTTCCAAAGAAATAAAAATCCGTTTTCTATAAGAAAAACGTTAAATGCATTTTGTCAATCTTTCATCTGAAGGCTAGAGAGAAATCTCAGTTAGGAAACAATGTTAACTGTAATTTTTAGCAGCTGAAAAGTCCATTGACGTACTTGTTATTTACAAAAAAATGTTTAGTGAATATTAACGTTTTTTACCAAGCAAAAAAATTGTTGTTTTCTTTTAAACTTTTACCAGTAACTGATTAAAAATGGAGCGGAAATTTTCGGAATCAACTCTGTTAAAAAATTTAAAAAAATATTGCAAAGAAAAATCCGTTTCTCGTAAGAAGAGCGTTAACTGCATTTCGTCAATCTTGTATCTGAAGTTTAGAGCGGAATTTCAGTAAATTAACGTACTTTAACCAAGTAGGAAACACTGTTAATTTTTAGTAGTTGAAATGCCCATTAACGCACTTCTTATTTGAAAAATAAAAAAAATTGCAGTCAACGTTTTCCAAAGAAATAAAAATCCGTTTTCTATAAGAAAAACGTTAAATGCATTTTGTCAATCTTTCATCTGAAGGCTAGAGAGAAATCTCAGTTAGGAAACAATGTTAACTGTAATTTTTAGCAGTTAAAAAGTCCATTGACGTACTTGTTATTTACAAAAATATGTTTGGTGACAACTAACGTTCTTTTACCAAGCAAAACAATTGTTGTTGTTTTCTTTTAAACTTTTACCAGTAACTGATTAAAAATTGAGCGGAACTTCATTAGATGCCACGATTTCTGATGCAGTCGAGTTGAAATAAAGTTTGTTAAAATATTTTTTAAAAAAGCTGATGCAATGAAGCTGAAAGTTCGTTGTCTGTTTGTAGGATACGTCTCCACCGAAAGTGCCGAAACTGGTGATATCGAATCGTCGTCTGGACGGCGAGACCAAGAAGTCGCCGCGGCAGCAGCGGTCGCCGGACAAGACGAAAAAGCACAGGCACAAAAAGAAGCGAAGAAAGTTCGTGAGTTCGTCGGGCGACGAGAGCGAGAACGATTGCAGCGACCCGGACTTTCTTGGCTAGCGTGGCCGCGTTGCGCACTGTGCGGTGGCAGTTTCACTTTCCGCTCCCCCCCCCTTTTTCACTACTTCCCCCGAAAAACCCAATCCGATGGTCCCGCGTCGCGATACGGACTCGAGTGTACAGTTTCTCTAGCATCATTATGAATTCTAATAACTTTACTATATAACAAGTAACACAGGATGTTTTTACGACAGATATTTACGAACTGAGAGAGAGGTTTTGTATAATGTAGTGCTCGCACTTTTATTAATTTAGGTAAGAACTTTTATGAACTTTTAGATTTGTTCTTTTCTTTTTCAGCTGTGGTGTTTTGTTTTGTTCTCTTTTTTAATTTTACTACATCTCCCAGCTACTGTCACATCTGTTATTATAAATAAGCATAGAGATATATATGAAAATGTGACGGCATCTGTGAAAATTTTGTATAGTTATCTTATGCATTTTTTTAAGTCTAAATCAGGGGATTTACAAATTAATCCTTCAAGTGAGCTTCCACTTGACAACCCTACTTTTTTTTACTACAAAATACAAAATTCACGCGCGAAAATCACTTTGTATGCTACAAACATTATTTATTTCACTACAATTCAACGATAAAATTAACCTCTATTATTATTAATTATTTAGTGTACATAGAACCAGTGATGTATATGTGATTTTATTTTTTCCAAGAGAACAATGACCAAGTTGTATACTTATGAGAGAAAAACTTGAACTTTAAATTTAAAAATTTTTTTTACACTTCTGATTTATGGTAGTAATAAGCAATAGTGTTAAATAATATGTCCCATTTCAGGGCATTTTCTGCAGTTTTTCTCTCGTATACTTGAGAAAGATTTTATTAAAGGCATGCATTCTTTTTGATATCAATAAAATAATACCCGACCCGTATTTTAACCAAGAGACTGTTTTAAATAAATAAATGTTATGTGTTGTCCTCAGTGTTTAAATTTAATAACTTTAAAATACGAGTCTGGTATTACTCCTTCAATTTCACAAGCTAAAAACAGTACTGTTAAATGTTAGTTTTGCCTGTTAACTACGTTAATTAAATTGTGAGCACCCTTTAAGTTAAAATCAAAACTCTTTTTATGCCTTATTATGAATGTCCTTAATTAAATCTAAACCTATGTAAAATCGGTTTTGCAATAATCACTTGTGAGTGAAGAAAGAACAAATATAAATTAATTTTCATTAATATTATTCTATAAATTTTCCTCATTATTTGTGAAAAGTTTTTCTGGAAAATTGCCATCACTGAATAGAAATACCAGCTTAATCTAGACTGTAAATTTATATTAGTGTTTGTCTGGAGTCATGAAATAAAAAAAATCCTGAAATTTTGTTTAACAAGGACTTCCAGACTAATCATGATATTTATTAATTATCATTCGTAATTAATTTATGTATTTTTATATTTTCAAACCGGTCTACCTTCAAGTTTGCTACCAATGCTTTAAATTGTGAATTATAGAAAACCAAGGAAACAAATTGATCACTGAATTTTTGTACATTGATTTATATTCCTTTTTACTCTTTATTAAGTAGCCTGTTTCAAATTTAGATGTTACCAAGTTTAAATGAAACCTAATTACATGTATATAACTGTTAATACTTGGATTTAACAATATGCGTTCGACTTGAATTCACATTCCTAATATAACTAATTACTTTCACAATTATTGGCTAAGTTTTTTATTATGTCTTAATTCTAAATCAGTATTAATTAATGAAATTACCAAAATCGATTGTTTTAGCTAAATTTTTAGCAGGTTATTTATTGTAGTTTATTTATATTTTCAACCTTAGTTGTGAATTGTTAGTGAATGTGTAATATCCAGTAATAATGAATGTTTATGGCTATACAATTTTAATTTCGTAAATTAATAAATATGTGGCCATTTAACATGAATTATGCAGGGTTTTTCATATTGTAAACCCCTTTGTATTTAAATAAATTTATATTTGTAATTTTTGTCGTTTTATTTATCTAACACTGGAATCATCAAAATAAATTTTACTATGGTGAGTAACTTATTAGATAGTGGCGCCATCTATAGTTCAGTAGCCGAAGTTTTAATAAGATAATTTTGTCGCTTTGAAAGATTCCGCCAAACTTTACGAAAATGTGATAAAATTTGATAAGAAATTTTTTGATAAAGTTTTCTGTAAATTCAAACTTTCACTACCGAATAATAGATGGCGCTATGCACCGCTATTATTTTTATATCTTGACTCTTCACAACACCAAACTACTATTATTTTTATATTACACATTAAGAATGTCAAGTTAGCTAGCTAAAAACAGTCTTAAAGAATGTTAGGTTAGGATTTTAGAAGTTCGTTAGTAGTGCGTCGGATGGCTTCGGCCACCCCTTACTTTTATAGGTGAAGCCACCTGGCGGTGAAACTTGGAACTACAAATTTTAAAGCGCCCCTGGCGGACGAAATACGAACTACATTTTATATTGCGCGATGGTGGCGCCCCCTTGAAGCGGTGGAGAAAAGTGGAACTAACATTTGTGATTTTTAGTGAAACTACATTTGTAATTTTTGCCTATTCGATATCTTGCCCCAAATATTTTTTTTAAGGAAATATAAGTTTACTAAAATGTGATAAAATTTTTTAACTGATCACCTTTACCTCTACCTACCTTATATTAAGTATGACTGAAAAAGAAGGATAAAGGCAGTAAGTAAAATAATAAATTAGAATGTTGTCTTTATTAAACAAAACATACATGGTATTTGAATAAATATGCAAACTTAAGAACAATGAAATAAACAACAAATTACATTTTATATATATATTTTAAGTCTTAAAATTTAAGATAACATGACCAGAATTAGAAAGTTGCAGGTACAATTTAAACTTCCTTAAAAAAATATACAATACTTGTCTTTTTTTTCTTACTGTTGTGTACTACAACTGTGTAATTCCGTGCTATCAATGTAACAATTATTAAAGGAACAAATATCAGGTACAGTTTTAAACATTAAAATAACTTTGGCATTATAAAATTATAAATGCATTTCAGTCTTACTTATACTTGGAGATGGATGAGCCCTTTTAAAAATAAGTTAGTTTTCTTTTTACAAGCATTTATGGACTTTTAAAAGTGCTCAAGCATCTGCCATCTCTACTTAACTTAGGGTTCAACGGGAATATCGCCTCCTTCGGCAAGGTACTTCAAAATCTTCAACCAATAATCAACCCTTACACTAACAATTTCTTTGCGTTCTCCAATTGGTTCAGATTGAAATAATTTCAAGTATTCATCGACACCTTCTTGAAGCTTGGCAACAGCTTGTTCCCTTTTTCCTTCTTTAAAATACATTTCGCCTGTTAAACCTATATCAACCACAGAAAGCAACGGAGGCGAACAAGCGCAGATGGCTCGCAAATAAACAATCGGATTGGCTCTGTATTCATCGATATTCATAAGCCGATTGAGTTTGTGTGTGAATTCGCAGTATTCATTCACTTTATTGCTCAGTTTATTGAATTCTCTGTTCGTCATCGTTGCATCTTTACCGCCGGATACCCCAATGAAAATATTCAAATGCGCAATCGCCTGAATTGAAGCGATAAAAGCATCTTCAAACCTTTGCTGTGAGCCATACTCGAAAGCCAAATTTATGACTTTTTTCGCTTCATCCATGTGGTTACGTGTATCGCGAATAAATGGAGCAGAGATAAATGGATGTGCCATTAGGCCTTGCTTGACCAGTCTTTTAGAATTATCACGAACAACAAGCAGCTTATCCAGTAAATCCCTAGCATCTTCACTTATGGAATATTTTGATTCTTGACGTAACTTGAATTAAAAAAATTAATTGAAACTCATAAGAATATAATATACTTACAATAAAAAATTTCCCATGACGGTATTTTTCTTTAAACTGCTCTGCATTGAGATGAGGAAATGGACGGTGTCCGTATATAAGTGTGTACATTAAGATGCCCAGGGCCCAAGCATCGCTGGTTTCATCAGTATACGTTAAATTTCGCAATACTTCCGGCGGCATGTTAAAAAGAGAACCGACATGATTAAACTCTCTTTGCTGGAAGTGTGAAATATCAGCATTTCTGTAAATAATGAGTTTAATATTTAATATTGTAAAATGTTTAATATTTACCCAAAGTCAATTAGTTTAACTTTTGGTCCAGCTGCATCAGTGACTATGACGTTGTCAGTCTTCAAATCCCCATGATATATTCTCATGGTGTGCATGTAGGCAATAGCGGACGAAATGTCAGTCATGATTGTTTTTAGCACTAATTCGCTGTTAACATGACCCTCATCATTAAATTTTGTCAAAGTCCCATAACACTCCAAATACTCAAATACAATATATAAGCTCCTAAAATATCATTAATATTATTCTCACCGCTACTAAATATCTTAAATGCGAAAGTAATCTGGGTTGCCTACCTATACAGATAGTATTATTATTTTTTTAGGTTAACTTACGTTTTCTTAATATTGTAATCGACCATTTGAATAATATTTGGATGTTGAAGGATTTTTAGCAGCGCAACTTCCTGGACAACGCGCCTTTGCCCTTCTAGTTGTCCTGCTTTATATTTAAAATACTTTAACGCAAACTCTTGGTTATTCTCCTTAAAACATAACATAAAGAGTAAACATGGAAATATGCACAAGTAGTCATAAAGTACCTTTCGAATGGCTTTATAAACGATCGAAAAGCCCCCATTTCCAATAACATTACCTAAAATATAGTCTTTGACTAGAGGAGCCATTGTGTGGATCATCTAAAAATTAATCGCAATATCAACCACTTCACTTTATATTGTTCAGAATACTTTGAAAGAAACATCAACAAATACAAAGAACAAAAAAATCAGCAAAAATATGTGGATATTTGTGTTTTAAATTTTTAACATTAAATTTAGGTTGGTGTATGTTATGTTGGCAATACCAGTTAGCGTTGCCAACATAACGTGTGCCAACCTAAATTAGTTACCAAATCGTAAATACTTACTTAATTTAAATTAAACCACTTTTTATCGCATTGTTTTTATATATCTATTACAAAACATTATTATTTAGTAAAAATACAATGCCGGAAATAATAGTGTGTCGTTGTGTGGGAATTATTTTTATTATTATATTTATTAGAGATAAAATTGGTTTGTGCGGTTAGTTATTATTGTTTAAAAAAAGTGACATTGCATTTTTAGCTTGGTATTTCCGATTTAATAAATAAGGCAATTAATTTAATAATCACGCATATAACAGGCCGAAAATTGACATTTAATAAATAATATAATTCGTGTGGTTTTTCTCATTTACACTACCGTTAAATTGGTTGAAATAATGCAAGCCTTGACCGATTAGAATTAAAAATTATTATTGAAGGATTTCTTTTCATATACCTAGTGCATTATTATTTTTTATTTATTGTATGTACTTTCCCATGCGCGACGGTTTTAATGTCACATAAAATTTCATTGGTTGAAATACAAATAATTATGATGAAATTTGGCAAATAAATTTTTTCAAACAAAACAAGAAATATTAGGTAATAAATTATCAAAATACGTCAGGGGAATCCAAGAGTATATTTGTGAAAGTCTGATACTACGTCATCAAAACTACCTATACATTATAATGCATGTCACGAAATTTCCTTTTGTCTATAGTATAGTAAATCGTGATATATTTAAGTATGAGAAAAAAGCAAATCATTTGTGACTCATCAAAACATTACAAACAATTTTTAAAACCAAGGAATTTGCATTTTGTATATTTTAAATAATCAGTGCATTTTTTACGGCAAAATAAAAAAATCAATGATATGATATATCCAATATACAGGGTGTCAAAGAAGCAAAATATTTTTTCGATCTTTCTTTGTTTTAAAGATTCAGATAAATATTATATTATCCAGTTTATATTATCATAATTTTATCAACTGATAGTATCGAAAATAAATGTATTTTGCAAGTAAAATATGGTGGCATTTTACTTTAAAGGAGGAAAAATTGTTTACTTCTCCACCTTGTGACATAATTAATTATTCTTCGGAATTCTTGAGTTTGCGACATTTTCATAGGTAGATAATGTTGACGTTTGACATAATAGGTTATGTGCATGAATTTATTCTACAGTGACCTGCAATTTTACAGTTACCTACACTGATTTCTAACTAAACGCAATAGATAGAACCTCTCTTTCTATGTAATTTTAATGTATTTTTATTATTGTACGGCGGTGCATAATAATTTCAATTTTGTGTAATGAAGTCTTATAATATAAAAATTGTTATACGCTCGAAAAAAAATTATTTCATTGAACTCGTTTTTGTATAGAAGATAAAAACTTCACGATTTCAAAGTAGAAAATATTGAACTAAAAAAATCCTAGTTTCGAGCCTGTATTGGGTAGTTCCGAAGTAAGAAAACCTAGATATAATGCAAGTGTATCGTGAGAAAAACAACAAAATATTCGGGACCGGTTCAAGGCTAAACACGTAATATCAGCAAATCGAGACCGCATTTCTTCGTATCGCGGTTTTTACAAACTTCTTCAGTGGTAAAATTTAACGGCGAGTTGGTTTTTCCTACGGCTCGATATTTATTTATATTCTACTACCAGCGCTGAATAAGCCAGTCACAAATCAACCCGCAAACCTGTAGCATCTCATGCAAATATAAGTTCTGTAATATTTATATTCGCAAATAAGTTAAACACCTATTGTTCTAATACATTCATAAAATGGTAAGTAATTCTTTTTTAATGTATTAATAGTAAAAAAAATTAGGTTTCTCGCATTGATCTCTGACCCCATTTATAATCAGTTCAATTTATAAACCACAACAACAAATAATAAATATTTTTTATTTTCAGAAATTTTTGGTACTTTTCGCTTCACTAACAGTTGTTGCAATGGCCCAAAGGCCTAGTTATGCTGGTTTAACTCCAAAACTAGGACCGGAATTGGCCTCAAGATTCAAAAATCCCAATGACACAGCAGATGATCCAATTTTGGCCAACCGATTAGGGGAAGATACCCCAACCAATTTGCCCACAGATGCAAGAGGAGATGGTGGTTTGGTCGACAGATTAAACCAGTGGCCCAGAGAACACAGGCCCTTTTGGCTTATTAATGCAGAACACATCGAAAGACACAGACACCCAAACGAAGGGCAAGGAAATTCTCAGAACCAACAAGTTCAAGGAAACGCAGTAAATTTGGCAAGCAGAAATAATTTCGCTGCCCCCGAGGCTAACAATGGATTTTTCGAGGTGGTTAATGGAGTTCCAGGACATTTCGATAAAGGAGCAGATGGTACAGTTAACATTAATTTTGAAAGCAGAGGAGCATTTGGAGAATCTCCCGACACAAGGCCCATCAAACCTGAACCCCCAAGGTCAACATTTTTGGGCGCCCGCAATTAGTTTTTATTTTTTAAGAGACTGTTAATGTAAAGTTTAACACACTTTATTTTCCTGCAATGCAATGCCAAATCCCATTTGTACATATTAATTTTATACTAAGAAATACATTTTTACCAATAAATATTATAAAAAAATTTCACTTACCGATTTTATGCTTAAACTTTGAAGCGAAAGCGACTCCGCCATCGTAACAGACCAAAAACCCGAACCAAATGAACAGGGAGTGTAATTTTTACGCCGGTGGAGGGAAAAACAAAAGGAGATGTTCTGGGATAATTAATTTTAATTGGTGATAACGCGTTACCTTATATGGGCATAAAATGAGATATTCTTGCTGATTGGTCGGGTTTTAAGGGGAAATAATACGAATAATTGGGAGGGATGAATAACGGTTTTTGGGTGTAATATGATGATTGGTTGAAATAAATAGCGCTTAATTTGAATATTCTTTCTATTATTTTATTTGTTGGTAGTCTAATCAGTACACTTATTCTAATATATTGGGATTTAATAGATAAAAAAAGATTGAAAAAAATTAATATGTATAACTTGAACTACATTTCAGTCATTGGAGAATTTATATAAAACAAGTTGAATGTATACTATAGTCTATTAATTCAATATACAAATAAATAACTCTTTTATACAAATATATATAAAAAAAGGTTAAAAGAAGCACCAAAAAAATTAAAAGGATTGAGAAATAAAAAGTATTTAAACAATCTCTACATTATTTAGGAAAAATTACTGAAATCGGTTTTTAGTTTTATAGTTGGGGCATGATTTGATACCGGTTGACTTATGTTTGCCTCATTTTTAACTTTAACGTTTGTCTGTTGGTTGGACCTTATCGCATTTTCCAATTTGGTCCTAAGGTCAACGCTTTGACCCATCAACTTTTTAAATTCCTATTCGAAAAAATATGCGTCAAAAAATGTTGGCTTTTAATAAGTTGTAAAAAAAAATACCTGTGGATATTTAGGACCGATTTTCATCAACCATTGCAAACTAACTTCATGAAGTTGAAGGGAATATTTGTTGGCAGAACGGAGAGCCTGCTCGACCAACAAATAACTTACCAGAACTGGGACCAATAGAGACAACATTTGTATTCCTGGACAAAAAATTGTTTTTTATTAAGGAACAAAAAACAGATTACTAGTTATTAGTATCCGAGTTCAAAGCTTACTTACCTTGCATGACATCTCCTGATGGCAATTTAACATAAATGCACCGTTTAAGTAAAACCATGGGTTAAAAAGAGAAGGGGAGAGGAAGCATTTCGTTTTTCAATAACTGCAGCGATTGCGGTGATCCTCTACAACTTTTTATTGAGTGGGCAGTTTCGCTAAACAAGTATAACTGTTAACGCTCCATCTCCCCACCTCTTAAGTCTACCAGCTAAGTAAAATAAATAAAAAACACTCACTGTTTTGTAGTTCTGCTAAACCAATAAGGGATTCTATCGTTACTATGGTTTCCAGAGTCACGGCGAGCTCGCCATCGGAAAATATTTTTCTTGCCGAATCCGAGTAAAGATATTCCACTAATTGAGGCGCCAAAGTGTGTATGTACGGGGTGGCAACCGCTCTATCAGGATGGGCGAACAGAGATTTTAACGTCTTAACACACTTGAGTTTTACCTGCAGTTAAACGAATTACAAATATGTTTCCGATTGAAATTAAATTAAATTACCGTCGAGTTGGAGCTCTGCAAACACTGCCTGAAATGGTTGATGCAGGGGTACTGCAAGTTAGGGGCAGTCACCACTTTGCCAGGGGCGTGCAAAACGAACACCGCTATAGCCAACATCATGGTAACTTCGTCCAACTTGTTTTCATCGCTCGTTTTGGCTAGATCTATAATTTTCGCTAGGGCACTTTGCAACAATTTCTGCCATTGTTCGTGTTCGGAGTAGGAATCGGTGGCCAGAATTTTCAAGCAATGCAGAGCCGCTTGCACGGAAGGATTGTTCGCCAGAATGGTCACGTCGTTCACGTTCTTCGTCGCCACTTCTTTTATCACGCCCGTGGTCAAGTACAGTATCGTGGGTAGGATGGAGAGGGCGCCCTGGGGCGAGCACAACTTATTCAAGCCTTGCATGCTGGTAATCGAGGCCGCTATCAACTCCCCGGACTGTTCGTTGTTCTGCATTATCCTCAACGAGTTTACGATGGTGGAGTTCGGGGTCGGGCTCAACGACGGCAGCTGCCTTATAAGCAGACACAAACACACCTCGAGCACCGAAAAAACCAGAGATTTGCCGGGCGTTAGTTTGCCCTGCTCGCCCCCTTCCCCGAGCAAATCCAGATCGAACGAGTTGTCTTCCTTCCGCTTCCGACGCTTCTTCTCGTCCAACTCCTCTCCGGCCGCCTTGCACACCCGATTCAACACCTCCATGCAAAGCAGCTGCAACTCGTGGTTGTCCTTGGTCAAAATCAATCGGTGCAGCACGTTGCACAGCTCAATGGCGAGCGATTCGTCGCTCATCAGCAACTCTCGAGTGAAAACGGTGTCCAGCAGAGTGCGAAGGGCCTGCATGCACGTTATAATGCTTTCGATGGGTTCGATGGATTTCGCGGCGCACAGGGCCTCCATGCAAATCCCGAAGAGCAAGTGGAACTTGTCGGCGGAGTTGTCGAGAGCCGCCGGGTTGTTATTCAAGGCGTTGTCGTTGTTGATTTCCTTCTCGAAGCACTCGGCGTTCAGCCAGAGCGCGGCCGCGTGCAGGATCGGCGCCCAGGAGGAGACGTAGTGCGGCCTGGCCGACTCCATGGTCTCGTTGGTGTAAAAAGCGCCGCCGTCGTGCGGAAGCTGGCTGGAAAACTCGTTGGGAAGCGAGAGTAGAGCGTGGTCCTTCAACGCGGCCAGCCAATGCCTCGACAAACCGATCAGCTCCGGTTGCACCAGCGTTAAAAGGCTCTCGCCTCGGAACTCAAAGTCAGTGAACTCGTTGTCGTTAATCGGAGTCTGAGCTGTTGTCACTGTGGCGTTCATAGCCACTATGTACACTTCAGCCCAGGCTTTCAGTATTGCCAGCTTCTCCAACGTCGACAAACTCTCGTTGTACAGCTGCGTGACACTCGTCCTGTTCTGAAGCTTAGTCAGCGAGGAGACCAACAACTGATGCACCCTTCGTAAATCGTTTAAATCTCTCGCGACGTTAGACCCAATCCAAGTCGAGCAAACTTCGCACGCAGCTGCGGTAACATGCGACGAAGTGTCGGGCGAAAATGCCGGTCTCAAAGCTGCCCCCACCTGCGCTTGATACTGCTCCAACAATAAATGACCGGGGAACTCCGGTTCCGGCACTTTAGCAAACTTATCGATGATTTCCTGCAGAGTCTTCAAACCTTCCATTCGAAGCGGATCTGAATCGCTCGTAGCTGCGATAAAAGCCATTCGAATCAAGTCGGGCAAGTGCAGAACCAAAAAATCCGGTTTTCCCCTATTATGTTGCATCTCCTTGGCCAAAATCAAATCTTTGCTGTTAAACTCGCACGCAGCAATGATTTTGCGAACGCATTCGGCTGCGAAAACTCTTGTGGGCCATCTAGGCTGCACAGCGGGGTGCGAAGAATCGTTTTCTTCGGCGTGAAACTCCTCTTGATCGTCGTCAGCTTCGGTTTCGTTGTCGTCGCCTTCGTTGGAGGCCAAATTTTGCTCCTCCGACGATTCCGTAGCCACAGTTAGCACGTCTTTACACAAACCGAGCCACTGCGACAGATTGTCGGCCGCCAAAACTTGCAGCATGCTTATTATGGTGTCGTGGATGTCTTTTATCAAGGCCGCATCGGTCTCGGTGTCCAGCATGCTGAAAAACACCCCCGGAAGGCCTGTCTCTGTTATTAGAAGACCCTCTACTGTGTTGTGATCTCGGCTTTCGCTCGCCAAAGTCATTGCGTGCTCGCAGACTTCTTTGGCTTCCCTCTGCGCCAACTGCCTTAAGCATGATATCGCGGCCTTCCGCAGTAATAAATGGTTGCTCGATAGTGTTCTCTGAAAGATTAATGTTGGCGAAATAATTTAAAAAATTATAAAAAATTAACTTACGCATAACGTTGGTACTAGAGACGATAAGTTGACATGTCTAGGTGCGAATAGGTGTAGCTGTTGTAAACATCCAGTGGCCTCGGCTTGCACCAAAGGATCTTGATGGTCTTGCATTATGGCGCAAGCGCACAAAAACGACGATCTGGCAGTGCATATACTGGGCGTATTTCCTTGCAGCTCCGGCCCAATCGTTGTAATCAACGCGGACAAAACCTTGCCGATGCACTGATGGACGTCGATGTACGATTGCGGCACGTTCAGCAGCAATTTCAGGGCGAGAGACAGGCTGGGCTCGACGTAACCCCTGAACATGGGCCCGCCGGAGTCCGCTATCAAAGCCAGAGCGTGCAGCGACCAAACCTGCACGATCGGCGACGTTTGGTCCTGCGCGAGCGCCAGCAAGATGGAGACGCTGGTGTTGAGGTGCTGACTGGAGCCCATGCCGCCCACGTATCGGTGCAGGCAGCCCAGAGCGAGGGAATGCCCGGTGCGGCTGGCGACGTCTCTGGCCGACTTCAGCCGATCGAAGCTGGTTTGCGCGAGCTCAGCGGTGAACTTCGGATCGGACACCACCTGCGCCATGCGGCCGGCAGCCTCGCCGGCTGCGCAGCGCAGAATGGGGTTCGAGGACGTGAGAGCGCCGATTATTAGATTCACAGCCGCTTTTTTGATGTCCTCCTGGCCCAAGTTAAGTTTGGCCTCCGTCAAACCTAAATAGTTATTAGTGTCGGACTTGCACTGCTTGCGGAATTTTTTTACCTTTTAATCCGCTCAGTAAAGCTGTGAACACGTTCATTTGCACAGCCTCCTGTCGCGTACTTCTCGCGTGTTTGATGCATTCGCAGAAATGCTCAATCATTTGGACTCTGTGTTTGTTGGTGACCCTCGGGAATATCTGCCCGAACAATAATACCGATATGTCGATTACGGCAACGCCTAGTGGTAGAGGACCAGGAATGATTTCGCTCTAAATAGAATTGAGGACGTTATAAATATTGTGCATTAAGTAATTATAAATACCTGGGCGATGGAGCGGTATAAACAACAAGGGTCGTGTTCTAGGGCTCCAGATCCTGCAGCACTATTGGGTTGAAGCTAAAAATATGTTAAAATAAAAACACACACCAAGATGGGCGTTATTTTATTAGTTTTAGTGAAAATAATGGCATGAATTTAAAAGCTTGTGTAAGTATGAAATAACGAAAACATTAAACAAAAAAAAAGATCAACAGGTTGTTACTCACATGTTCACCGTCTGCCCTGCGGTTAGGCTCCATCTAAGAAAAAGTTGCAAAAAGGTCATTTGTGCAATCCCCAATTATAAACATAACACATATACCGTATTTTCATTTGATATATATACACTCGGGTGGACCCTGCGGGTTGCCGTAGGCGACGATTTAGTTATGTTTTGAATTTGCGAGCGTTTTAAAGTAAATTAATTTCTTTTATTTAAAATTATAAGTTATAATGTTCTACACATTTCAAGAGATAATTAACATGATAAGCTGGTCTTTAGTGGGAAATTCTTTACGCCAAACAAGAGACCAATTCTCAGTTAAATATCCGGATTTTTTTTTATAAGATAACACTTTTAGTTACATAAATACAAAACAAATAATGAGTTTACACCTTTAATTAATAATTTACTGTTACACTTTAAGTATCTGAATCATTTTTAAAAGTAAATTAAGTTAATAATACGTAATTCGTTTTAATAATCGACTATCACCCAACGCTGGTGAAGGGTCTACTGCTGAATTACGAAAGCCGTCTCCCACTCTTAAAAACCAAATGCGGCCTGTCTACATGTAAAATGAAAGTACGGTATGTACAAGATACCAAAAAAATGCCATTATATACAAATCATGAGTGGTGCGTAAGAATGAGGTGCCTTAATGTCCAGAAAAGAGCTGTTATGTTAGGATATACAATTTTAGTATCTTTAACCACTGTTTGTTGTTAAAACATTAATAATTGATGAAATAATTATTATTTACCTGATCTTCTATGGTTCTGTGGTCAGTTTCTTGCAGCCATGTGCCCAAAATAACCGAATCGTCGGCATGGCAAACAGTTCTTAGCTGAGATGTGGTTGTGTTTGCAGAGTTTTCCGTAAGGGTGAATTCAGCCACCAACATACGCAGCAAATGGGTGTAAGAACCTTAAAAAATATTAATTCGATTTTTATTATTAGACTAATATTCGTAAATCTTACTTTCATAGCATTGCGGTTGCAATAATAATAGAGTCTCGCAGAGTCTAAGTCTAACCATAGCCGCTGGCGCCTTAAGTTGTTGCCCGTAAGTTTTCAGAACACCTTGTATACTAAAAACATTTAAATTACAATCGATAATTATCGAAATACGCAAAAAATAAATTATACTTGGTTAGCATAGCCAAAGCGCTTTCGATGGGCGCCAAAAGTCTCCTGTTGGTGTCCTCGTTGACCAACTCGGGGCAGTTGTGGAGAAAGCTGTGCATTGCCGACAAAGCCCCCGCTCTGCCTTCCAGGGTGACTTGCCAGGTGAAAATGTCCCCCCTTGCCTTTTCCGACTCCAATTCCTTGGCAGATCTGGGGAACGAGTTCCTCCACAGCAGCAACATCCTAGGTAACAACCCTCTGACCACAGGTATTCCCAGCGTCATGATGGCCCCGATTAAAAGCCAACCGGCGTGAGTTCTGTTCAAAGAGAGCCTGCTATTTTGGCTTGCGCTTCTCAGCAGCTCTTCGGCCGTGTTGAAAATGATTTTGCCCTTCATGTGGGGCACTCCGAGGGGAGAGAGCTTGACCCCGCCCAAAACGGCGGCCAGCGCTGCGCTGTAGCCGGAAATCGCCTCCGGAGAGGTTCTGTATTGTTCTATGCCGTTCACGCAGCGGTCGATCAGCGGCGATATTTGGGAGGGTACTGCCACGCAGATGCACCTCAAGCACCAGGCTGCAGCCAACCTGGCAGCCTGGCAAGGGTGCACCAAAACGCTCACAGTGACATCTATCAAATCTATTTCAAAAATAACATTTAAGTCCGATACACTCGAAAATAATAATAATAAATAAATAACTAATTAAAATTACTTCAAGTGACATATTTATTAGTGATGCAACGGTTCCGGGTTTTACGGTTACGGTTACGGTTAGCTCTACGGTTACGAATACATTCACGGTTATTCCAAAAAAATTACAGAATTACGAAAAATAATTATATTGTTCAAAATGAAATTAATACACACGTTCAGTAAAGGTTAAATAATAATTTATGTAAAACAAAAACAGAATTTCTAATAAAAAATATAAAACAAAAGGAAATGAGTAACATTTTAAACCTAAGTAGGTACCTGAATAATAATATTTTAAAAATAAAAAAGTTAAAAGTTAATATTCAAAATTTAAGACAGTCAAATTTTTTTTTAAAAAACAACATCTGCAAATTCTGCGGAATAAGCCTGTTCCTATTTGGTGTTTGCATTCACTGACAATGGTTTGTATGATAAATACCTTAGTGTCAACATTCTCAAAAGCCAAACGTGTAACACGTTTTCCAGAATAAAAACGGATTGGACGTATGTGGTATATTTGGTAACGTTAAATACTCTTTAATCTTCTTTTTACATGCATTCACAAAGTAGCATGAAAAACCGCAAATTACCGCGATTAACCGTATAATATCGAAAACCGTGAATTACCCGTAACCGTAACCGTTGCAACACTAATATTTATTTATTTATTTGCCCAACAGAACATGTTCCAATTACAGGACAAAAAAAATTTTAATTATAATATATTATGGATGGGTAATTAAGTAGATATTACAGCTCAGGTTCCAGATTTTTAACCGCAATTAATTATTTTTAACAATGTTTTAAAAGTCTAAAACCTATCCTCCGTGACTGTTACTCTTTCTAGGTTAACCTATAGGTTTTCAAATATCTGAGTTAGTCAAAGCATACTAAAAATATCAGTTCACTAAGTAAATTAAACACATCCAAAGCAATCGAATCAAATATAAAATATTATTAAAAATTAAAAAGGATTATTTTTATAATCATTTATGTAGGCGTTACAAAAATTGATTCTATCCTCCGTGAATCTGTTGTTGCTTTAAATTTTATGCAAAGGATGGCGATTTAATCATTTTAAATAAGCAAAAACCTCTGTTTACGACATTATAGATGCATGTGATTCCTGAAGGTCAGTTAGAATTTATATGCAGATGAGAGTGTTGCTGTTTTATAATTCAAAAGTTTAAGTTCATTAATTTGCTATTTAAAAACCTATCCATATCTCAGTAAGTAGATTTAAGTATTTTTAAAAAATATTAAGGTGTCAAAAGATACAATAACTTATTTCAAATATACAAAGGGATGTTTTTAATAATATTCATATCATCAAAACCATACTTTTAATTGTCAGATTTTTTTTATTTTAGTTAATAGTAATATAGAAAATAAAATAGCCATCATTAAAAATATTAAACGATTTTTTAATACAAAGGCATATTTTAAATTTGGAATTAAAAATCGATATTTAAAATAAAATTAAAAATATCAAAACCATATTTTTAATTATCATGATTTTTTATTTTAGTTAATAGTAATATATGAAATAATATAGCATTTTAAGTTAAAACTAAAAATATTAATTTAAAGGCATATTTAAAATTCGGACATTGACAATTGAAGCGGGCGTGACGCATCTGTTTAACCAATAAAGTAATAAAAATCAATTAAGTAGTGAAATAGATAAGAAAATATCAAAAAATAATAGAATACATTCAGCAGTAACAATCCATGAGTATATTATCAATACTTATGAACAAAAAATTAATAAACCAAAAAATACTGATAGACAAAAGCTAAAAGCAAAGTTACAAAAACGTTTTATAGATGTTTTAATATTAACACGGTCCTACATTTGTGGGAAATCGTCTCTAAAGTCTATTCAAATCCAAGCTGGACTAAATGTAAACACAATCCTCCGAATCGACCAATAAGAACTCACACCATCAGAATCGACCAATAAGAACGAGTTATCATGCGTCTGGGCGTTTTTGTTTAGTCCAGCTTGGATTTGAATAGACTTTAGATTTTAATGTTTGATTTAAATGAAGATAACAGTAATTCCCCAACACAACCTAATAAAACTCAAATCCATGCCAACCACAATTAATTTATTGAAACGTAAACAGCTACTTAGGTAAGAAAAAATTAATTAATTATTACTTACCTACGCAAAAATAAAATTGATTGGCAAAACATAAACAGCTACTTAGGTAATAAATAATTAATTAATCAAATAATAATTAATAAAATTGATTGTACAATGTTTGTTGAAACTAAACTCAAAAATATAACACAAACATCGTCACAAAGGAAATCAACATAAAAACCAGGTAATATTATAACGATATAACTCAAAACAGCGGTCAAGATCTACCAAATGATATGCAGGCCCATTATTGAATATACTTTTCGAATATATCTTAAGTGTAAAAAAACTACTGTTAGTAAGCTAGAAGTGGCAGAACGTAGTAGCATAAGAAAAATCACTAAAATGACCCACAAAATACAATTGTTAAACAATTTAATGCAAAGTAGAGACCAGGACCTGTCTACCAAAAGGAAATACCCTATAGGGTATACTAAAATACTATGGGAGATAATTGTAGAAATTGGCAATGAGGACCAAAATATATTAAATTAATTAATTAATATTCAATGTTAACGTTTTTTTTGTAAACACTAAAATCAATAATATTGTATAAACTGGGCAGAAAGACCACAGTCGATAGCCTTTTGGGAACCCCAATAAATATTTTTTATTATTATTATTATTAAAATTCGGAATTAGATTTTTAAAATTAAATCAAAATAATGGAACAATATTTTTAATTCGACGAATTTTTCCAATATTATATAAAATAAAAATTACAAACATTCTTTTTCCAATTGGTAATTCAGTGAATTACAAATAAATTTATCTCCACGCGGTCTATAATTTAAACTATATTGTTGTCAACATTCGATAAAGAAATACCTTGTTATGGCCTAGGCCAATAAAATTAATCCTTTTCTAAGAAATTAACGTACTAAACTGGTTTAATTTATTTATAATAAGCATTAATTTGTTTGTTTTACTGTTAATGTTTAATGTTTTTCATTAAATAATTGTAAAATTAAATATGAATAATAAAACAAAAAGTGAGGTTAGGCAACCAAGAAAACGCACGATTCTTATTCTACGATTTAAATTATCTTTAAGTTTAATTTTGCTTTAAGTTTTCAGTGAAATTAAATGTTAAACACAGCTTAAACATTTTAAACTACCTATTTTTTAAATAAAAATCCAAACAAATTGAAATTAGATACCTACCTATTTATTAAACAATTAATTGAATTTAATGTAATAGCAAAAATCCATGTCTACTTAAATCATGTTGCTAGGTATTGTCAAACTATTACTGCTTCTAAAAGCAATAATATTTATTGTAGATTTAATGTAATCTTTAGCTAATAAATAAATGAGATTCTAAAAAAGTGAGGTTAGGCCGCTTTGATGTTGAATTCTGTTAAAAATAATAATAATAATCACATTATTTTAGTTGGTAAAATTTAAAAAAATATTAGATAGATAAAGCTTGTAGACTTACTGAGCGTATTGTCGGTGATAAGATCATGCGCAGTGGTGCCCAAACTGAGCACGAGGCAGCCGATTTCCTGCAGGGAGCAAACCAAAAGGTGCTGACTGAACAAAGTCTCTTGATTAAAATCTTTCGCGTTCTCCGGGTTAAAATCGATGGAATTCATTTCTTTGACGATTATTTGGGCGACTTCTTTGCACGACGACGTCTGCGCCTTTTCGCCCAACATTTTGCCCAAAATGCTGCGCAGTATGAAGTTGATGCATTTTCTCGAATAGACCGCGTCGACGTGCGAAGAAGCGGCCTTCGGATTGGCCACCAAGTAGAGTATGTGCGACAGGAATGTCTTCATGTTTCTTTCCAGCCACACGCTTCCAAGGATTTGCACGAACGTCACGTACGCCTGCGCAGGGTAATTATTTTGTACTCGAATAGTACAAGTTTAAATTAATTAACTTACGTGTGTAACTCCCACTCTGACTTCTCTGTTAACTCCTGAACTTCCCTTGATTATTTCCCCTGTGCCTTTCAAGAACCCAACTCCGCCCCTGAGGAACCCTGACATTAGTATACTGAGTGCTTCATCAAGGGAAACCAATTTCACCCCCTTCAAATGATCTTAAAAAGAGTTATAAATAAAATCATTTACCTAACACAATTTTTTTTTTACAACTTACTATTTTTGTTGATATTATTTTGACTTTGCTGTGTCATAGCTACAAGGGCGCCCAACAATTTGGCTACAGCACATCTAACTTCGTAGTTAGACCCATCGAATGCTCTAAAACACAGTGTTGCCAGACTCTCTAGTTCGGTGGTGTACAAAAAGTGTGCATGATTTAGCATTTCCAGCAAGCATCTTGTGGCAGCACATCTCACCGCCATTACTCTGTCGATCAGGCAGTTTCTCGCCGCTTTGTAAATTTCTTTATGCACATTTGCTATTGCACTACCCATGCCGGCGCATACTTTCTCCAGAGTTAACATTATTTCAATTCTGGTCTGAGATTCTGCACTTCGTAATGATTTAATAAGGATATGTACTGTTTCTTCATATGATCTACCCATCATTCTGCCTAATTTTTCATACATTGTACCCACACAACAAATTGCAGCCCTAAAATTATAAAAATTATGAAAAAAAAATCGAAAAAAAATCACATAACTTACAATCTTGTTGGCAAAAAGCTCGGAGAGTCATCTTTATTCTTTAAAATATCATTACACTTATTCACAGTGTCGAACAGTAAAAATGTATCCCCTACAGAAAACAACGTAGCAAGACTTCTGGCTATCAATTTTCTAGTCGGGGGTCCAGGAGATTCCTGGATGTGGTTCATCAACTGCTGCACCAGTTGCTTTTGACATCCTTTAATATCGTTCTAAAACGCGTTTGCATCAGTTTTGCGTCGTCAAAACAAAATTACGTTACCTTTTGAGCGGCTACGAGCACTTTATCCAAAAATCTGAGCCATTCGAAAATAAATACAGGCCGTTTGGCTTCCGGAATTTGTGCTAGCGCCTCCTCGTTCAAAGTTAAACTGTGTGACAGCTCCATGATTATCTATTTTGGATGAAAAAAAGGCATAAATTACTCAAATAAATTTTGTTTTTTTAGGTTATGTCGCTGTTATGACAGTGGTTGTAATAATTTTTGACAGTTGGCAACGAATTAAATTTAATTTTAAATTAGAAATAAGAGTTTTTACTTTAATTTAATATTGCTATTTAAAACAATGATTTGTTATTTTTTATATTTTAATTGGTGTTTATTTGGCAATGTTTTGATTTATTAAGGTTGGCATCACTTTGACATTTTAAAAGTTTGACAGTTGTTTTGTGATTTGTTATCAAAATTGGCATTTTTTTCAAAAATAATAAAAATTTAAGCTGTTCTTAAGTAAAGTAAGTGTTTAAAGTATTTATCAGTTAAATATAACATAATATATTGCATTATATGTAAAAATAAGAGTAAATTCACTAATTATGAATATTTACAATGAAAACCATTATTTTTGTGTTTTAAAGCATATGTTTAATAAATTTGATGAGCAATAATATAAACAATGCAAATGAAAAGGTTAATTTGTTTATATTAAACCACAAAGTAGATACTTAATTGACTATATAAAATAAAATTCTGGGCTTTGATATTAATATAATTAAACTGTTTTGGGGTCAAAAATTGTGCTTAATAAATAATGGTATTTTTTAAAATCTTTGTATTTAGGTCATCAAAGAAATAATGATAATTACACTAAAAAAAAGGAATACATGTACACGTAATATTACATGAGTATATTTATAATGAATTGGTAAATATACATTATAGCATAAGTAAATTTAAAGTATTCTGTATAAAGAAATGAGTATGAGTATAAGAGGCGCATAACCGGCCCCATTGCCTCATTGCACAGGCCTCTGTTATTTATTTATTTAACATCCAGATACACGTGTACAGAAAATGCCAATAGTTTTAATAGCCATTCCCGGGTTCGCCGGGCCGATGCTATACGCCCAGTAGGATCATGAAGGAGGTAGGACGGGAGGGATAGACATTTTGGTGTTTGGGGGACAATTACGCCGACTCAAATCTAAGTACGTCATTACTTCCCTGACCGTAGGGTGGTCTACACACAGTAGTTGCCACACTACAGACTATTTGCACTTTATAAGCTTTGCTGTTTGTAAGTTTCAAGAGCGCGACACGGCAAGACGCGACTTACTTTTGAATCTGCTATAGCATCTATAAAAGTCTATTTACATATGCAATGTCTTTTTCATATTTATTAATCATAAAAATCAGTGACAAATGTTATTATCTTTATAATTCACCAATAGCAATCCAGATAAGCGGGCGTATAGCGCATTGCATGCGGGAGAAGAAACGTGCTCCCCTAACCTTTATAATCTGTGGTGCTCCCATTATTCTGCAAAATAACTTTTGCCAACTTGTGGTAATAACCTATAAAAGGTTTATGTTTACTTTTAACTAAAAGTTTTTAATTTAAATAAGTGTCCAAGTTATCGAAATATTTGGTAAGTATTTATATGTTGATTGTGTCATTTTTGTGTTTAAGTTAAATTCAAACAACATGTACTATTTTTTTAACAGAATCTGGCAACCCTACCTTTATCACTCAGTTTTGAACGTTATTATCGTTAGTCATCAATACATGCCAGACATATTATTTCTACCATGCATCAATATAAATAGTCCTGACTTAATATATGTCAAAACGTCGGCCATAATTAAAAATATGAAATAAATAATTTATTTTTTCTACTCACACCTTTAAAACGCCCTTTATCGTACGTGTTTCCATGACAAGTGACCTTTTAAATACACATTGACAAGTTGTGGCTTTATAGCGCTTTAGTCACGGGCTGAAGTTAGCAACAGGATTTTAGTCACGGTCTGAAGTTAGTTTTAAGTTAGTTGACAGTTGTCAAATGTCATACAATCGTTAAAATAAAGTGCCTTTCTTGTAAAATAATACTAAATGTGAAAATTATTTTATTATCTCAATACTAAAATACAAAAGTATTAAATAGTTTCTCAACGCCAATATTTGAAAAGTTTATATGAACATTGTACTGACCTTTTAATTTCGCCGGCAGTAAACTATAACTTAAATTCGGGCACGGACTCTACTGTAAAGTCCTCATAAAACATTTTCTTTACTTTCACTGTGAAAAAATGTCAATTTTCAAGAAATACATTTCGATTTATAACCTTTATAATTTTGTTTATTAAATAAAAAAATGTGACATTTGACGGTGACACGCAGTTTCCCCTATTGTTTCATAGACGGCGCTATATACAAATTTTTGATTTAAATCATTTTAAGATAATAATAAGTATTTGTCGTAGAAAAAGTATAGTATGCACCTCGTTTATAAACTTTTCTATGCACTCATTAATTTAAGCACTCGCTCGCAAGCTCGCTCGTGCCTAAATTAAATTTGTGTATAAAATGGCGTTTATCAAACTTGATACATAATATACCTACTATTATTTAAGTTTGAGTAAGTTTTTATTAAAAAAACACATTGTTTATCTTTTTAATAAAAAGGAGCATTTTTATATTTATAAGTGGCTTTTAATTCTCCCACAATTTATATAAAGCTATTTAAGTATATATATACTAGATTGTATAAAATACAAACTAAATGCACTTTTACATTTTACACAATTCGAATGTATTGTTACATTCTGTATTTTGTGTAAAATGTAAAAGTGCATTTAAATGTAAAATTAAATTTAAAAATTAATATTTAAAGAGGAAAACACATTTAGAATTTAAATTTTTATTAAACATGTAATAATAAATTCAAATGTAATATTTTGGTTAACAACATGGCAACAAAATAACCAATATTGCTTTCCGGAAATGTACATGATTTTTTTGTTCAGTGTATATGAATCACAATACATCCCAAATGTAAAATTGCTTGGTAAAAATTCCACCCACTAAACATTTAGTACTTATGTTTTTAATATTAATAAATCCAGCTTTATAGTCATATTAAATGTTAAATAAAATGTTTACATAGCAAACCCAATACGTCATAGAAATAATATTAATATTATTACTATGCAATACGTAAAACCCTAGGTTTATGGGTTAATTAATAGAATTTGTTTTGTGGATTAATGATGAAAGAGCTTTTGCATGATTAAATTTAATGCACTGATTCATATTAAACCAAAAACTACTTATTTTGTCAAGTGTTTAGCATAGAAACAGGCTTAAATCAAAATAAATCACTTACCAATTATTGTTATTTTAATGAATCCTAGTTCTTAATAATTGACAGTCCATTCATATCACTTTAAAATCAGTAATGTTTACATTTTTATCAGACAAATTATTATTGTACTACATTTGATAGAGGCTACCATTTTTCTACCATATGATGCCCAAGGCTAAAAAACATTTCCATCTTAGGTTTATTGTCCAAAATTAACTAAATTTGACTTATAATCACATTAAATAAAGGGGGTTGTTGTTAAAGAATATGTTTTTGTTTATTATAAGTGTAAATTGCACGTAAAAATAACTTTTACTGGGTTTTATTAAATTTGGGTTGGTGATTTAAGGTGGAATTTACTTTTTTCGACAATTTATCAGGGACTGTTCCGAAATTTTGCCTAATTAAAAATGTAAAAATATTATTTGTTGAGAATTTGTTTAGAATTTGGGATTGTTTAACGCATTCATAGTATTTTCTATAATAAAACTGTTAATTAATTTTAAAATAATCGTTCAAATAATGGTAAAATCAATACAAATAAATCTCTGAACGTAGTGCGAATACGCAACCCTGGCGCCATAGTAGTCGGCAAAGTAGATTTCATTTAGTAGGTTGTTTCTAATTTGTCTGTGTTTTTTTTTACACCTGTTTAAAAATAATAATAAAACTTAGTGAACAAAAATGTTCAAAAACTATCTGTGATATTTCTGCCGAGAAAAACAATAAAAACGTGAGTCGGCAGTATTGTTTACTTGTATCAACGAGCTATAAACTCTATCTATACGAGTGTGTGTTTGTATAAAGATAAAACAGCTATTAATAGTTTTATCTCTTTTACAGAAGCCAAAATGTCATCTCCGGGAACCTCGTCGACTGGTCAAACAGTCATTGAGAACGTTAAACCTAAGCCGAGCGAGCGCGAGCGCGAAAATCTCCGCAAACTCATAAGAAGCGCACGCAAAAACATGAAGCGAGACAACGCCACCGTGAAAACGTTCACGTGCAGAGACCCTTACGATATTTACAACGAAAATGTGAACAGGCGCCAGAAGCAAACGGGCCTGTATTATTCCATGAACGATCACAAGTGCCCGTGGGACGAGGAGCACCCCGAATGCCCGGAGAGATTGAACAGCATTAAAAAAAGACTCGAAGCGTTGGAGTTGGACGAGAAGTGCTTAGTTAGACAAATTACAGACGTTGAAATACCTGATTCTATAATCCACTTGAAGCACTCGTTTTGTTTGATTGAGAATCTAAGGGTTATATGCATGATGAATGAGACCACGATGGAGGAGGAATGCAGCCAGTATGATTCTATTTTTATTAATAAGGACACGTTTTCCAATGCTCTTATTGCTGTGCAAACGGTGTATGAGCTTGCAGTCGATGTGGCACTGGGTAGATTGCAGAATGGTTTTGCTGTAGTTAGACCGCCAGGGCATCATGCTCAATTCAATGATTACAACGGTTACTGTTTTTTTAATAATGTAGCCATAACTGCCGAAAAGTTGATACAGGACAAAATGGCAAAGAGGGTTTTGATCATTGATTATGACGTTCATCACGGGCAGGGAACGCAAAACATGTTTTATGAGAGGAATGAGTAAGTTTAGCTGCACAAGCTTGGTGTAATATTTACACACTTGCTTTTAGCGTTTTGTACTTTTCCATTCATCGCTATGAGCATGGGTTGTATTGGCCAAACTTAAAGGAAAGTAACACTTCATTCATTGGGGCTGATGAAGGAAAGGGATTTAATATAAATGTGCCCCTAAACGAAACCGGCTGCACCGATAGCGATTACATAGCTATCGTCTTGAACATATTGCTTCCAGTTGCTTATGAAGTATGTAGTCTTTGTCATTGCTTCATTTACTAACACCAACATTTTCAGTTTGCACCTGATTTCATATTAATCTCTGGCGGATACGATGCGGCTATTGGCTGCCCTGAGGTAATATATATGTTTTTTTTTTAGTTTAATCCCGATTTTATTCTCGTGTCTGGGGGTTATGACGCTTGTGTTGGCGACCATAAGGTTAGAGTTCCATTGTCCCAGTTCAATGGAATAAAAATAAATATTAAATCTATTTTTTTTATTTAGGGGGAGATGAAGCTGACCCCGTCGTTCTACAGCCATTTGATAACCTTGTTGGGGGGTCTAGCCATGGGTAAAATTGTTGTGGCCTTAGAAGGGGGTTATAACTTGGATTCTCTTTCTGAGAGCGTTGTGATGACGGTTAAGGCACTTTTGGCTGAAGCAGCTGGGAATATATTGCCTTTTGAGAATGTGAAACCAAGTGTGTGGGACACAATAAACAATTTGAAATTCTTCTTGAAACCCTACTGGAATTGCTTTCCTTTGACGGAGACTTTTCAGTATCCTCGTCCGGTAAACGAGAAAAATTTGGCTCCTTCTTTGGAAGTGAATGTCGATGAAGAATACGTTCCTTTTGAAATGTATTTGGGCAAACCTGAGGAAAAGCCTTTTCCCACAAGGTACAATTATCCGCAGTTGGCGCCGCAAAGGAAGGAGTATTTCGAGAATATTCTCAACGAAACTCGTTCGGAACATTCTCAAGCCCCTGAAAATTTTACTGGCTACGTTAACGAACCTAACATGGCTTTGCATGAATCACCTTATTTTACCTCGAATGTTCCTGAAAGACCTGACAGGTTTTTAAGAGTTATTGAGGAGTTGGAAAAGCGTGGAATTTTGAAGAGGATGATTGAAGTTACAGTAAGTACCACTTTGTTTAAAATAATTATTTATATTTTTGTATTTTATGATTTTTATTTGGAAAAATACAAAATGCTACTTATATAAAATATTAGAACCAACATTTTTATTGAAACAATTTTTGAAGTGAAACTTTTTTGCGGACGATGTAAACCAAATATTGGCGTTACGAAAGTACACACAGTGATTAAAAATATTAAAAAAAAAATCGAAAACAATCGCACAGTAGTATAAATATAATAATTGATAGGACAAAATTTCTACGTCGTCTTGGAATTTTCGAACAAAATTTGCAAAGTGACTTAAATTAAATAAAGGGTAGGACAAATTTTCACAATAATTCAAAGTATAAATATAATAAATGATAGGACAAATTTTTGAAATGCCTGTATCATATTAAAATATTCAAACAAAATTCACACTGTGGCATACATTTAAAAAATTTGCACATTGCTTCAAAATTAAACAATTGTGGGACAAATTTGCACAGTGGTTAAAAATTAAAAAAATATGACAAATGGTGGGACAAATTTTTGAAATGCCTGCGTCTTATTAAAATATTCCAACAAAATTTGTAGTGGCCTGAAATTAAAAAAGGGTAAGACAAATTCGCACATTAGTTTAAACCATTGTAGGATAAATTCACAGTAATATAAATATAATAAATGATAGGACAAATTTTCAAAGTGCCTGCGTCGTATTAGAATATTTGAACAAAATTCGCAAAATTAATTAAATAAAAACAAAACACATCGTCCAAAAGAAGTTCCACTTCAGCTTAAATATTGTAACCATAAAGAATTTTTTTAAAAGGTTACAAAAAACTTTCAGGCAAACGCTACGGTCCTGGAGGAGTTGTTTCCGTACCACGATTCCGAATACTTGGTAAAAACACTCATAAACAAAGAATTACCAAACACGAAGGACTTGTTCATCAAGGACGAATCGATATCCAGCATTTTAGCATCGGCAGGGGCTGTAAAAGGGCTGCTCGATAGAATGTCTTTGAGGCAGATAACAAATGGTTTGGCAATTGTTAGACCGCCTGGTCATCACGCTCACTTCGCTAAAGCTGGAGGTTTTTGCTTTATCAACAATGTCGTGCTTGGCGCTAAATATGCCATCAACTATTTAAAATATAAACGGTAATATTTTTTTATATATAATCGAGCATTTGCACTTTCAAATGGATGCGCAATAGTAAATTTTGGTGCTGCGCATGTCCCTGAAGTTCCAAATGTTCGGTGGTGGCGAATTTAACAGTTGATTGGTATTTTAGCGTATTGATCGTTGATTTTGATATCCACCACGGCGATGGTACACAAGAATTGACTTACGATAGAAAGGATATAATGTATATTAGTGTACATCGCTATGATAAGGCAGCATATTTCCCGAAATCCACTAAAGCTGATTATAGCTACACCGGAACTGGCATTGGGGAAGGATACAACGTTAATATACCATTTAATAACGTAAACATACCTTCACTAAAGTCTATTCAAATCTAAGCTGGACTAAACAAAAACGCCCAGACGCGTGATAACTCGTTTCTATTGGTCGATTCAGAGGATTGTGTTTACATTTAGTCCAGCTTGGATTTGAATAGACTTAAATAATAATAATAAAATAATAATAATAATCTTATTGCAGTCAAGACACGGCAATACCGAATATCTATTAACGTTCCTGAACGTAGTCCTTCCAATAGCGTATTCCTACTGCCCGGATTTGGTTTTGGTGTCGGCTGGCTTCGATGCGGGCGTGCACGACCCGCTAGGCGGGGGTTACAACATTTACCCGGAAATGTTCGGTCAGATGATCCAGTTGCTCAAGCCCCTCGCCAGGGGTAACGTTTTAGTATGCATGGAGGGAGGTTACAACTTGACAACCCTTAAATACTCGATGGTGATGTGCGCCAAGGCTCTACTGGGCGACCCCATTCCGATGCCTTCATTGTACTTCGATGAGGTTAGCGAAGACTGCGTGGCGTCCTTGAAAACCGTTATAAATGAGCAGAAAAAATATTGGCCGGTTTTGAAGGTTCACAAGAAAATTGGGGATAGATGTATCGGTGTTGAGGACAAGGCGAAAATTCAGTCTATTATGGCTAGGCTTAGAATTCGCCCCGAAGAAATTGACGATAAAGTTATGGAGGAAATTACCCGCGACTTTACTTCCCTCACCACTGTCTAAAATGTGCCCAAATTTAAAGCAACACTAATATTTCTATGTTATGTATTTTTAGGTTTAAAAGTGCCTAAAACGAAATTCCATTAGTTTGTTTTAATGATTGTTAATTAATACTAATACATTCCAATGTTATGTTTAATTTTAATAACCAAAAATGCATTTTAAACCTGTTGACCAAAATAACTGATTTTATACTTGTTCTTGTTAACTAGTCATTAATGTTTAGATTTTGTACTTTTTCAATAAAAAGTAAATTACTAAGTTTGTTTTTTATTCAGGTTTTAGTTTTTCAGGACAAACGGTGTAGATTTTGACCCATACAATTCAATATTAGGGTGATTAAAATAATAGGAAAATAGTAATCCCATAAATTTGCGCTTCATATACGTCACACATTGCCGAAACAACATCATGCTCCCCACCGCTGCACGGTGCCGCCGGCACCCCCGCAAGGCGGGGATAATACGCGAATTTTTGTAGACATTGAGGCCCACAAAGTTGGGCTTGTACCACAGTATATGGAAGACAGCAGAGTCAGTCCCGAGATCTGTGCGGCTCGCTTATCAGCCGTTGTTAAAGTCTGGGCGGGGCGTGGAATGTTTTAGTAAACAAAGCTTATTAATTAGATCTATGCGTGTTTATAGTTTCTTATTTCTGTTTAGTCTTTGCCTTAGCGTTAAAATGGAAAGTTGTGATAAAAATGCAAGCGTAAAATACATTATTGTGTTGTGAATTCATGTAAAAATAATTCAAATAATTATAAAAGATCATTTTTATTTTAATATATTATTATATTAACACACAAATACCACAGTAAAAATCACAAAAAAAATAATTAAAAATATTCATGTTTTTTTATAGTTCAGTGTTAAATCGTTGAGTTTCATATACCTACTGTGCTTGTACATTATTCCATAATAGTTGCGTCCTTAAGGACAAAATTTTAATTAAACAATAAAGGTTATTAGGACGAAATAACAAAGAGACTACTGCCAATTGAGCTACTTATAAAACCTTAACAAGTCTAATGGACCTCAACGCACACATGACGGGGTTTTTTCATTTGCTTCGTCCACGAAACAAAAAAGATAAATGAGGTCGTAATTACCGGATCAAATAAAATACTGATCTAGTGTATAAAAAAATTTATTCAAAATGGAATGTGTAAAATTATATACAAAAACTTAATAAATTCACAAATATCCAGAGATTCACATAGGTGTTTATTGCTTATATATAATATACATACATAAAACAAACCGCCAATACTAATTAAATTGTGTGATTTGATACAAATTAAGTCCGACTAACGAAACGATTTTCTTGAAATACTCATTGTACGACAAAGGGATGCAATTGAACATGTAAATGTTCATAAAATCTAAGCAGTAATCTGTAAACATATGCAGGGTTTCAGTGCTGAAATGTGGATGAAAAGTCTTTATTTTGTAGACGTTTAGGTGTTTGGTTTTGGCTATGGTTAAAAAGTCGTCGATGACACTTCTGGAAATTAACACCAAGAGTTTGTATCTCTTTGGTTTGGTTTTAGCGAGATCCTTATTAATATCGATGATATTTTGTAGCTTATCGACTAGGTACGACACATTTTTCGAGCCTTCTTCGTACAGGAAGACTCGCTTATTATAAGAGAAAGTCTTATTTTTTACCTTGTATAATTTATCGCTTGGTTTTTGCAATAGGAAAGATTCCGGTAGGGAGTAAATATGACTGGTAACTATGTGGTATTCCGTTGATAGACTATGCATTTTTAGATCTTTGTGTAAGTAAGAGGTTGCCAAATATACCCCTCCTTGGTGTATAAACCCAAACAACATAAACAAGCTGAGATTGTAGAGGATCCACAATTTGATCAAAAGCCGATTCTCGGATTTTGCGGTGTTGGTTGATTTAAAAGAGTTTTTATCGTGTTCCACTATTACATTGTCCTGCTCGGGAAATACTGAATTTCCGTGCAAGTAACACAGAGGTAGAATTAGTGGTATCAAAAAGCGCGGTTCCTGGTGGGGGAACAAAGATAAAATTATTATTGGGGCTAATATGGAGAGCGTCATAAGGCCTTTTATACTTCTTACTGATGGTAGTAAGTGGAACTTACACTGGTAAATCCTGAAAAAAAAATATCTTTAAGTAGTTGTTTGTATTATTTAGTCGCATAATACTTACATGTAACAGTAGTTGATTATGGAAACTATTGCATATATACCCAAAGAATTAAATAGTAGGGGTATATTAACGGCGACGTGTAAAAACTTGGGATGTATTCCATGCAAGGCCAAATTATCGGAATCCAAATTGTATTTCAAAAAATTTAGTGGGGTAAAAACAAAACTATTGATGCTCATATCGAGCATACCCAGCTCTCCCCAAGTCAAAAAACCGTAAAAGAAGCTGTCAATAACAATGACAATTAAAATGGTTGGTATGGCAAAAATAATCAAAGCCAATATGCGTAAGTGGAACTGCAATGACATGACGCATTTGCTGCCTATGCCGCGATATAGCCAGAAAAATATTGGAAATATAGCGAACGCCAAGAATGTTGGTCTGTTAAAAAAACCCAGAACTGACACAGTGCTAATAAAAAAGCCATTCCTGTAGTTATCGCTCTCCAAAATTAATCTCAACTTATGAAATTTCACTCTTTCGACGAGATTCTGGCTGTTTTCATAGCGAAAAATGAGATATTCCTTCTTTTTTATCAAAATATTCGAGAATGTTAAACTCTCACAAACAAAGTACATTAAGACAGCTAACAGTACTAATTCTATGGTGTTTGAGAATGTCCTGGTGCCAAAAACAATCATTATGTAAGAACTAGCAAGCACAAACAACTTGGTCTGATACTTTTCGTTATTATTAGTGCAAATTTTGTACAGGCACACATCTACTGTAAACGACAACAAACACATGAATAATCGGGGAAATATGAGTAAAAAATACGGCGAGATTATGTTAATATCCAAAAACTGCACTGCAAGCGGATTTATAATCTTTAGAAGTTGGTACGACAATCCAACAGTAAAATATGGCACCGCCATGCTCCTTATAGGCTGAGTCGTGTTGAATTCCCATGGTGGACTGTACTCAACGTCAAATATCTTCCCTAAAATGCATAACAATAACAACAAAACCTCATAAACACACCTATTAACGAACCAACAAAAATTTCCACCGACTGAAAAAACTCGTCCGGGTGTATGTAACCAACCTGCGGTATAAACACGAAGAATATCCTTAAGGCTACTAAAATCCAATAGGGGGTGTAGTAATTATCAGATTTCATCTTCGTAAAGCGTATTCGCTTTTTGTTTACATCTTTCGGAGCATTTTGAGGTTAACTTTTTTTGACGTTTAGCGACGCAATATGGGTTGCATACCAGTAAGTAATTGCTGATTGTGATGCAGTCTCGTCATTTCCACTTTTAATTGTTTAAAATTATATTTATTTGTAATATTGTAAGGTTTTAAGTAGGTAAATGATTTTATTTTAGAAAAAACATTTCTTGAGGGAGTTTTATTAAAACTTCAAAATGTTATAAAAATACGAAGGCGTAGAAGGGACAATTACACTAAATTCATTTTTATTATTTAATTCTGCGTTAGCTAACACAGAATTAAATCCGCCATATTTAATTCTGCGTTAGCTAACACAGAATTAAATCCGCCATATTTAATTCTGCGTTAGCTAACACAGAATTAAATCCACCATATTTAATTCTGGGTTAGCTAACACGGAATTAATTGCATTTAATTCTGTGTTAGGTAACGCAGAATTAAATATGTCGGATTTAATTCTGTGTTAGCTAACGCAGAATTAAATATGGCGGATTTAATTCTGTATTAGTTAACGCAGAATTAAATATGGCGGATTTAATTCTGTGTTAGCTAACGCAGAATTAAATATGGCGGATTTAATTCTGTGTTAGCTAACGCAGAATTAAATAATAAAAATGAATTTAGTGTAATTGTCCCTTCTACGCCTTCGTATAAAAATGTCTTTTTATTTATTTTTACATTTTTCTATACAATATTTATTAAAAATATTTTAAACTTAAATTTGCCATTTAATTCAATTGTTCCAGTACTGTTTATTTCAAGACAAATTTAGTTATTTTTTGGGATTTTGTATAAAATTGTTATTAAAAATATAAATTTGTGATTTATATTATAACAAAAATACATTTTTGTATAAAATTTGAAGAAAAACAACAAATTAAGAAACAACAAGTCCATGTTTTAAAAAAATAATACTTGTAGGTAGGTATGTAGAAATGAAGTAAAAAGTAAAGTTATTTTAGACAACATTTTAAATTATTTATCTTTGTTCTTTTTTTAGCGATTTTGTATAAAATATTTATTAAAAATATTTGAAATGGCAAATTTACATTTAATTCAATTTTTCCAGTACTGTTATTTAAAAGAAGTTTTTTCCAAGACAAATTTAGTTATTTTTGCAATTTTGTATAAAATTATTATTAAAAATATAAATTTGTGATTTCTATTAAATGAAATTTGAAGAAAAACTTTAATTAGATTTCATCTCCGCGTTTTTTCGATTTTTGTTTACATATTTCGGAGCATTTTGAGGTTAACTTTTTTTGACGTTTAGCGACGCAATCTGGGTTGCATAGCAGTAAGTAATTGCTTGTTGTGCCATCTGTGATGCAGTAGGTGAACTTTATCCCTTTCTCGTCATTTCAAATTTTAAATAATATATATTTTATTTAAGCAAAAACATTTGCTGGAGGTGCTTTATTAAAACTTCAAAATGTTAATAAATGTCTTTTTATTTATTGAGCAGGAACACATACCTAATAAATTAAAAATATAATACTGTTGCGTGTAAAAAATAAATAAATAATCTATCTATCTATTCCTAAATTAAAATTCGAGTCTTTTGAACAGGGCTGGTCCCTGAATATAAATAAATCGCAGAAATTACATAGCAGTGATGCTTAGTTTTTGCGATAAATAGTACAGATGCAGCATGGTGCAAGCCATTGTGACGATGTTTCCTATGGCGATGGACATGTGGACTTTTCTGAACTTTTTGTGGATTTTCAGATAGTGCGGGCAGTGCTTGAGTTTTCCGGGGTCGACTTTCCCGACCTCGAAACCGACTCCGGCACTTTTTTCGATTTGATTTTTTTCGGTGATCAAAGTCAAAAGTGGCGGCGTCAAGTACAGACGTATGATTAACTCTGTGAAGAAGCAAATCGACATCCCGATAGTCTGAAGAGGGAAAACAGGTTATTAGTATGGTAAAATATGTACTCATAATTGTGGAATGCGGGTGACGTATATTGTAAATGTAAAATATTACCTGCACAAATATTTCCGGGACCCTTAGGTCTTTGTTGTGCCTTAAAAACACCACCAAGGTAATAAGGCTTAGGATGGCGTTTAGGAGGAAGTACTTGGGAAAAAGCACTTTTTGAACGCTGCCGAAGATGTGTCTTGGCAATGAGAAGTATAAGGCCAATCCGGATATGAAAGTCATCCAAATTTGAGCGCCGAAATGGGCGCTAAACGAGCCCAAGTACACCAAGGTCAGCAGAGACGATTTCGGCGCATCTTCATGTGTAGCAGGCAATATTAAAAACGCTAACGATATAACAGCAAGGGCCGTTATAAGATGCGCTGGTTGGGTTGTGTGGGTCAAAATCCTAAAAAAAATAAAATTAATATTCAGAAAAATTCGCAATATATTTATATTACTTGTAAAACACTGAATTCTGGAACTTATTCTTAAAGCTGTCGATCCCATAGAGAATTTCTTTGGTGTAATGGGTGGATACAGCCAGTATGTCTTCGCTGTACTGTATTTTTTCTTTACGAGGCGGATTCGTATGCACCGATGCAACACTTTTAGTCCTTGCTAAGGGCATTTTAACTTCAGCGGCCACCTTACCGACGCACATTGTTCAATATCACTGTTATTATCACACAAAAACGAGGAAAAATTCGATTTTCGATTCAAACGGTCGAACGTCGTTTGATGCCGTCATTTAGGGTGACGGTATTTATAGTTGTCGAAGTTTGTAAGTGGGGAAATGCTCACGTCTGCTCACCACGTGCTCGGTTATCGATATTGAAAAAAATAAAATAAAAAGGCATACATAAAATTATAATCGATATTTATACCGTTGGAAAAATATTCATTTTAAACTTTGTAACCACTTTATAATTTATTAATTAATCCATTATTGAGTGTAATAAAATGACATTCATTTTAATTTTAAATAAAAATAAACATTTTTTTTAATTGGTATTTTTTTAATAGAATAATTATACTTAAGTAATAATTTATAAAAATGCATTTTTAAACTATAAAACTAATTTTATGAAGAGAATCGCTTTTTAAGACAAGAAAACACATTTTTACGATAAAATTTAAATTAAAAAAGTCTTGGCACAAAAATATTTTACATAATGTAATGCAGTTTTTAAAAATTCTTTTTTGACGATGTATCATGTTTGTTAACGCCATTTTAGTCAAGAATTTAATTTAGGCACGAGCGAGCTTGCAAACGAGTGCTTAATTAAATGAGTGCCTAAATATTTTTGACGTAATTTTCACCATTAACATTGCCCGCTATTATTTTAATTTTTAACTTATTGATACTTTAAAATATAAAAATAACTTAAAAAAATTATGTTAAGAAAATATTTTATCCTTTGATTTTTTTTTAATATTGCAATATATTATCACAAAGTATTAAAAATTCTTACACCGGAAATTTTAAAGGTACAAAAAGTGACAGTTGTATTTATTGGAATTCCCGTTAGAATTTCCAACTTGGGAATCTACCGAGGTTAAAATCTCAAATTTTTTTGTGTAAATAAAAATGTATCCCTTGAAAATAGATTAACAATCAATATAATATACTTTTTCTACGACAAATACTTATTATTATCTTAAAATGATTTAAATCAAAAAATTTTATATAGCGCCATATATGAAACCATAGGGGAATCTGTGTGTCACCGTCAAATGTCAAATTTTTATAACACAGATTATAAAGGTTATAAATCGAAATGTATTTCTTGAAAATTGACAGTTTTTCACAGTGAAAGTATTCAAATATTGGCGTTGAGAAACTATTTAATACTTTTGTATTTTTGTATTGAGATAATAAAATAATTTTTACATTTAGTATTATTTTACAAGAAAGGCACTTTATTTTAACGATTGTATGACATTTGACAACTGTCAACTAACTTAAAACTAACTTCAGCCCGTGACTAAAAACATGTTGCTAACTTCAGCCCATGACTAAAACGCCATAAAGCCACAACTTGTCAATGTGTATTTAAAAGGTCACTTAGTGTCATGGAAACGTGTACAATAAAGGGCGTTTTAAAGGTGGGAGTAGAAAAAATAATTTATCCATAGTGTTAAAACCGTCATTGATTTAAAAACTGGAATATCCTTGTATTAGAATTTTGTAAAATTAAAAATACTTAACAAAATACCGTTAAAACCCATAAAACAAGGATATTGACTGGAGGACAATAGTTTTATTATTATTATTTGCAATAAAATACATTTTCCAAAACTATACTTTATTTAGCGGTTTGCCTTATAAAATACCTACTTACTCAATTTAGTAGTAAATTGGATTTTTTGGAAACATAAAATTTTGTATCGTTAATCAAGAAATATGAAGTAATCAATCAGACTTTGTAATTTTCGCTTTTTTATAACTAATTTGTTTGAACACGTAATTGTAATTACAATTATACAAATAGTCGTTAACGAACTAAGTATTTGTATAACGAACTATTAATATATTGTGTGGGTAATCTTAATTATTATCTGGTCTGGTCGTAAAAAGCTTTTTAAGCACTAATTTAACTTTTTTTTCTTTGTTCTTACATTTTTTTGCCTATTTTGTATAAAATATTTATTAAATATATTTGACCCTTAAATTTGCCATTTAATTCAATTGTTCCAGTACTGTTTATTTCAAGACAAACTTACTTTTTGCGATTTTCTATAAAATTTTTATTAAAAATATTACTTTGTGATTTCTATTACTACAAAAATACACTTTAAATAAAACTTAAAGAAAAACAACAAAAGTCTTAAAGTTTTAAGCACTATTTTAACTTTGTTTTTACATTTTTTTGTCGATTTTGTATAAGATATTTGACACTTAAATTTGTCATTTAATTCAATTGTTTCAGTACTGTTTATTCCAAGACAAATTTAGTTATTTTTTGCGATTTTCTATAAAAATTTTATTTAAAATATAACTTTGTGATTTCTATTTCAAGAAAATATCAAATTACAAAAAAAACAAAAGTCAATCCAGGGTTTAAAAAAATTAAACTTTTAAGTAGAAATGAGTTAAAAAATAAATTATTTAAATAATTGGCAATTGCCATTAAATTCGAGTACAAATTTAGTTATTTTTTGAGATTTTGCATACAATCTTTATTAAAAATACAACGAAAATACATTTTTAATAAAAGTTAAAACAAAAAGATGAAAAAAATATTAAAGAGGTCACTAAATTCATATGGTAACACCATATAAATTATTAATTTGATAAACATGCATGTATCCGAATGTTACAATTGCTTATTGATTGTGAAATTAATTAACATTAATTACAACAAGGTCTTCAGATGCATTCGATATAGGGGCTATTAAATCAATGTTAATTGATAAATGTTAGGTTTTTATGGGGCATCCGCCATATTGGCAAAAGTGGCTATTTTTAGGTTGGCAATTGTATAACCCTTGATGAAGCAAATAAAATAATTGCGAACGTCATAAAAAAATGTTGCGTGTGTATATAAAGAACGATTGTTTTATAACCAGTATTACCTTGACGATTTTTTTTGTAATTTTTAAGTTTAGGTAGGGATATATGATATCGTCGCCAGAGTGAAATGATTTAACCTGACCGAAGAATTCAGATAAGACACGTTGGAGAGACAAAACAAACCAAAAAGGTGAAAGACAAGAGGCCAATTGCCTGTGTCTACGTGAGAATTAAAACGTATCACCTTTGAGCGATTTTTTTGCAACTCGTATTAATTTAACTCGATCAGGTTGCGCTCATTTTAGTTTTAATCGATAACTATCGATAACTACGAAGCCATCCAATCGTGGGAAATACATTCAGACAGATAATTATTTTCACCGATAATAAAGTTTGTTTCCAAGAACCAGTGGCGTATTTAGGGGGGGGTCCGCCGGGTCCGGACCCCCCCCGGGCGCACATATTTTATTATTTTTATTACAAAAAAAGTTCCTTTTATTTACTATTTTATCGGATCAGAAGAGTTCCTAATTTGTGATTTTTTAGTTATTATAGCATAGTATAGTATTTAGGATTACCTCCGGGGGGGGGTCCAAAAAAACTAACTAAATATGTATACATATTTAGTTAGTTTTTTTGGACCCCCCCCGGAGCTAAATCCTAAATACGCCACTGCCAAGAACAAATATTTAAGTTTTGGTTCCCCAAAAAATATATTCTACAAATTTGAAGAGAATTAAAAACTTTTACCTTCACTTTATATTTTCTATGTAGGTATATATTTAGGTTTATGATGTTGCATATTCTAGAAAGAAGATCCTCGAGTTAGTCACATATTGTGAATGTGAAGTAACAATTTTTGAATTAACATGACTGAAGTCACGAACATATCGTATAATCGTCTAGACGGTTTTTAAATAGGCCTTCTATTATATTTAAGATTTTTTGTTACGTCTCCGTCAAAAGGGCTTAGCTTTAATAAATCAAGATTCAATGGTAGGTATTACATAAGTAATTTTATTTAATTTGAAAAATAACTTATCTTGGTATGGATTTGGAATAAGGACAACATTAATTGCCACAATATTTATAAATAGATTTATATTTATATATCATTTGGTTCTAAATCTTGTTCTATTAGTTTAGTAGAGTCAAGTCCAAAAAAACTGCAAATAATGGGGAGTAGTAGTAGTGGACCTATTACAATTATTAAGAGTCATTCTGCACTATTGGAAAAGAAAAGTCAAGACATGCAACATCACCAAAATAACTCTGATGATTGTGAAATCTCAAGGCCACCACAATATCATCATGGAATGCAAGAATCTCGAAGAACCTTAATAGGGACATATTTGACACTCTAATAGATGACAGTATTGTGGTATCAGGCCGTGGTAAAGATAGACCGCATTATATTATAAAACATGGTGATGACTACTTGAACAATGATAATGAAGAAGACAAAAAAATAAAACAACAAAAAATACGAGAAATGTGTGGTATTGGTTATACGAACAATTTATTTGAAGAGATACATCGTAATGAAGTGCCAATGTTAGAAAATGAATCATCTTTAAATATTGGTGATACCATAAGATTACGCCCCATTCGTTCTTCACCCAGCCAGAATGCCAAAATGCCAAAATAAACCAAGTTGTGACGTTGAGAAGGAAAATATCAAAAAATAAGGAAAAATTCCTGGAGAAATTCAATTAGGGGAAGGGGAAGACTGGTACTTTTAGTTGGAGCAAATCTCGTGACGTTGGAAGGACCGTCACGATTTGTCACGCCCACAAAGTAAATCGAATTAAGTTGCTTATTTCTTCCATTTTTATTATATCGAGTACAAAAAAGAATCAGAAAAAATTAGGTTGGGGGGATTCGATAATTTGTCACAAGACCCTTCGGGAGGGGGGGTCTTCACATCATCACATCCATTCACAAGGGAGTTGACTATTTTTAGCGTCAGGAGATTTATGGACGGCCCCTGAAGAGTTTTGTAAAAAACTTCCACTTATTTGTAATTTAATAAAAGAAAAATAAAAAATGTTGTTTTTTTTTGACTAGGTATTTTTAATATTTTTAATATTAATAAAAAAACATTTTTAGTACCTATATACATATACATATATGGTACTTTTAAGATACAAAATTGTACGTACTTAAAAACTTTTATCTAAAACCTTACAGACGTAATTAAAGTAATTATTTTTGCATTTGTTTCATGTATGTAGTTGTAAACATTTTTATCGTAACCATTAAAATGTAGCTTCGTAGATAAAATGAGTAATACGTGAGGGAACTCCTGTGGACTTTGAGTTAACATTACATGTTGTTAAAGGCGGAATTCGCTGCCAATCGTTAGCCTAATTTTCTAAATTTATTTTCACGTGACAGAACAAACATTAAATATCGTATTGCACAATATTACGAAATGATCTTAATAAATATTTCCTTCTATAGATAACAAACGGTAAAAACATTAAAGGCGCCTCCTTATCTAATAGGTTTTTTTTATGTAATTTAAATAAACCGCAGTGAGAATGAATAATATAAAAACTATAAGGATAGGTCAGTTATTATGTAAATAAAAACAAATATTAATCACGTTTAAGATTTTCTTCCCGAAATGAAATCAATTAAAATCATATTATATTCATAAATAACATTCATTCACAAAATTGGCGAAAAGGCAATACAATATATTGAATATAATTTTGGTGGCGACACCTATCAGTGACTGACGGAATTTCCAAACTAAACTCGCAGCGTCCTATGAATAACACTAGTTTTACCCGTGGCTTATAGATGGCGCTAGATGTACGATTTGATAATATTTTTTATAGGCGATACTGATAGGTGTCGCTGTGGTAAAAATAATCTACACGGCGATATTTACAAGTTGACGTATGTTTATTTTGAGTAGGGTATTAAGTAGTTTTTTCTCGCGTAGGTTAGGAAGCAGTTTCTTCAAGGTTTATTACGCTTATTCGATTAAATTTTGATTAACAAGGTGTTTTGCTGATTGTTCTTTGATTTTGTTTTTCGTTTGGTGCACACGTGTGCTAAGAAAAATTGTGGTTTTTGTGTGATATTTAGTTGAAGGAAAATCGGTGGTCTACAAAATACAAAAGATGTGCTTAAAATATGCTTGAAAACCAGATTTAGTCGTTAAATATTGTTTAGAAGGCAAGTATTATTATTTATTCAATTATTATGGTTATATTAATTATTATTGAGTGATGTAGAAATATTTCAAAATACCTGCAGGTATGTTTTCATGTTGATTTAATCACCTCATTAATAATAAATTAAAATTGCCTTAATAATCCTTTAAAATAAACAATTATTGAAGTAAGTATACAGAATGTACATTTAAAATAGATCAATAACTATGATAAGCAGCAGTTATCTATTTAAATAACTAGATACCCTGTTGGATTAAATAATTGAGATCACTTATAATAAAAATTATGACACTTTCTTGCCGAAGAAATGCCAAAACGTATTTATTTAGTTGAGGTCAAGTGTTATTTTAAATGCTCTTCATGCACCAGCCCGAGAATAATAATTTCAAAGCTCTCTTTATACGGAATTGTGTATTGTGTATTCTCAGCACATGTGCGACTCAGCAAGTCTACAGAATTTCAATACATGTGTCTTTTATTATTTGTATCATTTATTTATTTGTAATTGTGCGAGATGCGCCGTTCCATCAAAGACATTTTCCAGCCCATTTAATATGCACCAGTTGGAACTGTTAAAAATCTTGTTAACAGTTTGTTTTACACGGTTATTAGTACATCATAGCCTTAAACTAATAATTTGTATTTTGCAATGCTTCAGTAAATTTACTTAACCTACTTTATTCTTGCAATAAATAATTATTTATTAATTTATTATTATTATTATTATCAACTTGTTTATGAATTATATATACAGTGAGAAAGTCCTAAATACTAATAATTATTGTCAAGGCCTTTCAAACTGAAAAAATCCATCCAAAATATTCGCAGAATTTTTTATTGCTTATATTTTTGTTTTAATTTATTATATTTACTTTCATCATCACTATGAATTATTTCAGCCTTGAATTTTCATTTTCCAAAATACTAACAAAGGTTACCTCGTTTAAACTACGCTGAATGAAATGAATCAACATGCCAAAGCATTTGACAAATAATTTACAATAACGTTCTTAAAATTTGCATAATAATTTATATACATATTTTTATCTAACACTACGGGGTGTCACAAAATGGTTTCAAGGCCTAATTAATAAATTTTGTTAATTCTAAGGATTAGGTTGCCATTGCAATAGGAAAAACTTTTTAATCAAGTGCTCAGAAATTAAGAAAACATGATTTTTTTATTTTATAGGAAAAAAAGACAATTCAAATTAAAGTCTAAATATAATAGTTATTCATGTCATAAGGCTGATATATGAGTTTTTTTGTGCTGAGCCCAAAGTCAATAAATTGTTTTTCTGTACAAAATCTAATTGTTAACTAAATTTGGCGTAACCTCAGAAAAACACAATCTTTAACAGAAAACATAACAATAGAAGCGTTAAAAATTCGATTTCACAAATTTCCGCTTCTAACGATTAAACCACTTATATACATGAAGGTTTTATATTTGTTATTTATATCTTATACAAAATGGTTTTGGTATTTATCTAGAAATATCGGTAATATAGTTTTAATAGAAAAAACAAAATATTTCACTTTCACCAAATATGTGAACAAATTGACGTTTAAATAAATCAATGGTTCCTAGAAATGTATTGAATTTTTGTACGAGTTATTCATTGTAAACTTGAACTTAATTAAAAGAGAGTTAAAAATTAAACAAATCTTTACAATATACAAAAGTTTTCTTTGTTTTTTATTTACTATTTACAAATGCGACATTTGTCATTCATGCAAATTAAGATAAAAGAAAAGAGCAAAATAAATTTTAAATATTCATTGCTTATGCTAATTATTTTAGATGCTTTACAAAATAAATTAAACTGTAAAGTTTATTTAAGTTTTTTTGGACAAAGAAATAATATTTTTAATTCTGGTTAAGTAAATTTTACGAGTAACCTAAATTTTTATCTACAGATAAAAATGCAAATGCCATGAATAACATTTAACAATACGTTTTTCTCATCAAACTGATAATTTACTTTGAGTTATCAATTTTTAAAAAACGTGACACGTGTTCAAAACAATTGAAGATATTTTAGTCAATGCCCCCTCAAAGAATCAAAATAACTACCTTATTTATATTTACTACACAGTTGATTTTAATTTTGTAAATTTTAAGTAAAACTACATAAAATTGACAGCAAAAGTAAAATATAATTTAAAAAAAACACCGGAAAGTAAAATATTACCAAATAAATTATAAAACTAAAAGTTTTATCTGACCTGAATTTATCACTAATGTATAAAAATCCTCTGGAGGCCGTCTAATTTAAATAAAATTTATACATATGTATTCGAGAAAGTATTTTAAAATAACTTTGTTTTCATTTCAATATCGCTATTATTTTAGCCACCCTGTTTTATTAACAAATCGTTTAATTTAATAAAACTCTTTATCAAATCTAATTAGCCCCATTTTATGGCGCTTCAAATACATTAATCCTTGATTTACATTTAATTTATACTAGTACACACGACGATTTTTTTCACTGACTTTTTATTGTCTAAATATACTGCAGTACTTCACTGAATGATTAAAAGGTTTTGAACTTGATTACGATTGGAGAAAGAGATCATTTAGGTCTTAAGCAAGCTTTCAGTGGACATAAGAAGCGTCTGGAAACCCTTGTTAAATAGATGTGACCTTGGAATTAAACCATGCACCGAATTGTCACATATGGATGCTTAAATATAGATGACTTGTACTGTAGCTACTTAACTTATTCAGCATTCACCTAAAACACTAAATATAAGTGTGTTCAAAATGTCAATGTCTTAAGAAAATATTTCATATTCCGGAAACGGATTTAGCGTGACAAAAACTTAAAAAATGTTTTAATTTTGTGTGGACTTGTAAATCACAATTGTTTTATTGCTTTGCAATTTCGCATACATATCCGCTGCCTGCAGTGTTTCAGGTCAGCTGGGAAAGTATAAAGAGGCACACCTTCAATAAATGCTTGAAGATAGCTTCAAATAAAAATGACGAGAGATTTTAATAAAAAAACACTTTAATTTTAGAAAAGTTAATATTTGCAATGTAGATAACATGATTTATTTATTTGCAGATTGTTTTATTAAAATTAAAATGGCTTTTCCTTCAGTTATAAGTTATTAATTAGCCACCGTTGATTATGGAATCTGACGATGTTCTTAAATATTATTTGGAAGAGGTGACGGACACCAGACATGAAATTCATATAGAAGAATATCCAGTACAGAATGGTAAACATTTATTAATTAATAACCTTGAAACTCGCCACCGATGTATTTTGGACCTCATCGGTGCCGGGCAGCCGTGTTGTGTGAATCACACAAAATTACAACAAAAAGCACGGTGGCGAGTTTTATCAAAAATATTAAAATATTTAAACATTTTTTTCAAACAGAAGCTGAGCAAGCTGCGGATTTCTTGCAGACGGTCGGCCTGTCGGATTTGTCGAAAGTTTACCAGCAAGGCAAGGAAATAACGGACAAATTGGTGAACGATTCGTTAAGACAGAAACATTTAACTGAAAAACAGGCACAAACTGTGAGAAATCGGGTCAGGACTTTGAATAAAACTTTGAAAAGTCGACAGACACGCAGAAAACAGCGCCAGGACATTAGGGACATATCCTGGAATGTCGAGGTAAAGTTGTCAATTTTTTTTATTACTTTTTTTATATCCCGGTTGAGTTCAATGTCCTCCAAAAACCAACTTTTACCCTCCTTGTCCCGCTTTCCACTTGCCTAAACTGGGCGTATACCCCGACCCGGCGACAAAAATCAGGGAGTGGCTTTAACCATCGACACTGTCATCCACGACCATTTATAATTTTTTCATAACAATACTTTAACAGAACATTTTTTCAGACATCTAGTACTGGTACTAGATCGAGGAGCGCGACCCCGGACTCCTTGGATTCCGGAGATTTTCCGGCACACGGTCACATTTCGTCTGACGAGGATCAGCAGCTATCATCGCTTCCACCGTCATTGTAAGTAACATTCGATATTAATATTAATTTACCGATCATCTGGATATCGAGTGTCGAGCGGAAAATCACTCCTTTTTGTTTATATGCGACTCAGTGACACGTGTTGTTAATTATTAAAGCGCAGAGATGTACTAGCAAAAACTAAAAATATAAAAATGTCGATCGTAATAAAAACAATGCCTTTGTTTATGTCATACAGTGACCATATGGAACAAATGCTTTGGGTATTTAAAAATAATAATAATTTTTTGTTTGCTTTTGTGGAATGAAAGAAAGTGTGTTGTACTTTTAATCACGACGTTTCGACTGAATAAGTTAAGTAACTACAGGTCTATTTTTATCTAAGCTGGGTGCATTGAAGCTTTCAGGTGCATGGTTTAATTCCAAGGTCGCATCATTGAATGCCTGATTTTTTTATTACGGTCCTGCATGTCTTGAGATTCTATGAATTATTTATTTATTTATTAAAAACAAACATTGTCGACAGATTAAGAATAATTTTATATGTGGTGTAGTAAAATTCTAGTGCGTCTCTCGTTTTTTCGAAAAGTTGGTAAATTATTTGATTATAAAGTAAATAAAATAAAAATTGTTCGTAATAGTTGTGATCAGATATAGAGTTTAGCCTGGAGGGATTAGGCCGTTTCTTGTTCGAGTTACGTTTTCTTTGCGTTTCCGCGCATATCTTGCAATGAAAGTTTGGTTGGCCCTTGAGGCTATCAAAACACCTATGTCGGGATAATTGGAGTTGGCAGTTCCCCCATACTTTGTCATTAACTTAATTTGGGATTTTTTTAGTGTCAAAAAGGTGAATGTGGACGGTACCTTGCAAATAGCAATACGTATACAGTAAGGTAAAAAGAATTTATCATAATTGTTTATAATTAATTGTAACATTTCCATTATATATCAAATATTTTATTTGCTCACCTATCGCTATTGATTTTTGCATAGCGGATGGATCGACTCATCGATTTTAGTATTATAGCAAAAGTCGAGTAAAAACCATTAGTGTTGTGAAAAATGGAAATTTTCAATTATGTGACATTGCGATTCAGAAAAAAAAATAAATTTCGGTAAGATTTGAATTACAAATGCCGAAATCTCTTTTTCAGACCGCGTTGTTTTAATTTAAAATAACCCGACAGACACGGTTCGCTTTATGTAAAGTATATTATTTTTTTGGTTTTCCATGCTAAAAAATGAATGACGCCAGAGAAGCAAAAAAACACGCGAATAACTTTTTGCTTAAAATACAGTGCGCTTACACAATTAATTTAATTAAATCATTTTTCGATAAATTTCAATAATGCAGCGTTTATCGTTTATCGTTCATTTTAACGGAATATGACCAAGTTAGTGCACGTAAAATTGAGTTTATTTAATTGAATCAGTCACATGAAAAACACAGTCAGGCCAAAACTATAACAGGGGGTTTTTCTTGAAACTTTACTTTCTACAGAAAATAATCTCTATAGAAAGCAATAAACCAATCAGAGCACGGCATATTCCATCGCACCAAGTGTCAGTATAGTTATTACTCAAAATGAGGTTTTCTGTCTAACTGTGTTTTTAATGTGATATATGTCGCATCCCTGCTTCAGTATCAAAATGACTCTAATGTGTATAACTAGACCTTCTGAATACCTCTCTAAAGTATTCGCAGTCAAAGTTGATGTATGTTCTGATTTCTACACCTGAGTCAAACGTTCAAATCTCATTCTATCTTACATGAACGTTTTCATCTTTTTAGTCTTTAAATTTCTTGTGATGAATAGGAATTCGATATAGAAAATTCAAGAAGCTAAATACTTCTCACTGAGTCAAGTTTATCAATACCTTCCTAAAGTATTTGCTGTCAAAGTTGTTGTAAGATTTGTTCAATTCGTTCAAACTCTTGTAATACATTGCTGCCGGGTTAATTTTTGTCCAATCAATTCCAACTGTATGCGCGAGCCTTCATTCTTAACAGCGAACCTTATAGCTCAGTTAACAGAGCGCTCGCTTAGCATGCGAGAGGTACCGGGATCAATACCCGGCGCCTGCATATAACTTTTTAGTTTTTTTACACCAATGCTTTCTAGAAGCATTTATCACAACATTAAATATAGTCTATACTTCCCACTGTAAAGTGCTTTGTTTGCACTAAAGTTGATATGATCGTGTTGTTTTAGACTGCGTTTCGTTTAGTGGTCTCTAATCGTCCTCAGGTAATAATGGTAAAATATTTCGGAACTTCTGCTTATACCGTACCTTCATTTGCAAGCTATACATAGGGAAAATACATTGTAGGTGGACCAGACAAGTTGAAGTCAGCGCAAAGCGAAAAAGTTCTTAGAAATTATATGGACGTAATAAAATTTTAATCGTCAGTAAACAAGGTCACCTGTTACGTCGCATGTTAGTCTACTCATCCACTCGTCAAAATAATTTCTGGGAACATTTTCGTTTCGCGCTGACTTCGACTTGTCTGTTCCACCTACAATGTATTTTCCCTATGTATAACTTCAAATGAAGGTACGGTATACTAGTTTTGGCTTAATAAACACAATTACTATATTAGCAAAAGTTCCGAAATATTTTACCATTATCACCCGAGGACGATTAGAGAGCACTAATCGAATCGTAGTGAAATCAAAGATGACGACAGTCCAAAACAACGCAATGAAGTTTTCATCTGACCGATTCAATTTAATGTTGGTAATGTTTTTCAGTCCCATTGACCATTCGAGTTCTGGCTTTAAGACGAAAATAAAATGGACATCGAGCGAGCCGTTGCAAAACAAAAAGTTCAACCGTGCCGATAAAGGGGACATCGCCCATTTGGGATCCGATAACGTGGTTTTGAAGCACTATCAGGCCCTAAATGAGTTCGGTACGTTGCCTAGGCCGCAGAGGGAGCGCTCGGGCAGCGACCCGACCACGGAGTCGGCGTCTTTGCAGCCGATAGCGAAAAGTCCGCCGGCGATAGCCCGACACCAATCGACGAATCTGCACAGTCAACTGTCGAGAAGCCATAACAGCATCACGGTGCAAAATAACTGCAGCAAAGTCTACTTGAACAGCAACGACAGCAACGAGGACGAAGCCGTCAGCTTCGAGGGTCTAATTCGGCAAAACGACATCGATCAGCTTCAAGATTGGCAGCTGGAAGATGGCGTCAGCATCGACGAGCTGTCCGACAGCGAGTATCAGCATTTGAAGCCCTTACTGTACGTGGAACTATTCACCATTTTCGACTCGTACAAAATCGATTTTCACAAACGAAAGGCCAGTATTAAGAATAAAGGAGGTAACGTGTTCGGCTTGAAGCTCTCCACCTTAGTTATGCGCGATCTGCCGACTCCAAACGAAAATTCAATGGTGCCAAAAATTTTTCAATGCGTGATAGGGCAGCTGATGGAAAGATGTCTGCAAGAGGACGGCATCTTGCGCGTCGCTGGCCAAAGACAAAAATTAGAAATTTTGAGCAACGAGATTGAAGCCAAGTTTTTTAGCAATAGATCTGATATTGAGGCTCTATTAAGCCAAGCCACCGTGCACGACCTAACAGGGGTTTTGAAGAAATTATTGAGGGATCTACCTGATCCCATTTTTACAATGGAGCTGTTCGATATGTTCTATAAAACCAGTGGTAAGAACAATTTTCAATTCATCAAAATAATCATCTAAAAAGATAGATAGATTTTGCTTCAGTTGTTTGTGTGGTTATAATAACTTTCTAAAAGGGAGTTAATCCAATGTTTACGATTTTTTATTGATACGTTCACTAAGATGCATTTTGTTTCTCAGTTTTATCAGCCATTATTGTTTTATATATAAATATAATTCTTGTTTTTTCAAGCCACAACAGTTTTCATTCTTGATACGTATTTTAAGAGCTATGCTCCCTTCTTCAGCAAAAAAAAATGAAATGAAAAAATATTCATTTTCTGACAATTTTTCACCACCAGTTTCATCAAGTCGAATAGCAATATACTAATTATTTTTATTTTTTAGGCATATCGAAAATGGACGATAAAATTAGAGCTCTAAATTTGCTGGTACTGATGCTACCAGTAGAGCATAGAAACACATGTAGACTTCTGATAGATCTATTCGTGAATATAATAAAGCACGAAAAGCAGAATAGGATGAATCTACACAATGTTGCTATGATAACGGCTCCATCGTTTTTTCCTCCAAGACTTTTACTTCCAAAGTATGAGCAACTTCCGAGCTAACACAAGAAAATGCAACTAATTGAAATATTTTTAGGGATTCTAATAAGGTGCTAAGCAAACAGGTCAACAAAGAAGAGCTGCACCAGCATATAAACGGGGCGGCTCTGTGTTGTGGTATAATGGAAACAATGTTGAAAACCGGCCTAAACTTGTGGATGGTGCCGAAGCAATTGGCGTGTCAGGCTCGAGAGTCGCAGAAAAGAGCCCAGGACAGAAAAGACATGAGTAAAGAGAAAGACAACAAAATTGTACGTTGCTTATTTGACACGATTTTTTGTGGGTTTGGTATGACGCGCAGAGGTGAAGGAATTATGCTTTTATTTGTGTTGTTTTGTAACATGTATTTAACAAAAGCTAGATGCCTTTTACTAACACCTAATTTTGTTTTTGTTGTATATTGATTTGATTGTTTTTTTAGCATTCTGGTAAGATTAAATTGGGCAGAAGCAATACTCAGTATGAGCCAGGGTCCAAGGTGACTTCAAGATTAAAGAGAGACTTCTTTATATAAATTTATATTTTTAAATATGATAATTCATTCCAATATCGTACCTTTCCTTTAGTGCCTATAGTTTTTACAAAACATATTTTTATTTAATTTTATACTTTTTGTGATTAATTAAAGTTTACACAGTAATTTATAAAATATACGTCTGTGCCAAAATAAACAAATATATTTTAATAAGGTTTTTATTTATACTCCGTTTATAAAAAACAAATACTATATTAATCAATACAATCTATAACCAAATTCGTTAACCCATTTTAAACCTTCATTGACTGAAGTTTTAGGCTTATACTCCAGCCCAATCCAATCATTATAACCATTCTCTCTAAGCATCTCCAAAATATATCTATAATTAATTTCTCCAGGCGTATTTGGCTCATTTCTGTTTGGACATTGGGCGATTTGTACATGCCCAATAAACTCCTTTAAATCCTTTACCGTATTTGTAATATCTCCCCTGATATGTTGCAAATGGAAAACATCAAGCATTATCTTTATGTTGGGGCTGTTGACCTTGTTAACCATTGACAGAGCCTTATCATAACAATTTAAGTAATAATTTGGAACTGAATACTTGTTGATGGGCTCAATAACACCAATTATGTCTTGTAATTCTAGTAATCCAGCCGCAAATTTCAAGTTGTTTTCATATGTCCTGTCATTATCTTCAGTTACAGGTCCTTCCACTTTTCCCGCCATTATGTGAATCCTAACAAGAATTTATTCAATTTCTCATACACTCATCAACATTTGATGAGCAGCACAAAATTGTATCTTCTAGTAGAGGAATATGAAACTTAGCATTGGTAAGTTCAATATTCCTGTACTAGAAGGTAAGTAGTTGGAAAAACTAGGAAAAAGACTACAAATTAAAATTTTGGGCAAAATGCATGTCTGCTCCTCATTTATATTGCACCACTCAGAACTAACATAGAAATTTGTATTGGTCTGAAGTGATGCAATATAAATGTTGATGAGTGTAGCTGTAGTATTACTTTTTAGCTCCTAATGCTTTAGCATATGATAATGTGGTTTGGAATCTCTCTTTAAACTCATTTTCCTTGCCTGGAATGGCTGTTACTCCCAATTCTCCCTTTGTTACATCACCTAAAGATTTATGAAAATGAATGGGTTAAATAAGAATAACAAACTTACCTGTAAAGAGATTAATTAATATTTGATCGATTCCAGCGGCATTTTTTGCATCTACAACTTGTTGCTGTGTAAATCCACTGGGGAATCCAGATTCCACAGCTTTAAATCCAGATTCTTTTGCTAATTTGTATCTTTCTAGGAACGGTCTTTCCGTGTACATAAACGCTAAATTGGCACAGAATTTTGACATGTTTGTGGAAGAACTAATAAACCTATAATAAATTCGGCTATTTACGTTACCGACTTAAAAAAGATAAGCGAATATGATAAAAGTGGTTTATTATCTTATCTTCTTCACCGCATGTAATGATAACTGATTTGTAAATACTTTGTGTTAGTTAAAAACAAGTTTTTTGGTTGATATGACCGTTAATTTAAAAATAGAATTGAATAGCAAAGGTAAAATCGCTTATTTTATTGTTATAATGGGCGTGACACACCTGCAAAGCAACATAACCAACAAAAAATCCAAAACAATAGTGTCAACGTCAAAACAAACTTATTGCATTATCGATCAAACTGGGTTCGAACAAGTAAACGGTGATATTTTAATAACCCCTTGCAAACAGACTTTTTATTATAATTTCACGAAGAAAAATGGACTAAAAGGCTGACTAATCGAAAAAAAATAGACAAAAGTGAGGTTATGTAGTGAGTAATGATGACGAATAGAGCAATATTTTTGTAATAACTTTATTAAAATGAGGAGTCTAAGCTATGTTATACTATTTTGCACAGTTTGTTCTATTGTGTGTTGGAATGAGGGGTACTTCCTGGGATGTTACAGCAATATACCCAATGTCCGAACAAACATACCCAGCTATAGTGGCCAAAACAACTGCATAAAGGCCTGTGGATCCAGATATTACAGGTATATATAACACTTTGTATAAAAAAAAATATTACTGAGTAATATTTAAGGTATGCAATCCCTGACACAACTTGTTCATGTGGTAACTACGAAGGCGAACAAGTAAGCAACACAACATGTAATGAGTGTCAAGACTGTAAAGATAAGGAAGGGATCCTGGACATATACGCCACCGGCAATTTACGTAAGTAACCTGTACTTTAAACCATTGCATCACTCAATATTAAATTTTAGTACCTGGACCCCCCCGAAATTTAAGAATCTCAAATGTAACAGATACAAGTCTGAAAATAAGTTGGTCAGAACCCGAATCGTTCGTCGAGCTAACGTCCTATAAAATTCGAGCCAAATTACTCAAAACTTTTTCAACCTTCCCACCTATGAGCCCCGAATGGGTATACTCGAACAAAACCTTCCAAACTGATATTATAACCCTGCACCCTTCAAGCATCTACAATCTTAGCATTACGAGTGTTTCCCCTGATGGAGAGGGCGCCGCCATTTACTCCGATGTCAAAACCGAAATAGGAGGTATGCGCATCACTTTTATGTCGTACTGCGCAGCGTATTTATAGCGTTGTTTTTAGAACCCGATAATCCACCATCACCGCCTGAATTGTTGAGCAATGATGGTTCTCAGATTAAAATAAAAATGATGGCGGTTACTAATAATAACGGTCCTGTTTCGGCCTATAGAATAGTTGTTGTTAATAACGATGTTAAGGAGAGTTTTAATAAAGATAATTTGATGTCATATGATGCTGCTAAGAGAATGGGACTTACCTATTACACGGCAGCTGAACTCAACCCAATTGTAACTGAAACAAACAATATTTTTAATATTTGTATAACGATTTTATTTTTAAGGAGATAACAAAACCATTTATAGTTGGTGATGGTAGGAGCTATGGTGGTTTTTATAATCCCCAACTAGATCCTAACGTTAACTACAATATTATACTTGGTGTTGTTAGTCGTATGGGCAACGAAACTAAAATTTGTTACAGTGTTCCATTTTCCGACACTCTTGTCTTCAAGTTTAGCGACGAAGAAGGCGAGAATTCGGCGTTAATTGTTGTATTATCGGTAGCTATAGGTTTACTGAGCTGTGTCCTAGTAGCTAGTGTTATTGGGTTTATTATTTTGAGGAACAGAGTTACTAATAGGAGACAGAGGCTTTCAGACAACCAAGAGTTAACTCTACAAGGACCTATGATCGAAGTGGTGAGGTTTTATTTAATATTCTATTTCTATTTAAACATACAAAATTGTTTTAGGAAAATAATGGTTATATACCAGAAGAAGAGCATGTACCCATAAACCACTACAGAAGCCTAAGGCAAAAACTTCAAACCTTTTTGCCAAGCCAAATAAAAATTGACACGTCGAACTTACTGGGTACAGGCAAATTTGGGAGGGTTAATAGAGCTAACATTCTTAATGGTGACAATTTGACTCCAATCGCAGCTTATACCATACAGGACAAAAAAATGGGGCAAGAAACTCGCAAAAGTATGCTGCAAGAGCTCGATTTGCTTATTAAAACTGGAAAACATGACAATATAATACAACTTTTGGGCACATGCGAGACCCCTCAGACCGTTATAGTAGCTTTAGAGTTGGTGACTACAAATTTAAAGGAGTTTTTGCTGGGGAGCAGAGAGACTTTACCTGAAAGATTTAGCAGTTTATCTGAGTATCAAGCTTTAGATACAGCAATGCAGATTGCACAGGGAATGGCGCATCTAGAGCACAGCAAGGTAGGTTTTTAGATTAAATTGTGCAGTACATTTATTGTAAACCTTTTTGTTTTAGATTCTTCACAAGCAGTTGTGCGCGAGGAGCATTTTATTGTCGAATGGCGTTCCAAAAATAAGCGGCTACGGTCTGGCGCAGTACCATAGTCATAATAAGATCCCTGATTACACCAGATGGACTGCCATCGAAGTGTTCAGGGGTCAACCGCATAATCCAAAGAGCGACGTCTGGTCCTTTGCTTGTCTTTTATGGGAGATTTGCGCGCTGGGTGGCACTCCGTACGCGAGTGTCTCGAACACGAACGAAATCCCGGAGAAAATAATGCGCGGGTTAAGGTTACCACAACTTCAGTATTTTAGCGAAGATTTGTACCAGGTGATGCTGGATTGTTGGCAGATTGATACGGACGAGAGGCCGAAATTCGAACAATTGTTGGAGATGTTGATGGCTCTTCAAGAGAACACCTTCGTTCCATATCTGAGTTTTAATTTAATGGCCAATTTTCAGTACGAACCATTTTATCCGGACATTGAGCTGGCTGTAAGGCCCAATTATTAATTGTGTTATGTAATCAGTATTTAAGATTATGTACTTACGATTCATTCCACTTTTACAATATTTATTAGTTTTTTTTATGGTTTTACTCTTGTATTTTATAATCTATACATTCCTCTATTTATATTAATAAATGTATTTTTGGAGCACATATACTTGTTTTTGTTATGATTCCTTTGATGTATTTAGTTAATGAATTACATCTTATTACTATGGACGTAATACTAATCGACTGGTCTAGGGGGATTCCGCGTCGTACTTAGTTTTAAGTCGGCGTAATTGTCCCCCAAAAACCAACAAACGTCTATCCCTCCCGTCCCTCCTCCTCTATACCCTACTGGGCGTATAGCATCGGCTCGGCGAACCCGAGAATGGCTATTAAAACTATTCGCATGTCGCTCTCAAGCCCCAAATAGGGGACAGTACGGAACGCAATGGACATTCGCACCCAGCAAACACGGGTGAAGCCGTGCAGTTGCTGGGGGCGAACAAAAATCGGCGTAAGTATACATAGGGGCTGGTTATACGTCTCTTATACTCATACTCACTCCATACTCAATTACATCTTATTACTATGGACGATTATTTCGTCAGTAACTAGAAGTGTTTTCATTTCCTATACTACGTTCAAGTTGGGGTTAAGGAAAATCTCGAGCACATCATTATTTTCTAATATTGCCGTGATTCGACCATTCCAAATGGATCATTTAAAATTTTAACGATCCCCAATATGAACATTCAGAACACTTTGTGTTCTTTGTGTACATTGTTATGTAAAGAATTGAAAAGTGTTGCCTTTTAAACTTCAAAATAATTTGTTTTTAGAGTAAACAATAAAACGAAACCTTTTAGTATGCTAGCAATTTACCAAGGCAATAAACTTTCGTATGTGTTAATTCATTGAAAATAGCATCTTTTAAACTTAGCTTCTATAATATATGAACTGTGAGCGAACTTTAAACTTTTAAATTAGTTTTCTACAATTTAAAGGGTGTAAAGTCAAACTTTTATTTTTTTATTTCTTCGCGGGTAATTGAAAAGAATGCGACTTTTTATAAATGCAATAAAATTTTGCCGATGCTATCTGACTATCGGGCCTTTAAACGTACAACAAATTTCAAACACGTCTCAATAATTTATGAACCGGCACTTGCATGTGCAGCTCCGTCAATCTATAAACCTCAATTTGTCATCTAATAGACAAGCATACATCATATTAAATTTATATGATTTCCTTGACTAATCATTAGGAGGTGCATTTATTTCAAAAATCATAGAATCACACATCCAAAGGGATTTGCATAACTGAGATTCTTTTGTTGACACAAGTTTTTAGCTTTTTAAATTATATGCAGAAAATAACTCCCATGTGTCTATTTAAAAAAAACATATTTTAAATGGTTTTCTTATTTTGAGCTACACGGATAAAATATGGCTTGGAAAATAAAAACCATTATAAAATATTGCAGTAAAAATTCGAGAAATTGTACGTTAGATTTATGAAATAGGAATTGTAATACAATACAATTGAGTAAGAAATTCGATGTACAAACAAACTTGAAATAGAATAAAAATCGATATGTGAAGTTTATAAAATGTTTGAATGGAAAAATTATTTACTTGGATTGCTTTACTATGTTTTATTTGAAATCACCTACGAAATTTAGTAACAAGTTGTAACAACTTAAGGGATATCGGATACCGTATGTGGAAAATAAAATAAACAACAGAATGCCTTGTATCGATTTTGACTAAAGTAGGATAAACTTAATATCTTCAAGATGAAGACGCTGCATGTTGAAACATACGCGATTTCACAAAAAATCAACAAGTCAAACAAAAAATAATCCTTTTAAAAGTTTTACCTTTATTTGTCCTATTCAACACTTTGACAAATTTATTGTATCAATAATTCATGTTAACATCCAATTTGCATTAGTTTTATCTCATTTCATATTTTATTTGCTTTCTTTGAATTCTATAAATAAGATATCAAATATGAATAACAACTTGATTGGGGACAATCAGTGCAGTGCGTCATTATTGGAGGGAAGGAGGGGTACAAAAATAACAAACGTTTTATCCGACATCACATGACAGCAAAAATAATAATTTGTTTTAATTAATTAAATAATAGAGTAAAATATTTAATATACGTTAAAAGGTGAAATTTAAATCACTTTTGTGAGTATAAAACATATAATCAATATTTAACAAAACCAATGCAAAGTTAATACGGCCAGCTCTTGTCTACATAATATATTATAAATTAATTAAAAGTTATATAACCAAGCCAAAGTTGCATACGTATTTTATCAAAAAACTAAAAAAAAATATTTAAAAAGCCAGCGTTATAGCATATTATGTATCAAGTTTTTTAAACGCCTAGAAAAGTTTATAAATGAGTTGCATACTATACTTTTTCTACAATAAATACTTAATATTATCAAAAAAATTATTTAAATTAAATATTTGTATAAAGCGACATCTATACGAAAATAAAGTAACCATCCAATAAACATTTTTGACGAAATTATTGCTACTTTAAAATATTAAAATAACTATATTAAGAAAATATGTTAGCCTTTAATTTTGTTATTACTATACTTATAAATAAAAATGAATATATATATAAATTAGACTGGGCCAAAAAATTCAAGTATTTTTTTTATCGAAAATATGGATTGGGGTGAAATTGGGGTGAAATTTTTTTTCCTCAGCAAGTATTTGTCTCAGAACTCCCAAACCATTGAGTTTAACAAAATTGACATGGAAATATGTTTTCAAGAAAATTAAATGCTCTACAAAAAAGGTTAAAATGAAATTTTCCGTCAGATCAACCGTTTCCTTAAAATCATGCCTTAAAAATTGATTTAGTTTTACATTTTGATCTTTTAACTTAGGAATTTTGTAATTCATGTAAAAATCAGTACCCAGAAATCAAATGCTTTACAAAAAGCCTCTTAACATTTTTGGCTAAATTCGCTCAATCAAAAGTTATTCAAGGTTAAAGTTGAAGTCAAAACTTAATTCTTGTTTTTTCCTCTTCAGATTTAATTTTTATGGATGATAATTTGATTTTTTTTTATAAATATGTATTATATAATTAATTAACTATTTCCAATAAAAAAACAACATGATTGTTATTATTTAATCGATTAAATAGGTAACAGTGAAAATTATATTTTCTAAATAAAATAGCTTCTTAAAGCGAACAAATTCTATAATGCGTTATTTTTTTTTAGTTATTTTATCAATAACATAAAGATTATCATCGATAAAAGAATTCAAGTTCTCTAGAGAGATCTAGAGCGGAAAAAACAAGAATTTCGTTTTGACTTCAAATTTAACCTTGAATAACTTTTGATGGAGTGAATTTAGCCATAAACTTTTTTTGTAGAGCATTTGATTTCCCATAAAAATATCTATCGGTTTTTTTCCGGGTACTGATTTTTACATGAATTACAAAATTCCAAAGTTAAAAGATCAAATTTTTAAGGCATGATTGTAAGAAAACGGTTAATCTGACGGGAAATTCCAATTTAACCTTTTTGTAGAGCATTCAATTTTCTTTAAAAAATATTTTTAAGTCAATTTTATAAAACCTAATGGTTTGGGAGTTCTAAGAGAAAAACTCGATCGGGAAAAACAAATCTTAAATTGCGATGATAGACCTCTTAATATTAATATTATGGACTCAAACTTTCACCATAATTTTTTTTCACCCCAAACAATATTTTCGATATACTTTAAAAAAAAAATAGTTGATTTTTTGGCCCAATCTAATATAAATATATAATAAATAAAAATAAATACATATTTTTAAAGCTTTATCAGTTAAATCTGGTTATATAATCTTTTCAAATATTGGCGTCAAGAAACCATTTAATACTAATTTTTACATTTAGAAAGGCACTATATTTTAACGATTGTATGACATTTGACAACTGTCAACTAACTTAAAACTAACTTCAGCCCGTGACTAAAGCGTCATAAAGCCACAGCTTGTCAAAATGACATTTTCTGAACAAATACAATGTACATAATAATTATTTTTATTAAAATATTCTTTATGACAAATTTTTCAAAAATAATGTTACACAAAAATGTTTTTTGAATTGAGGGAAACGAATAAATATAAATTTTACAGAGTTAAATCACAATCACAAACCAATTACGTCGGAAATCCCAGCACAACGATTTATTAAAAACTACAAATAGCATCGATAAATTCATGAATGATTTATTTGCAAAAATGGCGGATGCGCTGGGATAATGGCGCAGTTACAAAAATGGCGAATGCGCCACCAAGTTTACGACATAATCGAAAAAAACTGTTTTTTTATAAATCTTTGTAGTTTTTTTTATTGTATAAAGTAGTGTGTTTATTGTTGAAATTAAAGCGTGTTGAATTATATTCTGGAAATGTTGACATAAAAACTTCCCTTTGCGGTATCTTACAGACATTGAGGTGTCAAGGGAGGCGTTCTTATGGAGCAACAAGAAAAAGTCATTTTCTAACGTGGCACAACATAATACCATTAGATATGTAATACACAAGTTATTATAACTTTATAAACAAAAGGGTGAAATTGTTTTGTTTGAAATCCTTAAACTTTTTTTATAAATTGCCGTGCACAATGTTGTTCTAGGGCACGAGGTGTAAATAAAATCAAAAAGCAATTCGGGAAAATGCTGTGTCATAGGTAACAAAGAAATAATTTTGTCAATGCTTTTCTAGCTACAGCGGAAAGTTTAAATTTCAACAATGGCTCTATTTAAATAAAATCCAATCAGAGTTGCTTGTGGAAATGCTCGAAAAACGCAATTTTAAGGAAAACTTTGAAAAGCGAAAATCGTGTTGTTTGTCGTGGAAAACTTAATTAATAAAAAAAAATGTCAGTGTAACTAAGAAGTAAACAACACATTTGGCCCGAATTATAAGTTTGAAGTATAGCTACAAATTCGTATAGGAGTTGGTCGATACAAACGGCGGTTCTCGGTTGAGCCGCTAGAGGCCGCTCGAAGTGGATATGTGCTCGATGGTAGCGTTGCGACGCCTGTTAGTGTTGTTAAGCGCGTCGCCTCAAAGTCTGCAGACGCGTCGCTCCCAGCTTTCGCTCTATCGTGCTCCTCTACGGACCACGAGATCTCACCCTTTCCGCTATTCCTATTTTAATCAATTAAAGCATTGACTGATTCCAGTTTTGGGTTTGCCGTGCAATTTTGCCGCTCGAGTACCGTTGATTTTTCGATAAACCGGGCGCCAAAATTTTTAAATAAAAACGTGGCCACCAAGCATGTGAATCGGTTTATTTAAAAAAAAGTGGGTTATCTTTTAACTTTCAATTTGAAATGTAAAATTAACACTGGTGCCGAGATTTATGTAAACAAGAATGTGTAGGCAGAGATTTGCCTGGTTTTTGATTTTCGTCGTTCACTTTTGTTACACAGGTAAAGAAAAAATATATACTTACTTAATGTTGTAGAATCAGATCACATGATGATAACAAAACGTTTTTTCTGCTGACCTACAGTATAATTAGTCATAAAATTCCTTACTTTTTTTAATCGGTCGATCTCATTTGAATTATTAACATGCTTTTGGATTTGCACACAAACGACTTTACAACGGCAAATTTTTAATTTAAATGATTTGTATAAAAGAATAAATAAAATAAACATAAAATTAATGAAAGATAGCCGCCAATATATTGCCTATTAATTTATTTATGTAACTTCTTGTTTTTTAATGGTGCATAGCTAAGAGTCGTGTTAACTCCTTAAAAAATCTCCCAATTAATCACCCACCCTTTCGAAAAGTTTCTCGAGAGAGACTTTTTAATTGCTTTTAGAGTAAATGTGCTTACTTTCTCGAAATTTTTTTTCCGTTTGTATTCAAGATGGAACGGGTATTTAGCTGATGGATACATCATGTTTTCGAAATGCAATGCTTTTTTCAACAATGACATGCGTTGAAAATCGGATAAATGAGCGCTCATTCCATTAAAATGTGGCTCCAAAAACTTCTTTAATGCATGGATATTTGAGCATTCCATATTGAGCTCTCAAGCGACGGATATAAACCAGTTGTTTGCGTTTTTTGGTTTCTGTGTTGGCCAACACAAGCATATGTGCCTTAGTAAAATTTTTGATGAGTTTTAAAATTCAATTTATAATTTATACTTTTGTACCTCATTTTACGTATCGTTTAACTATGTATGACAAAAAAAATATCACAGTGATACAGTCTTAGATATTAATTGTAAAATATTTTCAAAATGCTATCAAACAAAAAATATTTTTGCGCAATGTTATGGAACTGACGAGCGTTCATACAGATATGTACATGAAACATTTATAGGGATTTCAGTTTCAATACATGTAATTCGTCAACTGGTCAAAAAATTCAAGAATACAATTGAAGGATTTAAAATCCTTTTTTTATTTGTCACTTTGCCACATAACGAAAAATAAAGATGATAGTATTTCGTGTATACTTTTCAACACAAGCAGAATTTTTTATGAAGAATAACTTTTGGTCGAAAAATGAAAATTTTGGTCTATTTCTGGGTATTTTGACTAACTATAAAAAATTAGGTTTTTTTATCTACATAGTGTAATTATTTAGCTTGTCCTTTCCGCTTTGCAGGAATGTTTTGCTTACGTCGGTCAATCAATTGAAAATTGTGCATATTTTGGCCTGATTAAACCCAACTTTGCACACTTAATTTGACTGGGCCCAAATTAGTAACCCTTTGTTAGAACATCCTTTTCGTTCCCGCATAGATATGTTGTTTCGTGTAAATTCGTGTGTGGATAGTGTAAAGCAGAAGCGGTATAATTTTTATTCAGGGAAGATAAGCACCTACCGATTTTAGGACGTTTAAGCCAAAATTACCATGTGTTAAAATAAAGTTTTGAATATTCTTTTAGTATCATTTGGTGTTTATCGTTAAGTTTTGCATAAAAAGCGAAATTCCTTAAGATAGTTTTGTTTGTTTGGCTCAGCAAGTTTTAACGTAATATCGTTAACCGAACTAAGTCACCGAGGATCATCTATCATCAAATTTAGCCTGACAAAATGGTTCTTCGGCTAATTAGAAATTTATGTCTAACCTCTAAGTACGTATAAGGATCTCGACCCATTTCCATAATATTAATAAAACTTTTTGTCTGTTTTTGAAACATTAGATAAATTCTTTAATCTTTAATTTGATCCATAAAGTTAAATCTGAGATGTCTAAATTTCCTTCTTTAATTTTAGATTGTTAAAAACCGATAACGCCCTTTGAATTTATAATTTATTTTGCTTTAATAAATAAACATTTTAAACCTTTTTGTTGTGCCTATTGAAATGTGTAAGTGCCAATAGAGCGACATAAAAGGTATGTCGAAAACAACGTTTTTGGTTTTCATATTTTTCACAAATACATCACAATAAACTTTGTGTTTAGTAATTTCATGTCGCCTTTAAAATACACATACATACCTATTTGCTTTTGTTTATTTGTACGGTAATAACAAATGTGAAAATACCCGAAAATAATCCTAATCCTAATAAAATTTCAATTTCATTACTTTTTTCTCGAGGAATATAAATTAACAGAAAATCAATTAAAAACAAAACAAAGTTAAAATTTAAAATTTCTTTTCCCAATCATCCTAAATATTTCTATAAATCTCAGTCTCCAGTTTAAAAGTTTAAATCTTCCAATTACAGTTGTTTTTGCATGAATTTTTAAGTACTTTTTCAGAGCAGAGGCGTACCAGGATCGCATAGTTATTTCAAATTAAGGTTATACCTCAGTGTTTCATTAATATTTAATTGACTTTTAATTAACTACGGCTATGTATTAGTTGTTACAGCACAGAATCTCCAAATTAAACTGCTTGTTCGTTATTTTCCGGAGCTATGCCTAATTTATTAAATTTTCATTTTATTAAATTGACGTCGCGACATTTATAAATTAAAATACAGATATCTTGGGTGGTATGATTTTGAAATAAGTAGTACATAGCTTTGTGGAAAATTAACTCATCTGCAAAAAAGGTTTTTTTAGTTTTTTTATAAATGTAAGCGTATTAATTAAAATTAACTACATATTTCACATTTTTTTCTTATTTGCCAAGGACTTTTTTTCTCTTACAAGGTGTTTTGAACCATGTAAATTAATTTCTTAAAATTTCATAAAATATAAATGTTGATGAATGTAATAAAAAATATGGCTTAACGCCCCAGTACAGTGAAACAACTACAAAAAAAATATAATTATATTCCTGTTTTGGACTTTTCGAGCAAGTAAAGTTTACTTTTCCCCTTATGACATTCGTGCCTTACATCCCAAATTAGAAATGATAATGTGGGTTAAACTTAATTAAATTATGTATGATTTAATTAAAATAAGGAATTTGTCATATAATTTTAAATGCTTGCCACGTTGAATGTATAATGAATATTTTTCTTAACAAGCGTGTTTAAGAAATTATGACGCAAAACTTTTCTTTTATACATCGATTAGTAAATAATACAACAATGAAAAATACTAATTTTTGGATTTTATTGATCATTATCAGAATTATAAATATTAAAGAGGGATTGTGAGCCAGCACCAAAAATATGGTATTGAAAATTTAGTTATAAACTTTTAACTCTGTTTTTAGCAAAAGTTGCCTTATGACAGACTTCCCTTACACATACTTGTGTCCTAACTTTCCCAACACAAACTTTTTTAAATCATTAACTTTTAAACAGCACTTTTTTGTTCTCAATTGTGCCATAAATAAGATTTTTAAAAAGCTATAAAAAATCGTTTAAAGTTTTGTTTATTTTTTATTATTAAATTAACTTTGCTACTGTACTTTCTAGAGGCTTTCCTCTATATCTATATAGAAAGCAATAAACCAATCAGAGCACGGCATTTTATCGTGAGATACAACAAAAATCATTATTTGTTTCCATTGTTTTTGTAATTTGACAATAACACTTTTAAACGTGATTTTAACTACCTTAATAAAAAAAGATTAAAATGGGTTTTTGCGAGTAAAACTATCGCACAACATGTGAACAGAAAAAAAGAAACGCATCGTTAAATTTAATATCCAATTTGTTTGTAACGTGTCGTACAAATAAGCATTTAAAACAAAATCACAATTAAAAAAATTACCTGTATTAGAATTTAAACAACAGAAAATTGGCTCGGCTAACAAAGCGGTAAAAAGTTTACGTATTTCTATCGAAGATAAATAAATAAAGGTTGTGTTGAATTGAAAGGTGGATGTGTGTCATGTGTTTATCAAAAAGAGATACGCACACCTGTCGAGGAATTCACAAAATATATCTTTTTTGATGGGGTAACGAATCGGTCGGACTTTGTCTTTAAATTTAGAATGTCTCACTTTAAGATTTATTGCCCACACTCTGGGGACCAAAAATAAACTCCGCGCGACACAAAATATTATTCATAATTTATATTATTATATTTACTTAGACTGGATTTACCTGCCCTTTATTTCACATGATGAATTAGGGGAGCGGCGGGTATTGGCGTACATGCGGGTAATCCCGTTAATGCCAAATTTTCGATTGCGTATACTATTTTGGAAAAGTTAAAGCATAAAACGATGCCTACTTAGATATCTGGTAAATGGCTGCAAGAATTAAAAATCTACCTTATCAACAAAAACTTCCACACCAAAACAAAGTTTCTTGCATGGCGTCTTATAAGACCGCTGTGACTTTTTAATTACAACAAACAGTGATTGAATTGGTTTTTTAAAACAGTGCTGCCAGTATACGAACAATTAGTGTTTGTTGTTGATTTAAGTCTGAAATGTAAGTTGAAATATTGCAAATAACATCGTAGTAAATTTTTTTAACCTACATAGTAGGTTCGGGTATTCCCGTACGCCATTATGATAGTCCTAAAGACTATATTTGCGGCTACTGTCCAGGTTTGCAGCACTGAATATTTACTATAGATCACATTTTTTATTTTGTTTTAATTTGTTGTATGCTATTATTTATGTTTGTATACCAAATATATTGAATTTGTTACCTTTTTTAATCTAGTTTATGCATGTACGGTAATACCCGCAATGGAGGGTAATGCCGAACATAAACCGTTTTTTGAAAAATACATTTTTGCATTTCTGGCTTAATATCAATGTATTTGTTTCCACCGGATATCACTACAGTGAACCTTAGGCTACGCCCACAACAAATTTTGAAGCTATATCTTCTCAGGTGTATCTGTAATTAATTTTAATGCTTAGGTGTACGTCAATACCCGCCGTTCCCCTAAGCCTTTTAATAATAATTTAAATACCCCTTGACAAAATTATTACAAAATATAAGAAAAACTTTTATTCTGTCAAAAAAATCATAATTCTTCAGAAATGGTTTTATATCCATATATGAAAACTTTTTTATTTTAAATGCAACACCCTGTATA